GAGAGAATTTTAGCTGGGCAGAGATCGCATTCAAAAGTACGGCGTACAGAGTGGCGTTCAATGTGGGTGCGGAGGTTGTCTGTTGAAACAAGCAAGAGTCAGGTCACAGTTGAACGTAGGGCGTCCTGTCTCCTAGAACACTTACACATGCGAGAAAACGGGCGCGAACAAATGGGGCAAAGATAGGATTTTGCAGCTTTCCCTCCACCTTCCTCCGTTTGACCATTTTGGTTTTCCACTCCAGACTCCTCCATCGGCTGCTGATCTCGCGGTGTCATGGTTGGAGATGCGGTATCCGAGTACGATCCCACAGACGATGAGCACGAACTAGCGCAGTCCGCTGTAGAGCCGTAGGAATGAGGTTGAGAGTTGGGTGGGGAAAGGGGCATACTGTGAGGTGGGAATGTGTGGGGGATGTGATGCTGGTTCCACGGTATTCGGACAGGGGATGCGGGGTGTGGACGCACAGCCGACAGCGGTGGAGATACGCATTGAGAAACTGTGGGTTGGCCTTTAGGCCACGTATGAGATATGGGAGAAGATGGTTGTGGAGAGCGCGCTGGGAGCGGAGCGGGTGGGAGAGTAGACCATGGGAGAAGGGTTGATAAACCTGGGAGGGCTACCGGTATGGGACGCTCAGAATTCCCAGACACTTGGCAAGAAGAAGAAGAACAAGACTTGCTGCTACAGTCTTGAGCGGTAGCGATGCCATGTGAATCCGAGTGTCTAACACATCCATTCCCCCATCGACTGCAAGCATCAAGGCACTTGTGCACAGTGTCGCCGAGAGCACACCAAGATGTTATATGGCTGTCCTGCTGCTGTCGGCCGTTGTCGTGGTTTAAAAGCTCACCAATGGATACCATTGCACTAGCATAAATACAAGTGTGTGTGTGCGTAGGGGTTATCTCCTTTTAGATGTTCAATACGGCGAGGCAAGCCAAAAATCAAAAACTGTTCACGTAAAAAAGAACGTTACAAAGCCTTAGTCCTGAGAGAGAGATGGGACTCCCCCGTGGGTTGAAATCTTTGATTCTTGCCCCCCTGAATAATCCTATTATATATATATATATGTTGGGCGGTGTGTCACAGGGCGCAAAAAAGAAAAAAGCAAAATGCGGGCAAGTCGGCGAGAGAGAGAGAGGGCGAGTGGAAGGGAGGAAGAGGGCGGGTGAGGGTAAAAGGGGGGGGAATGAACAAGGGCTGGGCATCACTGTTAGACATGGTTATGTCAGATGAGACAAGTCTTTCCGAAAGTTGCCGTGTGTGTTTCTCCTTGTCAAATGCCGTGGTTACGCAAGAGAGAGATGGGAGAGAGAGATGTAAAAGATTTGCTAAAAGAGAGAGTGTGTGAATGTGTGGGAAAGCGGCGAATACAAGATAAATTTTCTAGTAGCAAAAATGTGGCATAGTCAAACGGTTGAAATTTTCTTTGTCGTTGTGTGCCAATGGCAAGAAATGAAATCTCGTGGCGTGTGTGATAGAGTTTGATTATCAGTTTTTTTTTTACATTCCCAAACATGATGAACAGTTGCGAAATTTTTGATGGTCAGATGGGGGGGAATGTTAAAGATGAGATAATGGGAGATGGATGAGACATTTTGCATATCAACTTTTAAAAGATGTTTAATTGATGCGTAATCTTTGATCCTTGCCAAACGGTGTTGAAAACCCCCCTTTGAGATCCCATTTTTTTACCGCGGATATTCAGATGGTTTTCCCTTGATGGCTTAAGCAATCGACCCCCAAATTGCCATCCCACGGTATTTGTTGTCAACAAACTGGTAGAAGATGGTTGGTAAGCTACGCGAGTTTGTTTTCTCCACTCTTTATGAATTGAACATGGCAAAGGCATCTCCCAAAGCCCATAATACATCATGAATTTTGCAATGCGGAGCCGCGCAGCTCAGGATTTCTATTACGTCGTCCGGCCTTTATAGCCTAAACAAATTAGATAGCCCTCCGCAGACGCTTTCCGACTAGCGTTGGGCTTTTCATATACCACACGATCAAATTTGGCTTTCAGCTCTGTTCTCAACTCTGATATTTAAAAACACAGCAAGGACAAGTCATATTAGATTCCACACGCTGTACAAATAACGATAAGGCACAATATCCAATGGATCTAGAGGCTTACCTTGTTCACCCTCTCCTTGAAAAAACTTGCATACAAATCCACCTCCTCTCTTCAATATCCCAGGTGTCTCGGCAACCCGCAGTGCAACTTGACAGAGCTCAAACACCCTGGCCACATCCGCAGTTCGGGATCCAGTAAACGGATGCGCCATATCAGATAAAACAACATCCACCGCATCCTGGTCCGTACGGTTTGGTGCATCTTGACTGCCGTGAACCAAAGTGCAGACCTTGTCGAGGATCATTGGATCGCACATGTCTCCAGTCAAAATTTGAACATTTGGTATCGGATCAATAGGCAAGAGATCGATGGAAATGACCTTTCCTTGTGATTTGGGTCGAATGGAAACCGTCTGGTCCCTATCCGTCGACGACAAGCGTGTCCCACCTGTATCCTTTCTAATGGCATATTTTACAGCGACCTGCACACATCCCACACCATTAACCATCTTGACCTGCATCTCTCTGCAGATTCAATAAAAACATACCTGTGCCCATCCACCAGGACATCCCCCCAAATCCAATACAACCATTCCCTTTCGAATTAATCCAAACCGCTTTTGAACCTCTTCCAGTTTGTAGGCCGCTCGACTACGGTATCCATCCTGTGCACGCTGTTTTACGTACATGTCACGGGATTGTCGAGCATGCCATTGTTTTGTGCTTTTGAATGTCCATGAAAGAGGGTCGTGAGTGAACAGGCTTCAATGCAACTACCCTCTGTCATGGCCAAAAGTCTCTGGTTCTCACTTTGTCGTAGACCAGCGGACGGTGGTAGAGCCTCGGTTGGCTACGAGAGGGAGCGCACCTGCCCGCTGAAATATCGCTGTCATCGCATGTTTTGCTACAGAGCGGAATGTGTGGTGCTGCAGCCCGAAATATCGCAGCATTAGCTTCTTGCTCAAGAGCGGAATGATTACGCTTGCCTACAGACGGTGTTGGCATAGCAACGTCCTCGTAGAGGCGATCGTAACAATGCTGTCGATAGTCACCCACATGCAAACAACACCAAAAGAAAAACTGTATTTAGATATAGGACTTTTGAATGAAAAAAAAGATAATGTACAATAATCTGTGCAAAAGAAGTGACTATAATGCGAGTCTCAAAAGTACACAAGTGAGATAGGCAGCCGGAACTCGTGTTTAGCGCCAGAGAAAGAGCTACGTGCAAAGCCCACCATGCAAGCCCACGTAAAACTTTCACGACAATGCACAAAAGACAACTTGCTTGACGCCGAAAACACGCCGCAGATCACCCGCCATCTCCCTTGTTGAGAAATTTAGGCCGTTTCTGGGGTACTTTGCACAACATCCACTCCATTCGGCCCATGACCTTCTTCATCGGTAAAGTCCTCTTCGCCTTCAGTGCTTTCAACTTCCAAAAATTCATCATTACTGCTTGACCCCGTATCACCTTCCCCCACCTCCCTTCCATTCGCACTCCCTGTGTCCCCACTCCCTCTCTCGTCATCCCCGCTCACTGAATTCCGTGAGCCTACTGATGGCGATGGGGATCGACTTTCGTACTGCGATAGTCTTTTTCGAAGTGTATTTCGCTCCGTTTGGAGGGCACGGCACAGATTTTCCATTTTTGCTTTCCCTGCTAGAGCGTTCTCTAGGGCTTTGTGATTTTTTGTTCGCTGTTGGGAAGAAATTAGCCGTTTAATACATTTGTGAGTTGCCCCGAACCAGTAATACTTGCCTCCTCCGCCATTTCTAATATATTTTTGTTCATCTTTTCACATTTTAGTTTGGCGGCAGTGTTTTCTTTTTCTAGCTTCCTCGTCTTTTTCGTCATCTGGTAGTACCGCTAAATAACAACATCTGCCGTGAACTCTGCAATGTGCCAACGTACCTGCTCCATTTCTTTCCGAAACGTTATAAACAGCTCATTGCTTTTATTCAGCGTCTCCTCAACCTGCTTGAACTTTTCCACATATATAGACAGCTGCTTCCGCAAGTCCGTCTCCGTCTTCACAAAAGACGCCACTTGAGCCTTTAAAGCAGTGCCTTTTATAGTTTCCTCCTCCGTCGCACGTCGTTGTTGCTCAAGTTTCGCCTCCAAGAGCTGGATCTCAATCTCCCGTGATTTCACCATTGAGTTGTAATGCTTCTCTCGCAGTTCATATTGCTCAAGGAAACTTTTGAATTTATCCTTCAGCCTGTGGTGGATTACTTGTCAGCCAAAAAGCTCAACGGTGTAATGTGCTAGGGGCGGTTCGGGAGTTTAGTGGAACATACATTTCACTGTCCTCTGCTCTTCGCTTCTTCTCGTCGCTGTCTTCCTCCATCTTTGATTTTATCTCCCAAATGGTGCTTTCAAACTTTGAAGACAGTTCTTCCCTCTTTTGCTGCTCGCTGACGGCCAAGCGCTTGCTTTCCTCCTGATATTACCGTGTGGCATATCAGCGATCACGAAAGAAAAGAGTAACAGGGAACCAAGCCGGTCTGGGGGCGGCATCATACCTTTACTCGTTTATTTTCTTTTTGTAATTCTCTACAAAGAGCCTCAATTTTCTGCTTTTGGGCATGAAGCTTTGTGTACTCGGCCTTTGCTGGATAGCCGCAGTCAGACGAGATGTAGTGTGGCAAAAGGTCAAACCTCCGACCTACAGGAATCTTTCTCTTTATTCGATTGTTCTAGTTTCCGTTTGAGTTTTCCGTGGTCTCGTTCCAGGCGTTTGTTCTCTTGGAACTAGTCAAGGACAGTCACAGGCTAGTCAGTACCGTCGATACGATTCTTCCAGCGCGTCTTGGCGTAACTCACCAAGTCCATATATTTAGTTTGGATCAGTTCTAGTTTCTCTGTACTAGTTTGGTTCTCCATGAGTTGGCTGATATCTTTTGACGCCTTTTTCACCGCCTTGGCTAACCAAATTCCAACACGCATCAGTCATCACATATAAACGCCTATCAATCGATCAGAGGGAATCTACCAATAGCCTTCTCCTCCTCTTCCTCCAGTGTTGACTCAGTCTCCAGTTGAACGATCTTTGATTGGATCATCGATGATAACTCCTCAGGTGCCAGTGCCTTCTTCTGTGGTTTTGGTGCCTTTTTTATTCCGGCTGCGTTAGATGCTGGTGATGACGCTTGCGAGACAGTAACAGATGCGGATGGAGGGGTATTGACAGGTCCACTACTTCTGGTGGGTGAGGATTGTCGATGAACGGCTGAACTCGGCGGTATACCGTTTGGTGTCTGCCCATTTATACCCTTATGCAAGGATTGCCCTCTAGGTGGAGCAGACTGGGTCGGTGCCTGCCGTACCTCTGGTGCGTCAGATAGATTGCCTCCTCTCTCTCCAACTCCATGGGCAGCCAGTGCGACTGCAGGCTGACCACTGGGCTCTTGACTTCGCATTTGCATTGGACTTGGCGAGAAAACTGGTACCTGAGAGGGAGGCTTACGGCAGGATATGGGAGTTGTTGCAGTGATCGTGCTTGTGTGCTCGTGTGTATGATTCTGTGCTATCTCACTTCCCGAAGAATGCAAACTGACAGGCATTGGCAAAGCGACAAAGATTTCGAGATTTGGAGAGAAATGACTGTGACTCCAGCAACTACAAATCTGCAATGAAAGCCCGCAGCAGAATTAAGGAAAGAATATTCGGCCAATAAAGTCGGCACTGGGAGATTTTGATTCCTGGTGTGGGCAAGTGTTCGGTTTTGAGGTGCAGTGCATGCGGTGTTGCAGGTTGAAATCGTGACGACCTATCAATTGTTGTTTGAATTACGAACTGAGGATTACGGGTAGTGAGAGTAAGGTATCTTGGGCAAAGGAGAGATTCGCTGAGAACCTGGCAATGGTGTCGAGTTGTCAACTACGACAAAACAACTGTCGAGTGTAAATAACTCGCGTGGGTTTGATTTTTTCCTGCTCTTTCACTGACACTCGGGGCTTAGTAAGGCTTTGTTACTGCGCGCAAGTCTGCCCTCAAGCGATATCCTACACCACATACTGCTGCATGGAGCCCATTATCCGGGTCTATTGACTATTGTAGAACATTTGCGGACTTTGGTATTTTATTAGACCCATTGCTCTACATCTGATGTCCAAAACTAGTCGGTATAAAGTGAGCCTCTAAGACAAATTACTCAGTTCCGCAGCTTGGCTAACAGTTTTACTTCAAGTCTATCTTTCACTCCCTCCTTCCAATCATCGTCCGTGATCGTTAGAATCACAGTATGGCGCCATTGCCCGTGCAACAACATGTGCTTTCTCAAATATCCATCTTGCTGGAATCCTATCGATGCAGCACATTGCCTGGAGGCGACATTGAGATGATGTGCTCTCCATTCAACATGAACATACTGTAGATTCTCGAAAGCGTGTCGAATTAGGAGGTAACCTGCCTCTGTAGCGAACCCAGCACCGTGCGTACCGGGATTCAACCAAACAGGTCCAATTTCGATATTCTTGTGCTGTGGAACAATGTTGATATATCCAAAGACCCCGATGCGCTTAAGCTCCTCGTTTTTATTGTCACCGTGTGGCAATAGCCACACAGTAAACATCATGGCATTGGGACTTCCCAACAGTTTTGGTCCCAGGTGAAAACGCTCAAACTCTTCAACACTTTCAAATGGTCCCCACGGAAAGTGTTCGAATACGTTCTGTCCCTGATTATGAGATAGCGAATACAGCTCCGGTAGGTCGTCCGCGGTCGTCGGCGTCAGTCGAAGGCGTGGACCTTCGAGCTGAACTGGTTCGAACAACGTACAGCTGCCATTCCAGTTATGGAAAGGTTGGACGACAAACTTTGGTTCTTCGGACTGCATATCTTTTTCGGCCGATGCAGTGCTCTGGAGAAGGTCATTTTGACGGTGAGGTTTAAAGCATGTGTTTTCGCACACCGTGGATTTCACTCGATCGTGAAATGCATGAGTCATCGAATGGAAGTGATCGGATGAGTCATCCAGAACGTGGCTTGTCGCCAGACTCCGACCATTAGCATGATTGTAGTATCACTCGCTACAATATTGTTGTCTGTTAACCACAATAAGGATGGCCGCTATCACAAGATCCCGACAAAAGCTGCGCAATCCGCCAGATGCTGTTGCTGCTGACCCTCCCTCTGTACGGTTTGCCGAAACTCCTGCTCAACCAGCAGATTCCGGTTCCGTGGACAGAACCGGCAAATCCTCAAAAACAGAAGGAAAGAAGAAAGTGGCAATAGGAACCACAATTGCAAAACAATTGATGAAGGGAGGAAAGCGTGGTCAAGGGCAAGGCGACCTTAAACTTGAAGATTTGGATGAAGCTGTCTTAAGACGAAGGTTAGATGTCGGCGTGTTTTCAATTATGGTTTACGGTTGACACTTACGCCCTTCCCAATGTGAACAGATTAGAGACGTTAGAGACAGAGCTAGCAGATTATAAGGCTAAATGCGAGCGACAGTAAGTGCCTCCTCAGATCCCTGTCTTTCAGGTACTCCAAGGATGTTCCTCAAGACGTCTTTAATCACCACTCACCTTGTTCATGCCCTTTATTGCTGTTCTAATAGTAAAAAAGAGAATGACTGGTATCGAGAAGAGATTGAAGCCTGTCAGCGGGACACCGTACGTATAAATTGATGTTATCATGGTCTCATATCATCAGTGCAACTCATGTATGCTGACCGTACACTTCCTCACAGGCCGAATACATTTCATACCTAGAGTCAAAAAAGTCTGAGAAACAAAGTGCCATCGACCAGCTGATTGAAAGCAGCAAACTAGATTTGGAGAGCTTTGTTGCCAAGAAGAAGGCCAAAGAAGTGGAAAACGAGGCCAAGATGGAAGGTTAGCCCCGAGCACCTCCATCGCAAGTCATGAACTCGGCCTAATATTTTCACCTTCGTGGCGGGCCAGACCTACGCAAGCAGATCTTAGATCTTGAAGACAAAATTGACACCAAACAACAAGAAGTCCAAAGTCTTTCAGATGTTATGGTATGCAAACTAGAACGTCTTCTCTAACGAAAACTTGGTAGCTCATCAGCATCACCATTCTCAGTCCCGTCGCGCCCGACACGAATCTGATATCGCCCACCTCCACAAAGAAATGCAGGAAGCCGAGCATCAGCACCAAATCCGAGTAGCAGAGCTCGAAAGAACGTTACTGGAAGAGCGCATTAAAGTTCAGAAAGAGACAGATGCAAAGATCAAGGAGATGGAGAGCGCGGCACATGAGGTAATTTACCATTACAGCCATCACATTCCCCGAATAGGACTCTTAATGCGCCTCTTGGCATACAGAAAGCCCACAAGTATTTAACCACCCACATTAGCGCTCTTGACTCAGAGAACCAGCGTTTGTCGACTCAACTGCGAGCACTTATAACCCGAACACAGGATCTCCTTGACCAGAAGCACAAGCTGGAAGCTCAAAATATCCAACTGCTGCGTGATTCAACTGTTCGTCAGGATATGCTGAATATCCGACTTCAAAAGGTGGTCCAATCCGAAAAACGGCGAGAAAGAGGGCGAGACAAGAGAAGGGATTTGGAAAAATTGGAAAGAAAAAGAGCAATGGAGAAGGTGGTCCGGATGGCAGCAGAAAGAGAGAAGATGACTGAGTGGGCAGGAACTCGGGGTGTTTCGGCCGGAGCGGTGCTTAGAACACCTCCCGCAGGACGCCCAGGTGAAATCGCTGAACTCATCTTCACCACGGAGGCGAAAGGTAAGGAAGGAGCTATTGCCTCCTTAACTATCAAGGACGAAGACCTCGATTGGTCGGATGAGGAAGATGATGAATATCTATAAACACATACTAGTGCACAATTCTGTTATCCATGTCTGTACAAATTAAAACAATTACTTGAATACCATCCATGATAAACCATACTACTAGGGCGACAGCTAACTAAACTATCCACGCTTGGGCAGTCTCTGTACTATAGTAGAATATCTCTTCCCAGATCTCCCCACAGGTGCCTCAATCTCTTGAAGATCTACAATCTTTTTACTTCTCAATTTTCTTACAGTTATTAGCAGTATTAGCAACTTCATGCTCGTGTATATGATGTATTCGCGGAAATCTCACCTCTTCTTTTTAATGGGTTCTTCAGGTTTGGATTTATTGTCATCGTCAATGCCAGATGGGTCGCGGGTCATCTTACGGGATCCACAGAGAATTCCACATTAATCCCGATTTTAAAAGCCGTCAAAGAACCTATAAGAACATACCGAGGCTTGATTTTCTTCGACATTCTGTGGCTTAAGAATGTGGTCAGAGGAGGGGGACGATGTTATTGGCTGGTCAATTTGGGCTTCGTAGGTGGGACTTGAGTTCTTTGGATATTGGACGATTTGGTATCAATATCAGACTCGTAATTGCGTCGCTGCGATACTGATACTGGAACCATACCACTTCAGCAGCAACTGATTCGACGGTGGCATCCATGTCCTCATTTCCAGATTGGGATTCCTTTACTAGTGGCCCATCAACCTTCTTTTTTCGGCCCACCGATTGTTTCACATATGTGTGCCGATTTTCGTCGCCCAAGGTCACATCTTCAACGATTGTCTCTGGGAATGACGGTTCCTGTGCTTCCAACCCTTCCGCTTCGAATGTCCCGTCAGTCGTGTCTCGCGCGGCTTTCCGTTTTTTCTCACGTGTGGAATGCAAAGTCCCCATAGCCGGTTCTGATAATCGCTTTTCCTTTGTACGAGATATTCGTCGCCTAGGTGGAACTGCGCTGTGTCGCTTTTTCGCATTCTTTGAGCCATGTCCTGGCAAAATCATGACTTCAGGAGTTGATCCTTTAGAAACGCTGCCGTCTGACGTAGCGTGTTCTTCAGCAGCCTTGGCTTCAAGATATTCTGTAGAGTATCTCCTTTGAAATACCAAGAATGTGCGACGTTAGGTAAAGCACGCAGGGTCACTCAAAGATGAGAACGCGATCCCTCACAATATCCTTCGCTTTGAAGTTGTTTCATGTGACGCTGAAAGAGGGTGACTGGTGGTATTTTCCACTGTTATTGACTGGTCGTCTAGATCCTGCATCGACTCCTCGGATGGTAGTATCTCGGTTGTTTCATTTACACTGTTGGCGTCATGCCGTTCTTCCATCCTCTTAAGTTCCCAAAAGTCGAGTTCAAGCTTTCTTGCTTTGCCCTCTTGGATTACTAGTTGGTCACTCAGCTAGGAAGGGAAGGAGAGGTTATCAACGCCTGGATCCCATGCTTGGCATATTTTCCTGTTCCTCGCACCTGGGCAATCTTCTGTTGATACATTTCCTGAACAACTTTGGCAGCTTCTTTGGCTGCGATACCTTCCTCGATGGTTCGCGCCAACTGATCTTCAAGATTGCGGATCTAATGGAGGAGCCATGACCAGAATATGAGAATGGGATATGTCACGCCTTGCGACCTGTGATGGCCACCTTCTCTCCAAGAACTTCAGAGGAACCGCTCAATGGAAGTTTTTCCCCAAGTCCGTTGCTCATCTCCATTTCTCTGATCCTCTGCCGTAATTTGATGACGGTATCTCGCTCAACCTCCAACGCAGAAGTACGAAGCTCCAGTTCTTTGCTCAAGTATGATATCTAAGCGATTACGATTCTTTTAGACAAGAACAATGGAAACAACAAAGATATCATCGTGAACCTGTCTCTGCAGAACTCCGGACTCCCCGTTCTCAACTGCCACATCGTGAAGCTGTCGCTCTTGTTCCTCAATGAGCCTGCTTTGCTCAGCAAGGCGACGCTGAAGCTGGACGTGTGCATGAAATTGTACATTTGAGTATGCAGCAGAAGAGGGGAAATCGTAAGTACCGTTTCACCTTATCAATCTTGTCTGGAAAAATCGATTAGCTCATTATGCCCACCAGCAGACCAGCAACACACCAAACGTACCCTTGTGCATTGCATTTGCCATATCTAGCTTTCTGTCCAATTTCTCTTGCTCATGCCGTTCTGCCTGCTTTCGACGCTCCCGATGTTTTAACTCCATTTCCTGTAATCGCTTACTCATCTCCCTGGCGCAATCCTGTCGTACCGCCAATTCTTGCTCAACTAGTCGGCATTCAGTTTCGCGAAGTTGCTGACGAAGTGATGACACTTGCTGTAAAAGTTCGGCGTTCAGAATGCTCATGGCCGGATCCGGATCAACGTCTTTCATCGCGTAATCTTAGTGGAACGTCTCGAGGGTGAGAACGTAAGATGTAAGTGCATCTTACCGTTAGCTTCGGCCTTGCCTGATCATAAGGATGTCAATTGGTTGACTACACAAGTGTTCTGTATTGAACGGAGCCCTTACCATTCACCCCAGCATGCAAAGCACCGGCTCTTTGAGCAAAACGGAAAACTTCGGAGGTGACTCGGAAGTGCTGCATGGATGGATTTACTAGACATGGCTATTTAGCTCTTCTTCAACGGCAGCACACGTACGGCAGAGCAGGGAAATAGTGAAATTGTCCCATACTAACCATTCACGATGAACCCCTGCAGGTCAATTCAGATGAATCAGTTGTCAATCCGGCGTGCTCTGAGTATGGAGCAAAATACTCACAACTTGTCCATGCTCAAAGTATGGCTGAATGAGCATTGTCAACTTGCTTTCTCGCCAGGGGATCACGACCTTCTTAGCAGTCCGGCTTTGATTTTCGCGCATACCTTCGATGCACATGGCCAAAGTCTTGATAAAAAGAAAACGGCTGTCAGCACGCTGCCCATATGAGAGAAACAAACAGATACAATTTACGCACATGCAAACTCTTGTTGATGTTCTTGGTCTCTCGATGCGCTTTCCCCTCAACACCCGATTGCCCAATTCGCTCAGCCCCGGCTAGGTCCACTACAGCAACCCGACTAATCTCTGTCCCTGCAATCTAGGCAAGTCTTCGTCTTTCAGCAAACGTTGCGTCGATATTGTGGCGTACTGCTGACAGACCTTGGATGTTCCATCTGCAACTGGAATTCGCAAAACTTTCACGACAGACAAAAGATGGGACCGCGAACTAGCTTCGTTCATTCGAGTGCTCAGAACACTTCGATTACGCATCACGTCTTCGACGACCTGTCGAGCGTGGTCCATATCCTTTATTCGAACTTCTACCTGACCATTGATATACTGCTCCAAGGTCAAGTCGTCAGTCGTCAGTACATATGAACGAGAAAAGTGTCCAATTTGGTCCCACCTTGCGGCCTTCCACGTCTTCCTTCAATTGGGCTATTGGACGCTTGGACGCAGTTTCTGAGACTTTGCGGAAGATTCTATCATTTGAATCTGCGTTTACAGCTTCTGCTGTCGCATTTTGCAAATCATAAACCTGTCGGAGGGTGGTTAACAAGCGTTGACACTCTCCAGACTCAGGACAGCAACCTGCTCTATGTAAATCTATTGAACGTTCGAAGAGAAATTGAGCTTACAGGTCGCACGCAAAAGACACTTAAAAACACGACATTACCTCTGCAAACGAAAGATAAATCGCATACTCGTATCTAACTCCTTAACAAGGCTGCATGAGATCTACCGATCAACTTTTTGACATCTGTATGCGCAACGAAGGTACCTTCATTGGGAGCGATCGATATCTTCCTGGGCATGGTCCCCGTAGTCGTCTGAATATCATTCCACCGCACTGGTTTAATCCCTAATTTTGTTGGCGCCCCCTTCACTCGGTTCAATATCGTTTCAATTGTCCGTAGAAGGATCCCCGGCTGGTCAGGTGTTCCCTTTGTTGTGAAAGTCTGGTGATATTAACATCGAAGACGTTAGCTCCGAACAGCAGCTAGCATACGTCAAATATCATCTGCAGACCTTCCCACTACTTGATGCACCGTAAGCCATTAGCAAGGCCGAAGATTCACCAGGTGAGAATATCTCGTCTACCATAGGTCCAACGACACTGTCGTAGACTTCCTTTTGAGTGGCAGTTTCTTTGAAGACGTGCGAAAATGCGTAGCGCTCTGCCTTCAGTGCCTTCAATCGTCCTCTCTCTGCCTACGTAGACTCAAAATTGAAATACGTAGAAGGTGGTATAGTTGCGCAGATATATCCTTACCCTGCTGCCACCTGTTATCTCCACCTCGGTTTCACTTAAAACGTTCACATAACGGTCTTCATCTGCTGTTGGTCGTACGCGCAAGTATACCTATCAAGCAGCATCTTCAGCTACCAAAGGGGCGAACTATGAACTTTATTACTTACGGGCATAAGTGAAGCATTGTCTGACAGATCCTTCTTGAGATCACCAGATGCCTTCCTCTTCAGAGACAGTACTGGTTGAAGGACAGCCTCGTCCCTTAAAGAAGGAGTAGAGTCAACCATGATATATCTGCGCTCCCTTGCTCCTTAGCCGTTAAGGTTGAGCATCTATAAGCGCATGCTGTCAAGATCGCGCAACTGCGACGTCCAGACGATTTCCGCTTGCTTAGTACGCGTCCAGACAAACACGTGACTCTACTGCCTTCCATCACTGTCCCTTGCTTCCATCCGAATCAGGTTGGCGTACTGGTCCTGCACGCTAAAGCTTCCTTGTCTTCCACTGTACAAAACCAAAAAAAGAAAAAAACATCTCACCATGACAGATGCAAACGACGCTCAGGACGAACGCAAAGTATGTACTGTAAAGCTGAATCTGCAATTTTCACAACGCGGATGATTCGTCTTCACGTCACATATGCTAATTGCGATCACTGGTTTGTGTGAACAGCCTGAAACTGTTCAGCATATCAATCTCAAGGTGCTAGGACAAGATCAGTCCGAAATTGGTACGTTGGTCCTGTGACGGCACACGGAAGCTACAGTCTCATCCCGCACTCCCACATAGCCTTCAAGATCAAGAGAACAACCCCTCTGCAGCGGTTGATGGATGCCTATGTTGCCAAAACCGGACAGGTATGTCGATCCTTGCCATTCAAATAAGAAGAGTATTGCATATCATCAGAATGAACCGACCCATTAAATATTAATTGCGTTAGGACAAGAACTCCGTACGATTTTTGTACGATGGGCAACGTATTAACGGCCATGAAACTCCGGATGAGGTATGTTGATTGCGACTCCGCACTATAGCGGAATAGCTCTTCTGAGGATACAAATGGATATCAGTTTGCTCAAGTGCGGCTTCCTTTTTTTTTTAGCTGGACATGGAAGATAACGATATGATCCAAGTTTCTGTACAGCAGCTTGGAGGGTCCATGGCCTGAGATTAACGTGTAGGAATAATGTATTTCTGTATATAAAATACGAATCTTGTCGATGTTTGCTTCGTCGAAACCTGCTTTAGTCTCCATCTTCACGTCCTCATCCTCACGTGATAGACCATCCCATGATGCCGTAATCGAGGCGCGTCTCTTCACCGCTTCTCCATCTGCTGGATATTCGTGCGCACTGTACAATGGAAAATGGTTATTATTGAGCTGACTGAGCAAGGACATCTTTCGCACAATTCAAACCAATTTTGAAGAGGCCATCAAACACTGAAATTCTAGGCAAAAGCCAGCAAGATCTAAGACGTTACATATCTCCATCATGTGGATGCATCTGCAACAGTACGCTCTGCCACTACTTGGAGCCGCTGTTGCGGCTACTTTAGTGGGCCAGAACCCGGCAGGAGCGGACGTTCTTGCAGGAGGCTCTGGTGACGCACCCACTGGACCCGCCATGTAAGAGATCTCCTGTATTCTTAGCCCCATTTACAGTGATTAATGGTTTGCCTGCACTGTTCCTACATTCACAACGACGACCTGGTTTCAATTATATAGCATTCCAATGATCCGCCACCCTGAGGGCCGCCTTGCGTTCAGGCGTAGTCTCCTTCGTCGTAGTGACGACGGTTTGGTTACGTTGAAAGAGGATGTCACCGCAGAAGACATTGCTAAGGCGATGGCGTCCCTCCATTTTGTGGAGAAAAATGTTACTGCCGGTATTCCGGAAGCCGCAGACGATTTGATTCAAAACTTGCGTGCCAGGGATGAAGGGGGTACTACCGATGTTGACGGAGACCCAGATTATATTGGCGAGCCAGATGAAGATGAGATGTTGCAGTACTACGTCGGTGAAGAGGACGAGGATGAACCCCCTCTCAATCTCAGGCGGCGTGGAATGGGAGAATCAAAAAGTAGGAGGCAGTATGTTGCGCCTTCAACCCCAAACGTGGCTGATATTTCCAACAATTATGACACAATGGTAAGGAAAAGTGCTTCTCTTCGTCATCGGCGAATCACAAATGAACGTACTCTACTTTGGAAATTCTATATCAGTATTACACGAGTATCCTGGTTGGAACTCCGGGAAAATGGTTCTCCGTAGTCATTGATACTGGTTTGTGGCCGCCCTCACGTATTGCTTGGACTCGTCATATACTCATCAACACTGTCAGGTTCTGCTGACCTGTGGATTCCTTCTATGAAATGCGGCAGCCCCTGTTCACAAAGAAGAAGGTACGACGCAACGCAATCAAGGACAGCTTACCAGCTTGGCATTCCGGTCACTACCTATGTAAGTTACTTTCCTCCATTTTGTTCACGCTGTTTCTGTTCCAAACTTTGACGCTCGATCTCGTCAATAAAAACAAAAGTATAGTCTCGGTTCCGCTTCGGGTAGCGTTGTCACGGTAAGCAAGACAGATCACATACCGATGTACTTTGTAGTGAAGCCTTCCTTGCTACTATCTAGGATTACGTGCGCATTGGAAATTTGATCGCTACGTCACAGGTGTTCATTCAGGCAGATCAGATGAATAATGTACAGCCAGCTAATGTCGACGGGTTGCTCGGATTAAGTAGGTCGAACCGATTGAAGTACTATCCGACGCAATCTCTAACAGTGTGTTCACAGGTTTCTCGTCCCTCTCTTGGGCAAACTCTGTGGTTCCTGATAATCTCGTTGGAAAATCGTCGATAATTGAGAACCTTTATTACGGGCGAAAGCTGCAGCAACCCGCTTTTGGGGTATGGCTGGATAAATATGTATCTTGGAGTGCTGCACCTGGTTCGACTGTCGGTGGTGAATTGGCTCTGGGCAGCACTACAGGCAACCCTGCTAGATATACTGGACCGATTACGTGGCTGAGCGTCCCTAATACCGCCAACTGGTGGCACGTTCAACTGAACGGGATTGCGGGTCCGGATGGGGTAAATTTGGTGCCAAGCGGAAGAGCCATTAGAGGAATTGTGGATACTGGTACGTGACCCGCCGATTTACAGGAAGGACTGTTTCTTTGCAATTAAAAAATATCATTTGCGTTCCTTGCTAACTATCCAGGAACAACCCTGATTGTCGTGGACTATGCCGTGGCTGCAAGACTGAATGGCCTCTTGGGAGCATACGGTGCCGGGGTCCGCGGATTGTGGGCGGTGAGCTGCAATAAGGCCAAAAACAGTGGTGTCAAGATCACCTTCACCTTGCAAGGAAACAAGTTCACGCTTGATGGTATGTTCAAAATGGTATTTGCACCTGCCGCTTTCCAAGTTCAACATCTCTCCATCAGCTGCGGATTTGCCTACTCGAGTCTGGCCTGATGACCCGAATACCTGTTACGCTCCATTTCAGGCTCGCCAAAACGTAGGTTCAAATAATATGCTATCGTCAACACATTCCAGTTTCTGACAGAACCATTTGATTGGGATGTGCAATTAGCAAGATGTTACTGACAAGTGGATTCTTGGGGAAGTTTTCCTTCGGAAGGTAAGACGAGTTTAACTTATGGCTTGAGGTATTGGTTGTACTTATCGTTCCTAAATTTCGCACAGTACTATCAGATATACGATTATAATGTGCAGAGCAACTCGCTGCAGCCACGCGTTGGTCTTGCCCTCGCCAAGCATTGACAGTCTTTGATGACTAGTTACAATTCGTCTGATACCCATGTTTATGACCATGTACACCTCTTTTGTTATTGTCAATATCAGTTGTCCATCCGTGATTCTCAATGACCGTACACGTCATTAACCAAAGCCCATTTTTTCTGCAACTCCAACAGTCTATCTCGCTCAAGTGGCCTCTCCAGGGTGAATCGCAAATAGAGGGGGAACGAGAAGAATATAAGCCATTGATGGCGCACGGCCGACCTCGTGTAGCTTCATCCTTTATCCGACACTATTCTAGGCCTCTGGTTGGATGCCGGGTACATGGTGAACCTCCCATTTTCACGGCCCACTATCCCAGAGGCCATAATGATAATAAAGTATCGCAGGAATGTTTGATTCGCTCGAGCCCACTTATTAGGTTTGCCTGCGTTTCCGTTCTGACTGGTCAACCTGGCGCCCATCTCCACAGCGCGACGACAGAGCTCTGCGTCTGCTACAATCCAACGTTCACTTTTGAGCTTTCCCTATCCATGCTTTATTCGCTCGGTGATGGCTGTGGGGTTGAGGGCAACTGCCCTGGTGCAGAACGTGCGCCGTGTGGGAGGTGCGGGAAGGGAAGAGCCAGGTAATGAAGGACTACCAACCCGAGAAGAACCGCAAGGATAAAAAAAATCGGTTTACTATTCTTCAGGCGCTTCCGTAGAAAGAAATAAGCGAAGAATGTTGCGAGGTAGAAGCGTGTTGAAATGGCCATCAAGCGATGAGGTTGACACGTTCCATGTCTGTACGATCACGCATCATCGATCGTGGATCGTGGCGAGCCCCGAAGACTGTTGCAGCTGAAGCTTCAAAGTTTTGACCAGCAGATCAGAGTTTTCTGGCTTTCATTTTCACTACTGGAGTTAATGGATGCATCTACTCGGTAAGGCGAATTTCTGTAAGTGCTTTGATTCCATCTCCTTCGCCCAATAGTATCCCGTGCAACATTGACGTTTGATAGTTACAAGCTTTCCATCGACCGTACGCATCTCAGATCTACTTAAATTCTATTGAGATTGTATGTTTACTAAGATCTTCCCAGAAAAAACATCTTTCTTGTATTGTGATACACAATCTCTGATAATTCCCTTATATCCATGCTTTTCAGATCAGCAATAACTTTTAAGACTTGCCTAAACATGTCAGTTAATATCACACAGCATGAGCGGATAATGACACTATGCGAGGGGCCCACCTTATTTGGCAGGGCTCGTTGCGTCCCTTTACCATGCAACCCATCTCAAACTTTTCTTTTTTCTTGTGGGAACTTGCATTTGCAAATTCAGTATCTTTGATATATTTGTAGGATGCGTGCGTCGGCCTAACGTCGCACCATGGAGCGTCTGTTTCAATCATTAGCCGGTCAACAGGTATTTCTTTTACTACATCCAGATTACGTTGCGTCTTCAAGGAACTGCCGGAATGTAAGTCTTAAGTCTAAAGCCCGTCCACGACTGCTTAGACGTCCAGTAGACGTACCATCCATTTATACCAACGAACAGGTCCAGCTCTCCGACTATTACCTTCATTTCCTCTATTGAGCCATCAAACGAATGAACGACCCCACCCACGAATTTTGATCGATTACGTTTGGTCAATTCAATGAAATCAGAACCTGTGTTTCGATTGTGCAGGAACATTGGAAGACCTGTTTGCTGAGCAAGGTCAAACTGACGTTCATAGTATCTACGTGAATGTTAGTTTCCGTGATCGCCAGCGTGCAAATCGTGCCAAAGCGCCACTAACCGTAGCTGGAGTTCCTTCGGACAAAATTCTAACCGATCATAATCAAGCCCACATTCGCCAACTGCAACCACCTTTGCAGAAGGAGATGCTGCATCTTCCTTAATAATACTCAATAAGGAGGTGAAGTAAGCGTCCGGATCCTGGGGTGTTCCGTCTGATGATGTTTCAAACTCTTGACATCGTGTAGGATGACATCCCACGGTTGAAAAGAGAAAATCTGGAAAGGTCCAGCATTTATTCTTCTGCAGGCAACAGCGGGTTAATTATGTCTTTACCATGCCGGCGAGCTAGATGGAGCGCCTCTTGACTTTCTTTGAGATTTCCTCCTAATACAACAGAGATTGTCAACCATATGATAGTTGAACTTGAGCAGGAGAAACGCACCGGTCACCATAATGCGTTCTACGCCAGCGTCACGAGCCCGTTGAAGTACCTGCTCGAGGTCATCTGCGCGATAATGGGCGATGTGTCGAACTTTGAGAGGTTGATGCCAGCGTACCTGTGTGCACCGGCTTTCCCCGATATGTGCCGCGAAACATGGGGTCCGTCAAATTTACACCGATATCTATAATAGAAAAGCATTGCGGTTCTCTGCTTTTTCCTTTCTGGCCACATATCATACCTACCAATACACTTGTAAGCCATCTTGCTTATCTGCCGGACGCCAGGCGGCAGCGTGAAGGGACTTAGACTTCTAGTCGCCAGAATGTAGAGGTATACGCTAGTCTGTTTGAATTTCGTAAAAACGAAGCAGCAGGCAAACGTTCATTTTTCAAGATATCTCAGGATGATCTTGTACACTAACTGGTAATGTGAATGAGTCATAATGACTCATCCAACAGAACGTCGTCCAATCCAAAAAGCCGCACTTCGTGTCAGCAGAGATCGGCAAGATCGCGGCTAAGTGTTGCGAATGTTTAGGAGTGCGGCCAATAGTTATTAAACAGAGCTTCGAAGCTCCAGCACTGGTCATTGTATCTTTTCGTGCTGGCTGCAATCCAGTTGCACCTCCTACTTGTCTCCACCCCACGACAATTGTTGGTTTCCCACCCATGCGCCTTTATCGCGGTTCGCTACTGAGTAGCTGCAAGACATAGGAGGGAGGATATATGGCGGAGTCCTCAGGCAACATCAGTGAGCCTGGTGCGCTGCGGGCTTCTGCGTCTACTGAATTTCCCATTGGCGATACATATGAGAGTACAAGCTCAGAAGGTGAGAATGATGGTTATGTATGCTGCAACTGGCAACGCTCTTGGTTTTGTCCAAAGTTAGGGCAGATCCTATGCACTCTGCGGTTACTGCATGATTAATGAGAACATGCCCTGGTAGATTTGCGTAAAGATCCCAAGTACAGGAGATACCTCAATGCGGTGGACAAGATTCTTCTATCATTTGACACAATTAGCGAATGGGCTGACGTGATAGGCTTCTTGACCCGACTCGCTAAGGTACATTCCTAGTACAACAATTCAACCATGTCACCGGGTGACTCTTATCACCAAATTTCTTCAGACGCTTCAAGCGCACTCCAGCCATTCAGCTATACCACAGAAGCTAGTGATTGCAAAACGTTTGGCGCAATGTCTGAATCCTGCGCTACCAGCGGGGGTACATCAAAAGACGTTGGATGTTTACGGACTGATTTTCGAGGCCACTGGTGTGAGTGCATGTCCATCTTACTAGCAGAACGTCTTGAGGACTCATGTAGATGGCCGGCGATCTAATAGACGACGCAATTAGCGGAGGATCTACCCCTTTGGTCGTGTGGACTATTTCCATTCTTGCAGAATTCGCCAACAACGGTGAAGGTACAGGAGCACAGTAGTCGTCCATCAATAGAGTGGCTGCTAAATGGAGTGCTCACTCTGTGCATAGCCGCAAGTTCTGGCTCTGTACGAAAAATATTATCTACCCTTGGGCTTGCGTTTAAAACCAAGTCTTAAAGCATTGATATTAGCACTTCTTCCCAGTTTAGAGGAAGAGAATAATGAATATTTCGACAGGGTGGGTAACGTTTGACATACTAACCTAAGTATTTAGGGAATAGGCTAACGCTTATGGTATAGGTTATGGGAATTTTGGATGGCCTCGTACGCAGCGTTGGTCAAGGATATTTCTACCATTGTATTTGGCTTTCGTTGATATCCGTGCCGCACTTGCGCTTAGCCGCTGTAAACTATCTACTTCGGCGAATGCCAAAAGTATCCTCCGCAGAAGGTATGCATGAGCAGTCAAGTTCGACGTGGCCTTCTGTAAATCAGTCATCGCCTGTGGTTTAGACGTCGCTGTGGTGCTTGGAAACGATACGAGCTTGTTGGCGAGGGCATTATCCGCAGTGTTGGAAGACAGAGTCCTGCTGGTGCAAAGGGGGGCATTAGAATTGCTGCTGGTCCATTTCCCTTTGAAATATGGGTACGGGATATGCAATGGGATCTACTCCTGGCAGTTCGCTAATCGGAGTGAACTTGGCTAGCCTCTTTCACGGGCCCGACCTGGTTTTACTGCTCGGTGCATCGGCAGGCGTTGTTTTACGCAAAGACATGTCTCTCAATCGCCGGCTTTACGCATGGCTACTAGGTATGGGTTAAGTGTTCACACTTTTCGTTGATCCTCATTGAATGACATTCGACATAGGGTCAGCCGACAGTAAACTTTTGGCAGATGATTGTAGATTTCCTCTGACTTCGGCATTGAGGGTAAGTAAGACAAGGAGTGTCAGTTTCCGTGATGAGCAGGCTACCTGACACTTCTCGGGAAGGCTATGTTCTATACTCCCAGCGCCGATTTTTCTGAGATCTCCAAACCGTATAAAATAATGATATCTTTAATGGACAAGACTGAAATCGGACAACCTTTGCTGCGCGATCTTTTTCCTATCATTTTCCACTCCCTGAAAAAGCAGATGGAGTCTTCAACCCATCAGACAGAGGTAACCGTAGTTTTATTGCCCTATTTGATTCCCACGACTCAACAAATCTACAATGGGTGCTAGCTATTGCAAACGGCGACGATGTTTTTAGATATGGTAGACCCTCTGCTGATTTGGACGCAATTGTACCGCATTGTACGCAAAGCCTCGCTCGAATCCATGGACAAAGTCGAGGTAACACTTCTTGGCAAGCAGGCATCGCAAACGACCTTGATAATGAATCATCCTCAGGGTTATGAGCTCTTCGATTTTGCGCTTTCGACCTTCAAATGGAGTGACGACGAGACCCAACGTGTTCATTTGCCGTTTTTGTTCAAAACCATGACCAATCGACTTACGGTAATTCATACAAGATTATGCTTATCATCAACATCTAACGCGTGAATTCTTCTTTTAGACGTTACCGTCTCTTCCCGAAACTCTTGCTAATTTACCATTATACTTAAAGCTGATCGGTAAACTTGAATTTCTCATTGGCGATGACGTCCTATCCCACTCCTGGTCATTGCGTGATTTCGGTGGTGCCAGCATGGAAGAATTACCGCCGACAGATGCAGCCGGTGACGGGAATGGAGGGCTTTCATCGGCGGCAAAGCGTACAGGCGTAGAGCAAACTAAAAGGGATATGGTAGTGGAAATTGATGAGTTTTATGAGATGGCTGACAATGCATCCGGTGCATTGGACCCCTTTCGTCAGCAAAACATTCTAGTGGGAAGGAATATTCTTCAATCAGGTTTCAGTGACTTGCTCGCTTTCGTGGCCCGGTTGATAACGGATGGGATTTTTCATGACCACCAAGTTGAAAAACCTGCGAACGAAGCACTGGACCGAACAGTGGTGAATGCGCCGGTATCATCTTATCATGGCAGACGCCGGATAACAAGCGTATTCGGACAAGTAACAACGATCATTCAAAGTCTTGCCGCCCATCTAGATCCCCTGGATCGCGAGGCCCAATTGCGGCGAATGTCACAAGGCGATGTACAACAACACTGTACAGAAGAGGGTGTTCCACTGCCGTCAGTGTCAGAAGGAACGGGAACGATGTGGCTTGTGCCATTGATGAATGCAGCACATATGGTACGCCTGTTATGTGATTTTGCTTGTCATGCTATGGCGGTAGAGGGATTGATCTATGTCCCGTAGGTCAATGACTTTCCCGTCCTCAACGCTGCTTTGAGCTGTTTGCTAAGCCTGCTCACCAGCAAGCTCTATCCAATTCCTGAGCCACCGCAGTTCAATCATTTTGTGTGTGCAGTTATGCAAAAAGTATGTGTTGGCGCGGATGGGAATGGTTGAGAAAGCTGTCCTGACACCATTGTAGTTATGGATGTTCCTAGGCCCTGAGGAGGTCCGATATCACTCTCGTGCTGTGGAGCTAATATGGGCTCTCTGTTCTGTATCGAGCTCCTATATAATGGAAAATGTCATGGCTCAACAGTTAACAAGCGGAACATCGTCGGAGCGGCTAGGACGCTTCGAGAAGTTTGGCATTTTCTGGAGGCTGTCGGGTATGAAGAATCAGCTAGTTTGCTACGCTATCATCGAATTCTCAGTCTCTCGTGCAGAAGAAGCTGCGAGTCACGCTAGTATGCTTTTCTCCCGCCCCTTATTTATAATGCTTGACGCATTGCGAAGCAAGGATCCTCTCATTCGCAGAGGTGGAGAAACGTGGTTCAGATCCTATGTCAAATCATATATCCGGTAAGCGCCGTCTCATTAGCATGATGCGAATGAAGGTGATTAAATCGCTCATTCTACTTTGAAGAATTCTTGATCCGTTGTTGGCGATTCTGCTTCATCGGGACATCCGCCGTATTTCAAAAAACGTTCGCGTCAGTGGCGAAGACGTGGCCCTCTTTTATTACACAGCGCCCTTCAATCAAGCGCAAGTGGACTACGCCTACCAGACTTTGCTAGGGATCTTAAGTTTTGGAGATCGGCTGTTCCTACGATCTATATGGATGGCCACAGTTAAACTACCTGATCTTGTTAACGCTTGTCGCTGGATGGAAGAGGGTATTACGTGCGCAGCTTTCGATATCTCGCGCCCACCGCCACTGATATATACATTTCTCAGACTATAATATTCCAAGCAACCATTTCACGTACGCGGAACTGCTGATAACGCTTAGTCTGAGGTGCGTTCTCTGTGCATCTTAGATGATTCAATGCGAGTAACTGTCAATCCACTTAGGTACCTTCAGAGCGAACCACTCCCGCATGCCTCGACCAGCGAGATCAACCTGATAGAATCGATTCAAGCTCGTGCGGCTGAGTTCCTACTTATTGTGTTATCCCGGTCCGATTACGCGAATTATCAGCTAGTGTCCGTCGTCCAAGGAATAGTCATTCGCAAGTTGCTGTATTGCATATTCGCTTGCAAACTAGATGTGCAGCCACGAATGCTTCAGGTACTGCATGGCATTGCAGGCTTGCTCAGTTCTCAGCGAGTGGTTCACGAAGTTGGAACGGTGCCCGTCTCTACCAAAGCGGATGTGCCTGTGTCAGCGGCAATGGACAGTATGTTAGCAGCGGAGATGAGAACGGAATCGCAAGAGCACACGGAGAGCAGCGAAACAAAGCCAAATTCCAATGCTACTTTTCCTCGCTTGCGCACTATTGGTAAGAAGATGCCTTAGAAAAATGTGCGATTAACGCCCATTCATCGTTTGTTTTGCGAAGGCTCATCTCCAATCCTGGTTCGCACTTTGCTCGATGCCCTTTCAATACGCACCAATCGGCCCGTGCTCCAACATTACATGGACTTCATCCTTTCTTCCCTTCCCCATCTTCGAAACTCTTTCAGAAGGATTTTGCTCCCCATAATACAATGTCTTTGTGACGAGCTACGGAAGTATCAAGATGGAATGAGAAAGTATATGTCATATAGTTTCGAGCGGTTACAAAGCAATGGAATCGACCCAGGAGATGAGCAATTGTCAATGCAAGCGTACCCCGAGCTAGATGCGCTAGTCCTATTGTATGGGTTGGAGAAACTTATCGCATTTTGTTTGGCGGAAGGTGGTTTGGATAGTACCGGAGCGAAAGGCGGGCCACCGGGAGCGGGAGGGACCAGCTTCAAATTTTTCACAGGCTACGTTGCCAGCGTCTTTGGTAGCGATGAAAGGGGTCTGGAAGCAGAGACGGCGCAGCAACGGATGACGGAAGTAGTTTTGAACCTACTGCCGTCAATCTTGAGGAATTTGCAGGAGCTGTATGGGTTGTTTGACGTATGTTCGACTGAAGGGCAATCCATGGAATCCCGTAACCAGCTCGATCAAAGCAACGCTCAAGAAAGCATGGGCATGTCCTTCACATTTCTGAGGGATCGTTTACGTTTTCGAATCCGTAAAGTCTTGGAAGCCACTTACAAATTACATTCGGCAGATACCATCGAGTCGTTAATTGAGGTATGGCTCGCGGAAAATGGGGGTCACGTTGACAAGGAGGTGAGCGTATGCAGCATGTCCGCCAGAGCACGGCAGTGCATTATGCTCACAGCTGCTATCCAGGAGAAGGCGCTGAAGCGAACCGCTATCGCAATGATGGAGGTGATTCACGGAAGTACTCCAAGGTCGATAGTGACCACAGTCCTTGACATATTGAAGGAACGCGGGGTAATTCTTCAAGGAACCAGTCAAAGAGATCGCATAAAGAAGGCATCTCTGAAAGCGCGGACTTTGTATGTCTCATTTTCGCAATCGAGTGAAATGGTGCCCTCATTAATGTCGTGTTACAGACCAGACATATCATTGGTGCTATTTCTGGAGAAATACTGCGCGCTTTGGGCTCCAGCGGAAACCCTCAAAGAGACGTGGCCCTATGTGGCCGCATACGTGAAAGAGGCTAGCGCCCAAGCGTCTGCATATAAACATTTGTTTTTGCCTATCTTGAGGTGAGTAGAAAACTCTACAACGATTTCCTCAGCAGTTGTGCTCAGCGCATGCGATACTCTGCCTTCGAGTAGACTTTTGAACGTGTACTTTGAAAAGTTCGCCACTCTACCACAGTTTGAAGACAAGCGTATTTTGCGCGAAGCAGAGGTTGGTCACTGCATTGGGGTGACAATATGATAGCTAGGTTGTCTCAGACAATTGTATCCTCAGGACTTGTACCAGAAGGTCTGCGATTATTGCATCTTAATAGCCGGGCGATCTTTTGACCAGGGATCATGGCGGAAAAGTGTTCAAGCGGCCGACACAGATACTGCCAACGCTGGTAAGAGCTGTATGCAGTCATTTGTTCGCCGGCCGGAATTCCCTCACTGAAGAGGATCGGATTGCAGATCAGGTCGGCATTGGCATCGGAGGGCGCGGAGATGCAACTGCAGTTTTGCCATTGCCGGAGATAGACCATATGGTAAAACGCTTGAGCAAGGTTTCTGATGAATCGCTGGTGCAGGAGGTGAGGAGTATCTGTTCTGTCCGAATTGACGTTTACCATATAAATAACGAATTGGGAAGGTGGTGGTGTTTTTTGGCAGCTCTCTTGTACCATCACTACGCAGATTTCTGCTAGATCAAGACCGTATATTATCAATTCTAAGTAACATGGTATACTACATCGTCGCACCCCTGTTCAGAAATAAGCAAAGGTGGGAAGAGCTGCAATCATAATTGACATGCGAGTGCTGACTGAATATTTTCAGCGTGAAGGCACTGCTCAATCCCATTTTGGAGCTTGTTTGTGCCATGACGACCTTGCCTGCTGCGCACAGAGCTTGGCGTCGGGAGGCATGGGATGCATTTCTAGACCCGAAGTTCTTTGAGATGGGCATCGTGGCAAGTAGGAAATGGCGTGTGATAGTACAAGCAATGGTGTCGTCAGATAAGGAGAAGATAGCTGATCTTATAGGTAACCCAGGACTGTTCACTCTCGATTTCTCCGTATCCCATTTTTGACGGACTGATTTAGGGCGGATATCGGCTGTTCCGTCCGCCACGCTCTTTATGTCAAAGGATCAGGAGACAACAATACGGGCATATGCAGTTCGACGCCTGTCCTTTGTCATTTTCAGTGGGACGATGGATCAGTATGTTCCTCAATTGCCAGGTATACAAGAGAAACTGGTGGACATTTTCAAAGTAAAATCGGATGTCATGCATATTGAGGTGTGAAGCATTATCAAGGACATTCACAGAGAATTACAAACTAACGCTCTATGTAGGCGTATTTGTGCTTGCGGGTTCTGCTTTGCAGGATTTCTACGCATCATTTGGCAAATTTTTGGCCAACCGTTTTGACAGAATTGGTAAGCTCTATTGCATCAGCTTGCACCAATCCATTTGTCCCTAACCAAAATGGGCCTGGTCAGATACGTGTGTTTGAAATGTATTTAAGGGGCGATGAAGCTCGCAGCGCGGAGAGCACGGCAGCCTTTTTGGCTGCTTGCAAATTTTTGGATCTGCTGTTAGTTTTGCAGATTGAGGAATTTCAATGGTAAGAGAGTGTTAAAGCAAAGCAATTGTGACATGTCTTATATAATGAGACGCAGGCATCAATGGATCTTCATCACGGAAACATTGGAAGTATTGCAAGATGCCAATAACGCAGCGGTGCGACCGGTGGCATTTGTGGACAAACTCTACACGAAGTGGAGTGGGCAACTGAACGATTCGTCAATGTGGACCCAACCGTCAATCGATAGTTATCCACTTGAGGGGCTTCGCCCAGTGTCAGATGATCTAGCAACGTCCTTGCATCATCAAGTACGACGACGACCTCTACTGACGGCTCGATCCATTTCGGACAAGCGTGAGCTACTTCCTTTCTTCCAGTCGGCGAGCAGATACATCTACGAGACCACATATTCACTAGCGAAGCCCGACATCGAACTCGTAGAAAATATGTTGGAGGCTGAATTTTTATTTGTTGACGATGCAGCTATTCCTGGGTTCGATAGCACACCAAGGACGTCCCTCACTTTGACTGAGTCAGGAGGAGCAGGGTCTCCTGGTGCCTTTGGAGGACGCGAGGCGGGGGCAGACGTGAGCGGCGGAGTGATAGATCTGAATTCCCCAAATCATCCAGCAGTGAAGGAGAATGAAAATAGAACCTAATTGTACATTAGACTACGCACCAGACGACTATGGAAGTCACCTGACGACGGAACGAATGCGGTATATATTGTGCATGAAATCTACAATGTTAAGAACAAATTACTCCACGTGGGTGGCCCTGCTCGCCGAGGTCTCCTACGTAGACTATCACACAGAGCCATATTACGCTCGCGGGTGATCTGTGTGTTGCTGATCGGCTGTATTGCTTCCAGCCTCTGCGATTCCCTGCGCCTCTTTATCTATATAGGGTAATGGTGCTGATCGATAGGACTATCGCAGTTGCCCTTGGTTTGCTTGCGCTGTAAGCTTCTGTCCTACTTTCATGTTCACTTCGAAGTATTTCGCAACACAACGGTCAATGCAGACGGATTCTCCTTTATTCAGCTCGCCGTCTTGGTATTTCGGGGGTACGCACTTTCTATAGCATGAATCGACGATGCTGACAACGGCCAGATTAGCCCATGAACGATTCTGACGAAGTAAAATAGGAAACTCACTTGTTGAACAACGTAGTCACCATTTCCTAATTAAAGAGATGCAAACATGGAAAGGCACGGGATCAGTTACTGCTATAGCACTACAGATCACAAAGCTCGAGCATGAAAACTCATTTTCCTGAGTTCGACAAATGATGCAAAGCGGTGCCCATGTCCTTCAAAGGCAGCTTTGACTAGTTTCAGTTTGTTCTTCCGCGGCTTAGTATCCAACGATCAAGGTTTCCCACAGGGATTACAACGGTGGACAATTGATCACGGTATTATGCGTTGGACGGACATCGGGGCGCATATGTCGCTCTTACCAGTTCCTGCTCGGCCATGGACATGTTGACGTTGCTCTGAACCTGCGTCTGCTGACCAAAGTTTCCGAAGTTCATGTTTGCGTGTGATGGAAGGGTGAAGTCGAATTCTTGCAACCTCTAGATACACTCTTCGACCTTCGCCTGAAGGTCGGTGAATTTGATGCCATGGCAACAGCAAGCTGAGTAAGAACTCCAGCACCCACCCACTGTGATCTACACTCCAGAGATCACTGGCAATCCTAGCTTAAGAAACCTGGGTCAAGAGGCTTTCTGCTCTACGCTCACTCACCTGTTGTACGTGCGCGTATTGTAAAACGTTGTTAATTGCAGTCCAGTTCGCATGGCGTCCGCAAAAGCGTCGCTTGACTTTGTGGGCATTGGTTGTAACCGAGTCAGCCAGGCGGCAGATGCGGCGGCAGACGGACTTGTTGCTTTTGCTGCCAACCACTTTGTCGCATTGTATAGACCAGAAGTTAGTTTTCCGTAATCGAAGTAAATTTGCTTTGAGGAGGACGTTAAAATTGTTTCCTAGGCTGCGACATCTCACGGCACTATTTCCACGTTGCGTGGTCACAGGGACCGTGTTAACTGCCTCAAGTATCTAAGAAGAGGTAATACACACAGAAGCCTTAAAGTCATTTTCAATGCGGCTGATGGAAAACTGGATAGGATCCGGGAGCGGACAGCGTGATGTAGGACTTGTTTCGGGATCTGCTGATAAGACCCTTCGAATATGGAAGAAGATTGGTGATGACCAGGTTGGTTCGTACCGATTTTACTGTAGGCGTTGAACTAATCAAGGCTCTCAGTGGATTTGTTCGGCAGTCTTGGAAGGACATACTGCTGGAATAACGAGTATCGGCGTTGTAAGGGGACGAAACATACCTGGAGACTTGGACTTGATCGCCTCTGCGGCATCTGATGGGACAATAAGAATATGGGAGAGATTAGAGGGAAATGGTAAAGCGACTGCTATATGGTGACATGATTGAGACAGCACCATTAATCATCCAGGGCCTTTAGAGGATATCGTCCGCTGCGTTCAAGTTCTCTCGGTGGGTGCTAGATATGCGATGTGTCTTGCCCTAGCATACCTCCCAAATTCGACAGGTATGGTTAAAAAATGCCTGTATCCAATGTGCTCACATGTATCGCATGTATACATGTTTAGTTGTTTACTTCACGTTTACTGACCTTCCTCTAACAGTACCTGTTCTCATTAGCGGCGGCACAGATAGCCGGATGACTGTATACATAAGGGAGCGAAAGCAGGTGTGGTATCCGTTTACTCCTCTTCGTCAATCTGTTTCACGGTAGACTGATGCCCTGTCAAAGTTTGCCAAAGCGCTTGAGTTGCAGGGTCATTCCGATTGGATCCGATCACTGGATATAGCGACGTACACATCAGCAGATGATGATGACAGACAGCAGCCGCACTTCCGGGATGGCGACTTGATGCTTGCAAGTGCCTCACAGGACAAATATATTCGTATTTGGAAAATATCTGATGCAGCTGGGGATGTTGCCACCAACGGAGACGTAGATGATTTTACAAATCAAATGATGAACGCGTTAGCGGATGCCGGATTGTAAGTTCTGTTGGAGAATTCGTTTGTGATCAACAAATAGATTCTTACGGCTTACCCTGTGAAGGGAAGATGGAGGGTTCCAACTCAGCACGAAAGCCCATCTTATAGAGGTGGAGGACATCAATGACAGTTTGATCAGGTTCGAACGAAATATTCTTTATCATACCTCCCTTATCTCCTAAAATCGTCTCAGCAAGCGCAAATACACAATTATGTTTGATGCCCTGCTCATGGGACACGATGATTGGGTCCATAGTGCCGCATGGCAAGCACCGCTCATCGGAGGTAAGTGACCAGTTGTTGACAATAAATGGCAAGTGATACCCATCGATGTTGCATGCTATATAGTCGAGGCGAGCAACTCCTACCATCAACCAATGGCACTTGTATCGGCGTCAGCCGATAAATCCATAATGATTTGGCGACCAGACCCAATAAGTGGCACTTGGATCAATGAGGTACTGGTGGTCGCGACTGACATTGATGTTCGGCATGGCGCTGCTCACTTCAATTGGCTCTGGATATCAGGTGCGGCTTGGTGAAATTGGCGGTAGCACCCTTGGCTTCTACGGGAGCTTGTTCAGCCCCAATGGGAACTGGGTGCTGGCCAACGGTTACAATGGAGCCCTTCATGTCTGGTCACAGGCGAGTGAAAATGGTAAGGTCGCTTGTGCATTGGGTGACAAGGAATTCGCTGTTAACCCTGCATTAGAATGGACACCGCGGATCGGGATCAGTGGTCATTTTAAATCTGTTGAAGATCTGAGCTGGGACCCATCGGGACAGTTCTTTGTCAGCACAAGGTTTGTTTCAGTGTCCATCACAGCAATTTCCGACGGAGACAGCAAGCCTTACAAATCTTGCCAGCTTGGACCAGACGACGCGATTGTTCGCGCCATGGAAGCGGGATACTGCAACCACATGGCACGAAGTTGCGCGGCCGCAGATACATGGGTACGACTTGCATTGTCTAGCATTTGTCCACAAATATCAGTTTGTAAGCGGTGCTGATGAAAAGGTATGCTCGATAATATTGGGTATTATTGTCCGGAAAGCATAATTCATCTGGCCACCTGACTGACCTCTTTACAGGTTCTTCGCGTGTTCGAGGCACCACGAACCTTTGTTCAGTCGTTGCAAGGCTTGACCCAAGAAACTGAGCAACCGACGTCCATAGAACAACTACCGATTGGCGCCAGCGTACCAGCTCTGGGACTTTCCAACAAGGCGGTATTTGAAGGTATGTGAAACTAAATGCTAACGGCGAATAAATCATATGCATTTGTGACCAATTGGAAATAATAGGGGACATGAAAACAGCTGAAGCGTCCCATGACTTCAGAAATCTGTCAGCATACACAGCCGTAGCTAGCACACCGACATCCTTACTTGAAGCGCTGACTCAACCACCATTCGAACAACACCTTTTGCAACATACATTGTGGCCGGAGACAAACAAACTTTACGGGCATGGCTATGAAATCATCAGCGTTGCTGCCAGTCATGACGGCAATTTCGTAGCCTCTGCTTGCAAGGTATGAATGAACTTTGCCTGTGGCTTGAACGACCCTCTCCAATTCTTAGCTGCGTTCGCTTTCAGGCTGCTAAAGCAGAGCATGCTGCGATCCGTCTCTGGTCGACAAAAACCTGGAAGGAAGTATGTGCTCCTCTAGCCGCACATAACCTAACGGTTGCAGGCATCCGCTTTTCTCCCGACGATCGTTATATTTTGACGGTCGGCCGTGATCGCGCCTGGGCCTTGTTTCAACGCACGGACGACCTACAGTCCTACAGTCCTGTGGCTTTCCAAGCGAAGGCGCATATGCGCATCATCTGGGACGGCGCATGGTCTCATGATGTGCGCTTCTTTGCCACTGGATCTCGGGACAAGACTGTGAAAATATGGGCTAAACAATTCGATGGTACCTCTTGGAAAGCACTCACCACGCTGAAATTTGGGGAGGGAGTGACGGCTGTAGATTTTGCCCCTCGCCTGATTGCCAACAGGTATGATTATCACAGATAAACTCGACGATGGCCAGTATTGTAGAGAAGTTAATACTTCGAATTTCCCCTCATTAACTCCAGCTACATTCTTGCCGCGGGACTGGAAGACGGGCGGATACAAGTATTCCAACTCTCGCTAGAAGACAACAACGCGTCATGGACGGAATCTGTTTCTATACCGCTTGAGTAAGACCTGAACTGTCTCCAGTTTCCAGTTGTTCATGCTGAAATCAGACTATTTGTAGCGATTGCCACGCAGGCCCCGTGAAATCAGTAGCATGGCGAACACGAAGAATACAAGCAGACGAGCGGAGTTCCACGTCGACTGAAGTCCTCCAGCTGGCTACTTGCAGCGAAGATCACTCCGTCCGGTTATTTAGCGTACCGTTTTCCACAGCGTAGCCTCCGTCATATACACCAAAGGTACATAGAAGCAGTGTAGATAGTGAAGCATTATCAACCCGAGTACATACATTTAAATTAGATATGCTGCAGCGATGGCAACCTATACAAGAACTATGCCCGTTATTAGGCCCTTATTTCGAGGAAATAGAGGAGCTCCTGCAATTCAATCCCCATGGTGATCCTGGAATATGTGTATCCGCAGCTAGGAGGCTTTCCACACGAGCACACCCTGCAGCAAATATGGATAGTCATGAGACGGGGACGCGATCACTCAAAATGCGTACGGCGAGACATACGAGGTTTCCACCGAAGTACATGTAAAGCAAGTTCCGCATCTCATGTGTGACTTCAAATCCGTAACCTTCTCCTACCACAGCATGCCAAGAATTTCCACATCTCTTATCCATTAACTCTTTAATATTTTGTGCTGCAGCCTATTCCGCGAATTAGTTATGACTGACGGACGCTCCAGTAGGCATGGACGTTCACGGACCTCAAAATTTCCTGGATGCTTTTCTACTGCTGTTACCACCATATCTACAGCTTCCACTCGAAGTTCCTCTGCCATATCACAAACCTATCAAAGATAGAATGCGGTAATTAACGGCATGGCATCAAGAATGCATGCAAAAAATGGGAGACATTACTCTAACAAGTGGATAGTTGAAATTCTTCTTGGGGTCCTTGTCTTCGCCTTTGTCGGCGCTTGCTCCGGCGCTTTTGTCTGGCGCTGCAAGGTTGGCCGTGCTGCCCAAGTCTGTCATGCTGTTGCTTTTTCTGTGGCAGCGGGACAGGATCTGGTGAACAAGATCTGATGCTGCGGAACGCGATTCAGGTAGGATTATATAAGCAGATTGGGCACTGAGGAGCATGATGGGTGGCGATGAGCTATGAAGCACCCGATTTTACAACTTGCCATTTTATGTTTGGGCTATGGCTGTCATAGAATGCAAATTGTCGCTGGCGCAGCAGATCGTCACACAGTAACCTTTGCCTCGCAGGCCAAGTTAAGATCGAATCACTGAAAGTCGGAATAGATTCATGCGTCGTCCAATATCCTTCATATCAAGTTTATGCGCTCCAATTGCAGCTACTATTGGTCCTGGATTTCATCGGCTGATGTAGCATGATGGACATGTGCGGCCAATGGCAATGATGGGATTCCAAATGAAGTTCACTGACGTAAGGATACTGGTGCGTGTCCACAACCCTGGATCTGGTCATTGAAACTACCTCTACCCAGGTAAGCGTGCAGTTATGTTCTAAAGAAGTATGAATTTTGCAAGGCAGATGGCTTGTATTGTCGGTTTCATGTAGAGTTCGCAGAGAATTCCCAGCTTTCCACAAATGCTCGATGACCTTGCCACACATGTGCCATTTTGCTACCATAACTGAAGCGTTTATGAAATAAACATACTAACTAGAATAGTTTCACTTTTTGCCCAGAGCTGACCCTGGCCGTTCTGGTACCAAGATTGGTCTCGGACTGCGACTTCCAGATGACAAATCAGGAGACCTGGCACCCAGCTGACGATCAGCGGACACGGGCAGATGGCGTGGGGGCTCACTCGCTGGCTCCTCTGCGGCCGTTTCGGCGACGAGGATCTCACGTTGCCGATCTAGCAGTCGAGTGAGCTCGGCTTGGGTTTGATGCAGTCGCTGTTTTTACAGCATAAAGCCGCGTGAGAATACGAAAAGTCTCAGCAGAGGGACCCGGGCCTTACCTCTGTCAGATGCATCGTATGCCCCACTCCGCTCGGGTTTCCAAACAGTCGACTAGCGACCCAAGTACTGAAGCGGTTACGAATACCGCTCTCGTTTACGACCTCAACTCCTGCACCTTCAATTTCCAGTAGCCTGTCATTCAGATCTTCTAATGACTTCTGGGTACGTGAAATAAGATCGTCCACCTCAGCTAAAGTATTTGGATCTGAGAGAATGGTCAGTGTAAATCGGGCACGATCCAACGATATGGCTCAATGTGTACCTGCGACATTCCGTCGCTTAGCTGCAAGCGGGTCACTTCGGACATACTGTGCCTCCAAGGCGGGCGTTACGTTTGTCAGTCGCCTTGTGCGGGTTGGCGCATAGCTGCGGAGCGTCTCTCCGATATAAATCTAGCAAGCCTGGCTCCTTAGCAGATACTCTGGCGATTCCACTCGCGGTGTGAATCATACCTGTCGTGGACGATATATCTTGTACTCTGGATCGTCAAGGCTCTCCAAGCAGTTTGCAATGAATCCCGCCACTCTACATTATTGCAACTGTTTTAGGGATCGTCGTACACAAACAACGGGACGTTATAGACACACCTTGGAACGGTCATCAATACAGGGAACATGTCTGGAGGAAATCGCAGCGTATGAAATACAATGGCAGTCCAGAAATCGATGTTTGCATAGAGGCCCCGCTAAATAACGCAGATGTTAGTGGCATTGCAGAAAACTGGACAAAGGGAAACGGTAGAACATGTACCTGCACAAACCATTCGTCCCCCATCACCGCCTCCTCCAGAGCAATCGCTATCTCCACCAATTTGTCCTTGCCCATAAGCTCAAACAGCTAAAATATACGTTAACACTCAAGTATGCATCGCCAGGATCCAGTAGCTATCAAACAATTTACCTCAAATGCCACTTTTTTTGCAACTCGGACTCGTGGATCACCAGTTTTATAGATCCTGTGGCCAAAACCCATAAGCCGGAGCGGGCGGGTGTTCTTTTGCGTAGCTTTCTTCCCACCGCCCAAACCATTTGAGGCGTAAAGGGCTGCCGCATCTGTCTCTTTTCTTTTGACCATACTCAAGAAAAGCTGGATCTTCTCGACCTTCCCAATCTGCTTTAACATGTCAATCACCGCTGACCTGGGATAAAGTAACCGTTCATTCACTCCTTGTCTTCTTTGGTGAACCCAAGGAACATAAATCCGCGCAGCTGAAACTCACGCTTTTCGTTCACCAAACAGAGCGCCAGCTGCGCCGGAGAGAGCCGTGTATGGGTCGACCCCCGATGAAATCAAGTGTCGCATTAAAACGGTCGAGCAATTACTGCCGTGCTCTATGTGGGTCACGAACTGAGCAACGAGAAACCCACTTCGGACAGACGTCCAGGCACTTACCCGCCAGCAAAATGAACATGGAGTTTAGAATCTTAATGAGACGCGGATCGGGTTTGAAATTGGGCTCGTTCAGCTAACAGCTCCACGAGTTGAGTTTGAATGTACGCGTGACTCCTTAGCACAAAAGGCACACCTTGTCCATCATGTAAAGAACATTCTCACAATAGTCAAGACAATTTGGCATCGGATGGTTGTATGGTCGCCCTGAAGGTAAGGATGCAACGGATATTACAGGTCTCCGTTGGAGTACAAACTGTTCCAATCCAGACAGCATGGTCCTTACCCAATCTATGACGGTACACGTTCGCAGCAATGGTTGGAACTTTACCGAGCATACGGAAGATTGCGCGGTTGCGCACTGAGCGAACAGCTTCAGCTTTTTCCTGTTCATCCGCAGACAATTCCTTGCCAGGAGCTGTCTTGGGCATCATGTACATGTCGACACCATGAAGAGCCGGATTGGCTTCTGGATGAAAAGTAGAGAGTGATGCAATGGTAGCAATAAGCATTCCATGGGGATGCGCATCGTATCGAAAAGTCAGCATCTAGATCAGACAGGTCAGAACAGCATCCAGGTGGTATCAGACATCACTTAAATGTTTCGCCTACCTGTCGTTCCAGCTCCGTATGCATATAGGTATGGGTCATCACAGCTTTCGTAAAGTGTTCATGCTCAGCCTGTGGCGTCAGTCGTCAATGTCAACTGGGAATGAGCTCCGCAACATCAGGAAAAAGTACCTTGGTGGGTAGATTTCCGTAAATAAGAAGATATGCCACTTCTAAATACGTGCTCTTTTCCACTAGCTCTTCCACATCGTACCCGCGATAGTACAATTTTCCATTGTCAGGGTCGATTTTGGATACTTTTGACCTGCACACAGTGGTATTCTTGAATCCCGGATCATACAGGCGAATCGGTACCTTGTCGGTGGGATCGTCTGATGGCGGTTTAGTAGGAGTTATTTTCAATTGTGCAAAAGCGGTTCCTGGAATGGTTTTGGTCTTGGTATTGATAGGAACGGTGATGGTAGTGTTCGTTCGCGGATCGGTGACAGTCAAAAAATTGCTACAGGGAAATTGTAATTTAATAGTTGGAAGGGAATCTTCCGGATGGGAAGGCAGCGAGGGAGCTTACTTGTCACCCGGTACAGGGCTGGCAGTGGCCGCCGTCGCCATGTTTGAGATGCCTTCCTGGCGGCACTTGAGAAGAGGAAGTGTGACAACGTCAAATGCTGACCAGATGTGGAGATGCCATAACCAGTACTTAGCGCGTAAATGACTGGAATCAGCCTGGTTCGACCCACTGGTAAAGTTGAATAGTTAATGATCCAGGTTTGATTCTCATGAGTATTGAATAAGCCAATTAAAACGAACATATGGCAGAGTGACTCACGTGACGTGAATGGAACGGAACGCGAAAGGGTTCTTCCACCTCTCCCCCTTGTTTTCGTGCCATACACTGCCTGCCTGCCTGCCTGCCGTGTTTTGTCTGCCTGCCTGCCTGCCTGCCTGCCTGCCGTGTTTTGTCTGCCTGCCTGCCGTGTTTTGTCTGCCTGCCTGCCATGTTTGTCTGCCTGCCTGCCATGTTTGTCTGCCTGCCTGCCTGTCGGTCGGTCGGCCGTAATAAAAGCGAGCGATGATGGACCTCCCCGCCTCATCCTCCTAGCGTGAATTTTCGAAGCAGAAAAAAGAGAGGTTCCTGATGTGGAGTTCCGAACACCCAGTCGACTAGCTTGAGGCGAAGATTGATAGGGCGTTGATCTGCTGAATCCGTAAGCTATGAGGCAAGTAGAAATTTGTTGTGGGATAAGGAATCAATTGGAAGAGCGCAGCTAAAACGGCGCGCGTTGCTAGGACGAGGAGGTCTTTTCTACATAGGAGCGACCTGGACCTCAGTGTGTTTCCAGCATGTCGAATAATGTACAACTTGTGTCCGGACAAAATCAGCACTCGTTCGATTTAACTTATATGTATTTACCTGATATTAAGTATGCCACACATTTACATATATAATTCAAACCGATCCACTTCGTTGAATGCATCGATAGACTTGTCCGAAATAATGACGAAGGTTGAGGCACGATTTTGTACGTGCCCTTATCCTTTTTGGAGACGCTGGAAACAAACTATAGAAGCTACAAAATGTCACTTCAATATTCGTCATTATTCTGGATGCTACGTTAATAAACATTCTGTGCCCGGCTACGTGTCACGACAATTGGATAGAAAAAATCCAGCCCGAAATACAGCCTACAATCCTTCCTATATACAGCTACGTAACATGTCTTTCTAAACCCTTCACCTCCTCCACCAAGCATATACATTGTTACAAAAAAGAGCACCCCTGAAGAATGTCCTAATACTCAAACCTGACTATCTCCCCAGTAGCATCACTAGAGACGTACACATACTTGTCCACGATGGCCAATCCTGCTGGTCTGAAACATGTGGTTACGGAAGTTGCAGGGCACAATTGGTCCGACAACCAAAGCACCCGATCTGTCACACGGTCCACTGTCGGAGATCCATCAGGCTTGAATGGTAGGCGTACGATAGAGTATCCCGCTGGAACGTTCCGATTCCAACTACCATGTAATGCCACATACAGCATCCCTGAAGGCCCGAATTCCATGTCAAGCGGCGCACTATGGGCCTGGATCATGGCAGAGGGAGTTACCACATTAGCAGGATCGCGGCACCATGCATCGGTGTGGGTACCGTCATTCATAGAGTCCGGCCAAGCGTACTGTGTGCCTACGGAGGGGTCTGTAGCAAATGACCCCGAAACGTTCCCTAGAGTGAAGCAGTACGGGTAGCCGTAAAAACGGCCAGGCTGCTCAAGCAGATATATGGGTTCTATAGGGCTATCTTGAACGATATCATTGCCGATATCGGGCCTCGCGAGATTATCCGGGCCGTTTACCGCTGTCCACAGCTTTCCTCTCGAATCAAAAGCCATGGCCACAGCATTGCGCACACCATCAGCAAATACTTCTGCGGTTTGGAAATTGAATGCGGTCGAGTTGTATGTTTTGTACGGCACCCGCCGAATTCGGGAGCGGAACGGGGTCGGGTCAACATTACCTAGGCTTCCTACAGAGATATAGAGCCAATTGGAATCCAAGAGAATTGTGCGAGTAATGTGCCCTGCTGCAGTGTCGCCAGGTAGGAAGCCGCTGTCAATGTTACTAACAAACGTTTCGTATTCACCGGGTTTCGCGATCGGTTGGCCAGAATATTTCCACCGATATACGGATGATGCGCTGCTGGCGTAGATGTACCCTTCGTGTATTGCCATACCATGGTTGAGTCCAATATTTAAGGACGAAACATCGAGAATCACATTCTGCGAAAAATCCGCAGTTGACGGCTGGACTACTGCAATCGCTACAACCTGCTGCTTCCCTCGAACAAGACTTAGAACTTTCCCAGTCGCGCGGTCAAACAGCAACGATCGTACGCCCGTTAACCTGCTTGCGACAAGGTCGACCGAGCCTTTGGCAGACTGTAAACCCGAATACGTTGTCATGGGTGTCCCGGTACTGTCGTTGTTCTTCGGTCGGGTCAGACCGAGAGAGAGACCCAGTATGAGAGCCAATAGTAATAGACTGACTACGAAAGAGATGATAATGGACTTGCGATTTGTGCAGCGTTTTGTTGAGGGTTTGGGTGATGACGTTGGGGGTCTGGGTGATGACATGGTGTGCACTTGACCACTGGATGACCTTAAGTATCCCAATTTTAACACCTAGGAGTCTGCACGCGCCAACTTTACAGTATTCGGTGGGAGGTGCTGAGATAGTTTACAGCTAACCCTTTAGCTGCAACTATATGAAAAACGACAGCGCGCAAGTATGGTTAAAGCAGGGAGGACGCCAAATGGTAATCCAATGCAGTACGACCAAATCTCTCGATCGTCTAAAATTGATACCTAGCTGTCTCCAAATGACCGACTTTCAAGTGTTCCGTGGAAAAGGCGTTAAGAGAAAGTGGAGTCAACGTTTCAGCGACATTTGAATGCAAGACTTGGGAAGGTCGTGTAAGGTTTCGCGCTACGATAAGCCACATAACGTAATATGTGACAGATGTGTGACAGAGCACAAAGTTTATCTGACACTCAACACTTAACTCAAAACATCGCGCAACGATGAATGGCGAAGAACAGGCGATATACTGTGAGTCGCTGGTGAAGAGTAAGCTAACGCGGAGATAGTATCCTTCCTCTTTCGTCCTGCCACTGATGCTATGGTGGGGGTCTTTCAGGAGTGGACAGACTGCTTGAAGACAAAGATACTCCCTTCGCCGACGTTGTGCAAGGTGTCATCAAATGTTTGCAACCTGCGGTTCCGTGTGTGTTTCGTCGCTTCCATCTATCCTTTGCTCTTGCGCGAGCAGACAATCTTAGTTAGTTCTGCATCAGATCTATCTACACGTAATATCCAATTGCTGTGCGCCCAAGTCCTTTCCGGCCGTCTCGAAGACGATCCAGACGAGGTAGTGGACCTGCTAGGGAATTACGAGAATTCGGTACGTGTTTTGAGCGCTTACTAGCCTCCGTGCATAGTGGCATCTTGTCTTAGACGCAATGTCATAGGTCTACAAGACCATGTATGCGTCTTGGTCACTGCCGCTTCCACGTGGCCATGCCATTGTTTAGTGCATCAAATCCTGCCCCTAACTCGCAGTGCCTTGCTCCCTAAACAAGGAAGACGATGCGGCTTATATAGTTTACTCGCTTTTACACCATCTTGGTCATGCTTGGCCTAACGCGTTTCGGCGTCTAGATGACGAATGGTTAGCGAGACTCAAGACTGTTCTTTTGAAGCGATCGGGTAAGCGTGTAACCCTCAACTACTCTCCTCGCTTCTTACTTAGTTGAATGTTTAGGCGAACGATGTCATCAAATGGCAGCGTTACTCATGTGTGAGATCTGCGAGACGAGAGAACTCTCATTGTCGGATCTTGGTTGGTAAACTCAATTCGCTGTTATCCAATGCGTCGGTTTAAGCTGAGATTGTTGCCCCCAAGAAACCTTCGATGCATCGTTCCTCAACAATCTTGCGGAAATGATTGAACAAACTGGCAGCGCGGAGAATGAGGAAGAGAACTACACGTTGGTGAGAGCACTGGTAAGTTAATTGGTGGCAGTCACATCTCTTCTTTTTTGCGATCTTGATCATATGCGATTCATAGCTTGCAATACACGATCAGTTTGCTCAAAAGAACTTTGCAAGATCTGTCATTCCTAATCGGGTCATAGAGGTCTTGCAGAAGAGAATTGACCAAAGCAAAACCCTCTCAGAAAACTTTATTTTCATATTCAATCGGGAAGGTACCAATGTTTTGCACAGGGCTCAATCCGTGCCCAGGTGCCGAACTGATTTGAACACTCCGCTACAAAATAGAGGACCGAAAGCGGCGCATTATAATGGCTCGTTTTCTGGAAATCGTCCTATCATCGACGAGTGCGCGAAATTTGTGGTACACAAATGACCTGGGAATAATCTTGGACGTAGTGATCCGCGAGACAAATAACGTGGACGCAGAAGATGAAATGGTATGATCTGTTGAGGTTTGCATGCCATGTCAATATTATGTCCTCACTTCGTTGTCCCTCTAAGCTACACCATAGCTACATTCGCCTTTTACCGTTGCTTTTACGTCATCCGAACGTGACCTGGAGCGAACGAAGAAAGCAAGAGGTGGAAAAACAACTTGTTGGAATCCGTGACGGGCCGTTCGTTAAGTCATCTACACGGAAATGCGCAGAAAGAGCGCTGATGGACATCTTGCGCCCGTAACAGTTGAAGTTAAATCTACAATCTAGGTTGAGACGCTCACTTTAAATGTCTAAATATGCAAATATCAATTTTCATCCATAGTTTTGCAATTGGGGGTTTTGTAACTTCATGTGCACTACAATAATTGGATCAGATCAGATATTGCGCTCGTTCACTGAGTCATGTGACCGCGTATGACGGATGCTTCATCTCAGAAGCTTCCCAACAATGCAATATCCAGTTACAGTACAGGCAACGCATCCAAGTAACAGTCTCGTTCGACTCAAAGCCCCAACTTTCCCACTTTGTCTCACAGATCTCGCGGAAGCCTAAATTCCTCATCAACCTAATAGATATGAGCATGACTAATAAGAGATCTGGAAGGCCATCCCGACAGGGATCTTCCGACGATGCTACCCAGCCACTATTGCCAGCGCCTGTCACCTCAGTGACTTCCGTTCCAGCAAATCCGCAGCCCGCATCAATAACAACAACCCAAGCAAAGGCCGGGAAGGCCGATGCTAGGATGCCCAAGCGGTAAAGGGTAGATATTCTTGTCTCTGGACCCAATTGAGGCTAACTGGATGACGCTTGCGACAGCACCACCAAAACTTCCCAAAAGCTCACCCTCTTCCCTGCCGATGTACCTACTGTACACGAACCGACAATCGATCTCGATGAGCAACTAGATAACATACCACAACTCCCACACGTCACCGCCAAGACACAAAAAGAACGATGGTTGAGCAGACTGGAGAAGAAGTGGTTACCGAGAGTCACCGCATACTGTACCGCAAAGTATGTATCAATAATACGGTGATATTCATGAGTGAAGAGACGTTCTGTAACTCATGTTCGCACCATCTTTGATAGTTCCTATAAGATGGACGCGTTGATGGATTACCTGAAAAGTCGAGCCAATCGAAATCGGACCGCTCCCAAGAAGTTTGATGAAGGTAAACACAGGCCGTCCCAGTTTGGATGCCTTACTTCAAGGCTAGCAGTCTATCCACCAATCTAACTATTTCAAACTTCAGCAATTCACACCCCATACATGGTGTTTGCGCCCAACGGCCATCCGCATGTAAGCAGCGAACCTACTCCCGATTTGATCAACTTATCTACAGAGGATATTGCGGGTGAAATCCAAAGTCCTCGACACGAAGCAGCAATTGACAACATCGACTCCTTTTTTGAGCAAAATATTGACGCATCCGGGAGGACGATACCGAGCAATATACCATATGATAATCTAGCGAAACGAATAGCTCCAATTGGAGAGTGCTTGTTTTTTGCATATGGAGTAGTCGTCATGTGGGGTCTATCGGAGGCTGAAGAGCAGGTTGTGTTGAAAGAGTTGGAACCTTTTGAGGAGGAAAAATTAGGTAAGAGAAGGAGTTTGCTCTAAGGTTGGGGAGGGTGATATACTCAATGCGTTGATTGTTTGTTCTTTTTTTTGTAGGGGAGGATGACATTGAGATTGAAGAATTTGTGTTCCATTACAACGGTAGATGGCGCATGTGAATTTGTCAACCTTGGTGGTTACTCATAGTCGTCTGACCCTCTTAGCGTACTACCAACCGCGAATCTACAATGATATCATCACTTTGAAGGTATGAATGCCCAGTGTGCCTTGTAGAAACACTCCAACATACAAGACCATGCTGACAACGTGTCCAAAGAATCCCGCAAATTATATGATCAAATTGACTATTTCCCATGCCATCGCTCAATCCGTAAAACTGGCGCTCTTTGAAGGATTGATCGAGGAGACTATTGAGAGCACAAAACATGTTCCTCAAATCCTTGCAGAGACGGGCAAAATCCGAATGTCAAGGTTTGTGGTGCGACAGATGTCATTTTCTCACCTTTAAGGCATGCTGACATGGAAACAGGAAATCGGTGAACAAGAAGATTGGACAGTTGTTCATCATGCGGATCAATGTGAATCTTGTGTCCAATGTGCTAGGTAAGAGAAATCTTTTAAATGGACGTGATATGGGAACTTTCCTGATCAGAATGTTCTCAATTAAGATATTCCCGAAATTTTCTGGTATAGTTGAATTATCATGCTGCTGTGATACTCTGAATACTAACATGGTACTTGTAGGAGTGAACCCGCGCTAGAACCATTGTATATGGCTATTCGGGGGTATCTTGAAATTTCACAACGGTCGGTAATTGTAATTTCCAATTCGTTGTCGGTATATCTCAAACAATGATTCATTTAGAGTTGACCTTCTTAATCAACGAGTTTCTGTAATATCCGATCTCTTGGATATGTTGAAAGAACATCAAACAAGTTCACATGGGGAACAGCTCGAATGGATCGTTATCATCCTGATTGGTAAGGATGGACTTCCTCTGACCTTGTGCATTGCAATCTTTGCTTATCCCTATCATGCACCGTAGCATTCGAGATCATCATTGGTATAGTCACAATATCGTTTGATTTGTCGTCGTATCTAAATCATGGGGAGAGAGCGGCGTTAAGGTCATCGATAAATCCTCTCACTATGCCTTCGCTGGATTGAGGGGGACTTGTTAATAGCATGAAGACTCATTGAAATGTCCGACTCATGTTTTGGAGTAATAGGTCCAGCTGGCAGATAATCCAGAAGAAGTCTTTCTTGGTCCTCTCAGGGTTTTCTGATAAGGCCATCTGAGAATTATAGTCTATTTTAAGCATCAGGAAGCTCCTGAGCAAAATGCGCTCGTATGCGCGTTACATGTCGAGGAAGGATGTTATGTACAGGATGCGTTGCAGGCTGCAAAAAGATTGTACATTAGGAGATGCTTTATGGAAGACTGACTGGGCAAGACGCACCAACAAATTTTGCCCATTCCCTACAACCACGGGCCCCCGTTCTCCATCCGCCACAATAATGTCCTCCTGTACAGGATCCCATGCATATCGGTGTTGAGCTATAGAGAGACCAGAGAGGACGTAGCAAGTGTGATAATAATCAGGATTCCTGATTGATGGAAGATCGGTCATTATAAAAGCCATTCAAGAGCTTAGTACAGTTGCGACGCACTTGTCCGGTTTATCCTTCAATCCTCCACGCTCTCCTTGACAGCATATAAGAATATATTCCTGTAAGGCCTCTGTTATCAGACAAAGAGACACAGTTAGCCCATAGTACTGTTGATATTGACTCTTGAGCAACTACCTCGATTGAAGAGATCCACTGCATGCAGAGCAGTGAGTTAATTAAAGAAGAAACGAAATGTATGACGTCCCGCGCAGGTATATGCGACGCACCTTTCCCCGCTTCATCGCCATCACGTCTAGCTAATGCACATTCAAGCAACGGGAAAGCCCCCCCTTGCCAGAATGAATAGCACCCATCCACAAGCTTATTTGTCCTGCCTTGGAATCCCTTTTCGACTGCTAGTTGTCGGAAACACAGCCATCTTGACAATTTGTCAAGGTCCAGGAGCTCTGTTTTTCCTAAAAGTTCCATCGCTGCAAAGGCGCAGAATGTATAACCACCATGAGCTTCTACACCTGGAATTCCACCAATTCCTCCTTCATAGGTTTGAGAGCTGCAGATAGGCCATGAGACTATGCTGGCACAATTGTTCAGACGCAAAGTTCTTACCAAGCAATGAACTGTTCTGAATTTGCGGCCAGGTCGGGACTTACGATATTTAGAAGTTTGACTGTTGCTAATACGCAATAAATTCCCCTGAATATGTATCACTTAGAAGGGCCCGGAGACGAACAATCATAGGTTTGGCGAAATGTACCTAACATCCAATTCGCCCCCTTCATGCATGAGAAAAGATCCGTCCGCTTGCTTTAGTCGCCGGAGCCAATCCAGCAGTGCCGATCTAATCCAAAGATCAGCTGGGTTCCTTAATCGATGGGATAAGGAAAGTGTTCACCTGTCAATCAAATCATACGCCTCTTGTGTCCCAACAATAGCCAACGCATTTACAGCAGCATATGTTGTTGCCACATGTGATATTTGGCCAGGTCCTCCCCCGAATCCACCAGTGGAATTCTGACACCGAGCCAATGTTTTGACTGCCCGCGATGCTACCTCTTGCGACAATGGTTCATCGAGGAGATCTAACCCATGTAGCATCCAGTATACAAGCCAAGGCTGACTGGCATCTAGGACTACGAAGCGCTTCGAAAGACCTTCCAAACCAGACTTGAGATACCGTATGTGTAGGGTTCGTTGCAATCTGACACTGCAGGAACGACAGTAAGCGCTTGTAATCGATCCTCTCTATCCATGGCTGACATCTGGTTTACCTGGGCTGCTCTAGTAAACCCACCTTGTTAAGGGTTCAGGTGGTACTTTCCACTTGTACCGTGCATAGAGGGGCATCACCGCGGCTTCCACTTCCTCCTGCATTTCGGATGTTTCGGTAGGAAATCCGTCGTCAGGCAACCCCCATATATCCTCGTCAAGCCATTGATCGGATGTATCGGAGTCTGCCTGTGTGTCAGGCTCCTCTTGAAATACAATGCGCATCGTGCGCAATCACAATCGCGGAGCAATCAAAGGTGTATCAATCCTAGAAGTTGAGGATCCTCTCGTGTAGGTCATGTGACGGTCCGAAAGAATGGACAAACGACAGATATGGTTAAATTGGCATGTTCCATTGGCTCCAACCTCCTTGTACTTCAACTTCCCATCATTCAAGTTGTGAATTCCATTTAAGCGGACACTTGCAATGACGCAGCCAGGCCCCGGTGATGGTGTGTTTCTGTTGAAGCAAGTGGGAACTGTTACGTTCAGACTGAAGATACCAATCGTGGATTTTAATTGTAGGAGCGTCGTCAAGACAAGAAGAGGAGAAGCAGATCGTTGAGGAGAAGATTATCAATGAAGAATACAAGATATGGAAGAAAAATAGTCCATTCCTCTATGAGTGAGTAATCTTTGAAAGTTTCCCAGCAGGTAGTTATGATTATTGAACGACTGATTGTTTGGCTCTTCGCAGCACGGTAATAACCCATGCCTTGGAATGGCCTACTCTTACGGTTCAATGGCTTCCGGACATCGAACGGTAAGGATTGTGTATAGTTTTCCTATCTTCAATACCCACTGACAAGGGCGTAAAGGCCAGAGGGCAAGGATTATACTCTGCAGCGCCTAATTATGGGAACGCATACATCGGATTCAGAGCAAAATTATTTGCAAATTGCTCAAGTCCAACTGCCTAATGATAATGTGGAAACGGATACACGAAAGTATGACGAAGAGAGAGGAGGTATGGCATCAAAGCTTGTCTTGGTTTTGCTTTTTGCAAGGTGACGCTCGTAATTAATGCATGCGAGCAGAGGCCGGCGGATACGGTGGTCAAGAGTGTCGAATTACCATTATTCAAAAGATCAACCACGATGGGGAGGTTAATAGGTATATTTTGGTACAAGTTGCTTAGCGGCTTGTCACACCGATATGAACATGATTACCACGATTAGAGCGCGATACATGCCTGCAAATCCAAATATCATTGCAACGCGAACGGTAATGGGCCCTGTATATGTCTTTGATCGAACTCGCCACACATCTACCCCAAACCCCGATGGAGTCTGTAGCCCTGAGATCAAGCTCCTTGGTCATACCAAAGAAGGGTGAGTATATATCGTTCAATCTCGTTCCAAACGGGAGGCATGTAGGATGCTGATCACAACTTCTATAGCTATGGAATGTCGTGGCATCCTCGCAAGGAGGGCATTCTGATAACCGGTTCAGAGGACACAACGATCTGCGAGTGGGACATTACTGGCTATACCAAGGAGCGGAAGACGATGTCCCCGAAGCGAACCTATACTGCTCACACAGCATGGGTGGAGGTTAGCAGCTTCCTGAACATTCTGCTTTTTGAAGCGCTGCTCATATTTATTATTCAGGATGTGGCATGGTCCGAGCTGATTGAACCAATCTTTGCATCAGTTGGTGATGACAAGAAGTTGATGATGTAAGTATTCGCTGCTATACTCTACTATCTCCAAACTGACACCATTAGTTAGCTGGGATACCCGGAATGCATCTGTACACAAGCCGACATACAGTGTGGATGCACACACTGCTGAGGTCAATTGCGTAGCATTCAGTCCAAAGAACGAGCATCTTCTGGCAACAGGTTCCGCGGATAAGGTAGCTCGCCGTGTATCTTATTCTTGTCCACGTCACCGGTCCGCTAAGCGTTTTACCTCAGACTGTTGCCCTCTGGGATCTGAGGAATCTCAAGCGTAATTTACATGTGTTTGAAGGCCATCAGGAAGAAATTTTGCAATTGCAGTGGTCCCCGTTCAACGAGACCATCCTGGCCAGTTCTAGCGGAGATCGAAGATTGAACATTTGGGACCTTAGTCGGATTGGGGAGGAGCAATCACCGGAAGATATGGAGGATGGACCACCGGAGCTTCTCGTAAGTGCGACTCTCGGGCTGCAGTTACAATCTGTGCTGACCTATTCGTTCAGTTTATTCATGGCGGTCACACGAATAAGATTGCCGACTTCAGCTGGAACCCCAATGAACCATGGGTGATGTGCAGTGTGGCCGAAGACAACATTGTGCAAGTGTGGCAAATGGTAGGTAAACCTTTCCAATAGTTGCTGATGGCAGCAACTTACCAATCTATAAAGGCAAGCAACATTTACACGCAAGAGGAAAGCGTAATTCCTGACAGCGAATTGGAGTGATATAATTTTATGTTGTTAGCTCGCTGGACATCGCCGGATATAATGTGTACTACTGGTCTCAAAATGCTAGTGCATACTCAAAGCCCTAGATGCAAAGGCGAAAACTAACTCATGCGTAGCTCGTCAATCATCGACGCCCGGACTCGACCGATGTCTTGCCCGCAGCAATGGATCTTCCAATTCAGCTGCTGCGTCCTTTTTCAGCATAATTTTCCGGACGATAGGTCGCAAGGCGTAATAGATAACGGTTCCTACAGGCCCCATGGCGACTGCCCAGCCCAATATCGCGCACCCAAGGCCAGTGATAATGGTAGACGCCCCACTCCAAAATCCAACTTGCTTCAAATGAGCAATAAGGTCCGCGGGAGAAAGTGGGAGAGGATCTCGGTGCAAGATACGTTCCCCAAAGCGCATAAATGGAAGTGACCTGGTTTATGGGTAAGTGAGTTAAGACCCAAGAGCACGAAAGACATATCAGCCAGCGTACAAAGCGACATCAGCAGGAGTAAGGAGAAGGTTGATAGCTTGCATAACCGGTGTGTTCAAGCCGAAACGCCACGCAGCAGCTAGGCAGAGTAGTGAGGTAACCCCGAGGACAGGGAAGAGACCACATACAACCGCTAGCGTTATTGTCAGCGACAGCTTGTCGGGGGACATGCCGGCTGTTTGGCATCGTCAAGGAAGATTGAGGAACAGGCGCAGATACAAAATCCACAGCGTAACTTGCATACCATACCACGTAGGGCAGCCTTGAAGGGAGCGACAATTCTCCTTCGAACAAAAGACCCAAAACGACCATGTTGCCGTCGATCCATCATTGTACAATAAGCAACAGCCAACAGCAGGCTCTTCGGCAGTATTCACCAGATGTAGGACTCACTGTTGACATGGTAACATTACAGCACGGCAATGTATGGTACCTGACGAAAATTCCACCTAATGCCAGTTTCCTCATATTCAGTCGTTGGAAACAGAGTCCATGGCAGTTATCTGAGCAATAGGAAATGGGGCAACAGAAAGTACCCTTGCAGAAATGCTCGCAGTCAGTTCAACGGGCGCTTGAAGAACCAAGTGCTGCGCCCACGTGTCGGTTGGATGACTCTTGTGACTCATTCAGAAGATTATCAGAAAAGATCTATTGCTTAGTCTGATAGTCCCCCTTCAAGGCTTCAAGCCCGTTGTTGTTAAAAGGTCAGAGTTGGGAATCTACACTGGCTTAAGAAAACATGCAGCTTCAAATATCCACATGCAGTGCTCGAGCGCTGACGTCAGCGTCTGCTGCCAGAAAACGGACGGCATGCGTACGAAGGTAAAGGGCTTATTGGTCCTGCAATGGCCGTTTTTGATGCTTATTCTCCCTTACATCACAGTCTTCCAGCCCTTGTGCGCCGTTATGCAAGTCCAGCAAATGACACCGCCCCAAACCGATACAGTGCGAGGATTACACAACCAAAATCACAGGGTGCTTCGCAGGCTATGTGTAAGTCCACCTTGCCGACGCTGTTGTACGATGGAACAGGCATTCCCTTTTTAACGTCGTGGGACAACAGTGCACGCTACAGGACTGACGCCCGAAGACCTCAACTTGCCCCAAGTTGGAATTTCTAGCGTGTAAGTTTACTGAGCTCGTTTATGGAAACGTGAGCAGCCAACAACTCAACGCAAGAGCTTGATATGCAGATGGTATGAAGGGAACCCGTGCAACATGCACCTTCTTGATCTCGCCGGTAAAGTTAAGGAAGGTGTCAAAAAGGCGGGGCTGGTCGGATATCGGTTCAACACAATCGGCGTCAGTGACGGTATTAGCATGGGTACGGAGGGAATGAGTTATTCTCTTCAATCAAGAGAGATAATTGCAGACTCCATCGAAACGGTGATGGCTGCGCAGTGGTACGATGGCAATATATCCATCCCTGGTACGAATTATGTGGATTTTTTATTGGAAGGGATATGGTACTCAAAGCATATAAATTATCATAAGGGTGCGACAAAAACATGCCGGGATGTCTCATTGCATTGGCTCGCTTAAACCGTCCATCCCTTATTGTCTACGGCGGTTCGATAAAAGCTGGGAAATCATGCGGTGGCGAACCCTTGGATATCGTATCCGCGTTCCAGGTCTATGGAGAGTATATTGCCGGCCGTGTGACAGAGGAGGAACGAATTGATGTCGTAAGACATTCTTGCCCGGGTGCAGGCGCCTGCGGGGGCATGTACACAGCTAATTCCAGTAAGGAAGCATTTGTTGTGATTCGAAGTATTTCCACTGCTCATTGCCATTTGAATTGAAGTGTCTAGCGCAATCGAGGCAATGGGTATGAGTTTACCGTACAGTTCATCCACACCTGCGGAACACCCTCAGAAAATGGAGGAATGCGTCAGAGCGGGCGAGGCAATCAAATACCTGCTTGAGAACAACATCACTCCGAAGGACATCATGACTCGAGAAGCGTTCGAAAACGCAATGGTGCTCACAATGGCGCTTGGGGGTATGAGGAAACCCTTCGGTGTTTACTTTGGTAGATATACTCAAGCTATTCCTTTGATTGACCAGGCTCGACAAATGTTGTCTTGCATTTCATTGCTATCGCCCGTGCGCTCGGCGTGACCCTCACCATCGATGACTTCCAGGCTGTTAGCGACCGTGTTCCTTTGATTGCTGACTTGAAACCTAGGTATATGTCAATGCTCGTCGACTGTTTTATGTGACAGTTGGCTTACTTCAATTTACCCTAGTGGAAAGTATGTATTCGCGGACCTTCACGAAATCGGTGGCATTCCCGCAGTGATGAAGTACCTTCTTGAAGAGGGATTATTGAACGGTGACTGTCTTACGGTGACCGGAAAGACGTTAGCAGAGAACTTGAAGGACCTTCCCGGGCTTAAACCTGGCCAAGAAATCATCCGCCCTCTGTCCAAACCTATCAAATCAACTGGTCACATCCAGATTTTGAAGGGTAACTTAGCTCCGGAAGGTTCGGTAGCGAAGATCACTGGTAAAGAAGGGATAGCCTTTGAGGGGCCTGCCAAGGTCTTTGACTGCGAGGAGGATATGCTTGCTGCCTTAGAGAACAAGAAAATTGGAAAGGGGGACGTCGTCGTCATCCGATATGAGGGCCCTAAAGGGGGTCCTGGCATGCCCGAAATGTGTAAGGAACAAACAACTAAATTCATATTAGTCGTAAATTCGCCTGAATCTTCTTCCTGCTTAAAGTGACTCCAACCAGTGCGGTAATGGGTGCGGGATTGGGCAAAGATGTTGCCCTTTTGACGGACGGACGATTCTCTGGTGGAAGCCACGTAAGAGCCGGACGTGCTATTCTCATGGTCTGGTTCACCTGGCTTATGCATCCTTGCACAGGGCTTCATCATTGGCCACATCACCCCTGAAGCTCAGGTCGGAGGTCCCATTGCTCACATTCGCGACGGAGATATCATCTCCATCGACGCAAACTCTAAATCCATTTCCGTAAACGTTTCTGAAGCCGAGTTTGAAAACCGGCGGAAGTCATGGTCGGCACCACCCTACAAGGCCACCAAGGGGACCCTGTATAAGTTCATTAAGAACGTGAGTTCTTTGCATGCGAAGGTTGGACAGAATGGGTTCCTAATGAGTCTTTCTTACATAGGTAAATAATGCATCAATGGGATGTACAACTGATGAATGATCAGATTTGTCATCATACATGAATGTCATTTAAATTGTTGTCCAGTGAATAGAACTTGTCGAAAGATGGCCCTCTGTACGACTCAAAGCTTTCCAATATGCCAGAAAATGCTGACCAAGTAGTAGCTAGCTGTATGGTATACAAGATAAATATATACATTGCAGGGAACCCATTCTCATGAATCCGCGAAGAATCCTGCGACCCAGTACTCCGCCGGCTCTGTTTGCATATCAATCCAACATATACCGTCTTTCAGTAAGTCGTCCTGTAGAAAAGCAATCAGATACGAGTCTTGACATAGGCCCGTTGTAAGACCATGACGTACCAAAACCCTTTGAGACCGATCCGCATCCCAGTTCAGCTTAGAAGTGACTTCCCGAATAGTTGTAAATCCGACAACTTGCGCCAAATTCAGTACAGTGGAGAAGTCAACGTTCAGCTCTCTTGGGACGGATTGTACGAGCTTTCGAGATCCAATTTGCACTACATCAAACCCATTCCCCAGCGGTTTGAGATTTTTGATGCTGCGGACGATGTCGTCCCTAAACCGCCAACACACAAGCGATTAACAGAGAGAGAAGGAGAATCACCATAACGCACATCATACTCGCTAATTTCCTGCGCATTGCGCCCACGTAGTCTCTCCAGAAGGCGCTTAAGATCAGTGATATCAATGAGCCCGCCGTTCCGTTCACGCGTAGCGATACATATTTCGGCGATCTGTACACCCAATTCATAGTAGAAGTCTCCAACACCTAAAAGTTCCGACCAGAACCCTTTATTTGCTAATATGGAAAGTTAATTAGCATATCACAGAGAGCTGCGTGTGCAAAAAACTCAAGTGTCGACGTGGTCACATACAAGCGAGTGGGTCAATGCCAATATTCGTGCACATTCGCTGAAAATGCATCCGAAACTTTGGGTCACGCTTGATATCTTTTCGGTATTTGCGAGCAAAGTCCTCTAGATTTGTTTTGAACACTGACAGCTGCGTTTTCAGCTAATAATGGATGTCTGAGTGCAAGGAAAAGGGAGATTTCTTTGGCAATGCTGCAACATCTCACCTGTTCTAGCTGTTGGTGTGCAAGTGCCTCTCCCGCTCTTTGGAATTCGGCATTTGTGCGGGCTTGTTGCTGCAGGCCGTGTATTCCTACTCGTCGTCGCGACATTGCTGAAACTACTTTTTGCTGCGTCAGCCAGTGTCAGGAAAGACGCGCAGCCACGATCGAATCGTGCTGGGATAATCAACGTTAGGTCTTCAGAATGGACTCGCCACTTGAACAAACAACTGCAAATCCGCCTCGGCTGGACACATGCATGACCCGATCGGGGTCAAGCTCGAGCAGCATCCTGGAGAACTCTGCTCCTTCTGGACCGAAAAAGTTGACCAGCATGCTTTGCGACATGGTGGACGACGCAACCATGTCGAAGATCTTGGAATGTCAGGGAGAAACGTACGGCGTGTGTTTCTAATACGAAGTGCGCGCTGATAGTTCTCTCACATTCTTATCCCCTCAAAGGTTGCAAACCTTGCAAAGCACCAATCACAGTCTTACGAAGTTTAACGACTTCTCTGCCGTACGCTATGCTCAATGTGCTAAGAATCTGGAAAACCACACACGACTACTCCGAGACATGAAAGGGGACTTGGACATTATTTTCAAGAGAATAAGGTACAGCGACTTATGCTTAAGGATAACGCTGCTCTAGCAATCTGAAGTAAGTGCCGATTAGAGCCCTTCGAACCAAAGTCGGTACACAGTATCCCACGCATTTTGCGGACATAGCTAAACGACGACAAGAAGAGGAGGCGGAGGACGATTGATGCTACCAGATCTATTTTATTATAATATAATGTATCTTATATTCCATACAGTGCGAATGTATAATGAAATGGCGCTGGGACGCTCGTGACACACAGAACAGGGTGCCGTCACGTGGACAGGCTGAGACTGTTTGGCGCTGCTGTTTGGGGATCTGTTCAAGTGTGAAGGACAGTCGTTGAGGAAGGTTCATGAAAGATCTAACCATAATATTTGAACATTGACATTCTCTGATAGCGTCACATCCTTATCGTTCCTTTGCGCTTAATACTGCTGCAATATCTCTTCTCGTAACATGGAAGCGGAGCTTACTTTCTGCCCTGCTGCGGACGACGAGCTCTTTCGATCTTTCTTAAACGAAGATGTCTTGGAAGGACAGGAACCTCAGAATTTAGGCAGCGATCAGAAAGAACATTGTGCCGACAATACAGTTAAATATCTGTCCGCTGCTTGCCTGACATCCCCGAAAAGTCCAAGGAGCGAGATATGCGGCTTCACACCGTCGTCGCCTTCGTCTGCATCTTCTGTGGCCTCACCTACCCCCAACTGGAGACTAGACTTTGATGAGGTGGAGTTGGGCTTAGCGGAGTTACCTTTGCGTTATGGTTTGCTTATACCAACTGGTTCTCATCCACAGGCCCAACTAGCAAACCTGTTATCTCCACCACCACCGTTGCTGCAAGAATTTACTCCATGTCTGAAGTCCCCTGACAGCCTCGTCGATATACCCATACCCGCTGTGACCGGCTCTGATAACTCAGTATCTTGGAAGTTTGTAAACTGTTCTGTGTCTGGCGAACAGAAGGTGGAGAAAGAAGAACATGAAAGCCAGCCACTAGTTTACATCAAAACGGATGAAGTAGAAGCAAAGCCGATAGCCGTGGGGCCATTGATACTACCGAAATTGCCGGTGCCAAAACCTGGAAATAACCATCAAAATGGTCCGGCCACGACAGCGTTCCACCAACCGTCCCCACCCGCCACCGCGTTTCCTGATCTCAATCATCATCTGACCCCAGCAGATAAGCGTACGCAGCGGTTGATAAAGAACAGAGCGGCTGCGCTGGAATCGCGGAAGCGAAAACGAGAGCAGCAACAGATGCTGGAAACCTATGCGGAGAAGCTTTCCAATGAAAATGCTGAACTGAAGGCAAAAATCGCCGATTTGGGAATGCGAAATAAGGCGTTGACAGAAGAGAACATGAACCTGAGAGGAAAATTATCAAATCTGTGCGCACGATGCTCTGATTTCGAAGGAGGAGTATTGTCACGTCGCATACTAGAATCGATAGGGCCGTTTGAGGATGGTGGCAGGAAGGCTATTGGAGCTGTTTTTATGGTAAGCTTTAACCGAGCTTTTGATCCAGTATAACACAAATTTCAAACCTCATACTCCATCTCCTAGGCATTTTTTTTCTCGTTTGCTTTAATCCTCATACCCGGTTTCCTCTCCCCCTCTGCGCATTTCGGAGGGCATATCACCGGGAAGGTTTTCTCCGATGTTGCCAGCGTGCCGAGTAGCAGTAAAGGGATACATCTCATAGATGCGGCTCCGAGTGTTTTGTACCTTCCACCTTCGGCTCCGGCCGCTATTGTTCGAAGCGAATCTGGCCTTGTCCCACTATCTCACATCCCTGTCGCACCGCGTGTTGAAACCTCCGTCTCTCTCCCGTTAAATCACCGATTTGCTGATCTCTTGGGGATGCTGTCTGCAGAGCTGGGTCTTTCCAAACTGTCACGCAGTGAGCTCGCGAAGTTGCACGCGTTGTTCCGTGAAGAAGTTGCTGCCACCAAAGTGTCGAGAAGAAAACATACGTTGGGGCGCGCAGTTGGCAAAAGGTTATTGATGGAAAGTAGTGCGTACCTGGACGATGAAAGCAGCACCCAGCAATTCCTGCACGTTCCTGCTGATCATGGAGTAGAGTATGGTGCTGACGGTAAGGACGGACACGCCGTCCCTTTTATAAATGTTAGTGACTTGATGCACTTGCTACCGTACCGAAAACCTGTCGAATCTCCTGTCACGGAACGCCACACTAGCTCGGGCGAGGAAGAAAGTGCCCCGAGATTCTCATTGATCACAACGTTGTCTTCGGAAGTGGGAGAAGAAGGTGGTGAGGCCGCTCCGGCCCTGAAAGGTGGCTTCCTACAATTGGACCTGGAGGTCATCGACGCGCGATTTGTTAAATGGAATGGCAGTGAGATTTGACAGAATTGGCTGTTGATACGTGTAAATAGACTATGATCTCTTTGTATACAGACTAGAACAATAGGGTATTGCAATTTACTGCCTAATGGAATAGGCGACTCAGATATGGAAGTTTCTCTATGCAACATGTAACTTATAGGTAACCGCATCTAACGACCTAGTAATAGTAACACCACGTTCGCGTTCCGAAAACTCTGCCTGGTCCGATTTGGACCATCCTATATGAACGTTTCACACTCGTTTCTCGAACAAGGATGTCATTGATACAACATCATGATGATGCATCGTCAGAATTTCGAAAATCAATCTTGGAGGCATCAAACCGAATTTCTCTGCACGACGCCACCGGTCCAATCGCGAAATGCCAACGCACTGGATACATGTAAGTCTTCAGCCGCGGGTAAAAAGCGGCAGTACATACACGAGATACTTGCTGGCCCATAAGTGATGTCCATGTCGAAGCATTCCAAAAGAGTCGTCGAATCGGGTAACAAACCGTCTGTAATGTTATATCGGGCACATAATGAAGTTTAGGGTAAAGGAACACGGATGGTCAATTTTACAATTGTCATATACTTGATGAACTCGTCTTCCGAGTTGGCGACTGGGAGAGAGCATCAGGCTGAACATTCCGGCACTCTTCGTCATAGATGTTGGCGATAGAATTCTTCTGTTCGCCAAAGGATTTCACTACTTCGTCGCTATGAGCCCAAGATTTAAACGCGTTACCTCTTCATCTGTCGTCCTACCCAATGTCCGATAATCTGCTGGGGTAGTCACACCTATAGATGTACCAGAGCGGCTCCCAGCTCTCACTGTGCTTATATGCCCAGTCTTCCTGGTTGGCACTGTTCCTTTCTTATCGGCTTGTGGCAAGCGCGATATGCTTGACGGAGAGCGACATGGCTTTTTGCGCTGATGCCCCAAGAGTACTGTAGATTTAGTCGACCTCGGCATGATAGTTGCAAAACGTGGGAAAGTAGATGCGATCCCAGACTTGCATGGGAGCGTGGGAAGTAACCATTGTGAGCATTTGCTTAGGTAAGCAAATTTAGGGTTTCTAGGCGTTTCTGTGAGATTTGCTCCAACCATTACCGGACGATCTCAGCATTTTTGTACATCGCGGCCAGTCCCCGGCGTTTCCTCCAAGCTTCCCGACCCTCGCCATAGGTTTTCTCATCCTCACTACTGTGGAATGGCTCGTGAGTCTCTCTTCTTGGGAACTACCTCGGAATGCTGCACTGGTGCACTGACCGTTCTTTACAAAGGTGGCAACCAACGAGAACTTGCCCGCGCAAAGGCGGCAAAGAAGGCTGGGGATTCAGGGAAGGGTGTGCGAAAGGATGATATGACGCATGCCCAGCGGAAAGAACAGTAAGCTTTCTAACTTTACTTTTCTTTCATTTCTTATTCCTGACCGTTTACTTGGTAGCGACAAGAAAATGCTTCAAGAAAAGCAAGCAGCAAAAGCAGCAAAAATGGCAGCAGAAGCAGCCGGAAAGAAATGAGCTATTTCACTGGAAAGGGTTCGTACCGCAACGTGTTCTTGGCGTTTAATTGCCAGAAGAACAGATTGCAAGTTGCGACTACATATTGGTTGGCAGAGACGACCCTGGTCTTGATTAATCTTGGTTGTGGAATCTCTTGCAGTGACTATCAGTGGCCGCACCACGTACATGACTGAAATCGACGATTATCGGCTTCGTCCCGTCATGCATATATAGAAATGAAAATTGTCCATAGGACATACCTGGTTTCCCCACACTAGGACGAGTTTCGCTGTTGATATTAATAGAGTTTCGTGATGTGGGCAATTTTGGAAACTGTCGCAATACTTTATCAACTGGTTGTGGTGTCAGTAACCTTGTGCAGCACTCAGAGTGCTCAGGGATGTAAAGTTTTCACGTTCCATTTTGGGGGCTTTACGGCAACAGTAGCCAATATAAAGATTGCCTCTCATGACCAGTATCGTTATGATCGGCCCGGAAATGAGTGGTTTGAAGTGAAGACCGATCAATGGGTTGGGATATTACAACTCTGAGCGCTTTCGATCAGCGATCATGCACTTCTCGGATTCGATAAGAGCCATTGAGATTCTAGAATAGTGGACTTGCTCGCTTGCCGTGCCTTGGCGCCCAGATTCATCGACCTTTGTAGATAGGATCCCGCTTTTCTCTGAACGCAGCCAGTCCTGGACGGGGACGATCAGCTACAACGTAAACTATGTAACATTGCAGGTGAATAGTACCTTCAAGACGATCTTCTGTGGGAATAACTTGCGCATAACAGGTCTGCTCAAATGCTAGGCCGGAGGATCTTGTATGATCGTTAGAGTGATTCACCAAGAAATTTTTGATCAAGCCTTACATATCCACTTGAGAACCCTTGTCAATCGCGAGCTTCGCCATTTTGATAGCCACCGGACCTTTATTTATTTCGCGAGGTGTAGCAGTTTATGTTGCCATCAGCTGAGGACATCGAAGGGAACCACTTGCGAACTCACCTTTGTCAAGGATCTGACGAGCGAGCTCCAAAGCCTTGTTGTACGCCGATCCGGCGGTAGCATGGTTTACCAGCCCTGCAAAGACCGTGTGAGAAGACAAATCATTCTGAGTTGACTTCTGAGGACGTCTCCCTACCAATTTTCTCCGCTTCTTCCGAGTTCAGCGTCCGAGCTGTGAATATCAATTCCTTCGCCTTTGGGATGCCGATAAGTCTGGGAAGCCGCTGAGTGCCCCCAGCTCTGCAACACCAGTTGAGCCTGTCACCATCAGCGAGAAAGCGAATCACAGGATAAAACGAACCAACCCTGGAATAATCGCAAGCCTTGTTTCAGGTAGCCCCAATTTGGCTCCAGCCCCTGGATTGAAAGAAAAATATGAGCTATGGTGTAGCAGTCACCGGGAGGTTCGCACTGATTGATACCTGCAACCCGAATGTCCGTAGATAGAGCAACCTCCAGCCCACCACCGAGAGCAGCTCCGTCAATCGCTGCAATGGTAGGGACAGGTAATGACTAGTTTGCATTCAATGCCAAGCCTCAGCCAAATTCAAAAACTAGCGGGAACATGTCATTTCACCTCAAGATTTCCAAACGCAGTTCTCAGTCCGTACACAAATCCTGCAACCTCAGGAGGTGTCATGGTAGCCCGCTCCTGCGACGTTCAGAAAGAAGTAAATACGGAGGAGGGCCTCAACAACAGCTTAAGTTACTATCACCGTACTTTCAAGTCCGCACCGGCACAAAACACCTTGTTGACCAAGCTTCGGACTATCACAACCCGAACTTGGCTATATCCAGGACGTATTTGGGGCCGTTAAATGACCATCCATAATATTTCCTTTGAATGATACTTACTCATCAAAGCGCATCTCATCGAGAGCATCCTGAAACTGCTTCATAAACACACGGCCCAATGCGTTTTTCGCGGCGGGACGGTTAAAATTCAGCACAGAAATGCCTCAAATCAAGAAGATAATATTTGAACAATCAAAATAAACACTATTACGGGAAAGCGAGACCAACCTGTATCCTTTCCATCTAAACGCTCTATAAAGCACTCTTGTACTGACGTGCTCAACATACGCCGAAAGGAGTTGGTCAAACACGGTTTGACCAACGAAGCAGACACAACACGTTGAGCTGCTCCAGTTAAGCTTCCAAACCCTTTAATCATGTCTTGACTTCTCTTTCTACGGACAGCAAATGGACTGAAGGATGGTCGGAAACGCTGAACACAGGCCAGCAACACTTGAACTTAAGGTGGTTGGGTAAGATCGTTGTGCCACATGCGCCACCTCGGCCACAAGCGCGGACCTTTCGCCAACGATGCAGGAAGCAAGCAAATGGAATTTTCGATAATGTCACTGACACCCTCATGGCTCTCTTGACTGAAGCTGAAATAACCCGTTTTCATGAATCAGGATACCTAATAGTATTGGATGGTAGGTCCAGTGGAGATGATGATAGGAACACCCAACCTTCTCCACCAACCACCCATCCTCAGCGCTTTCAAGCAACCATCTGAAAGCTCTTCAAAAAGAATGTGACGCCCTTTTTAATGATCTCGAGGAAGATGTTGTTGAGGATCTAGGATGCATTGTATGTGCGCGACTAATGATATTAGGCCGCAGGAGTCACTCTGATATCGGAATCCCTTAAGGTGGAACCGGTACATAATCTGGAGCACGCTGCACGGACGATGTACGACGTATATCAGCGCAGACGGAGTCTGGTAACCGAAGCTTCCGGACCTGCTGCTTCGATCATCTCAAGCTCGGTGGCACCGTATGCACGGTTGTTGCTACCTCCCACCCAAGACTTGTGCTTGGCAGGTGCCCAGCAAACAGTACCTTTCACCTCGTCCAATGACTAATCCTACATGTTCGTCACCCCTCAGTTTAATGAGCAGTACATTATTAAACCTCCGCATGCTGGACCTCAGTCAGCCTTCCAATGGCATCAGGTTGGAAAACTTCATATTCAAACAAATGTCATTTCTGGCTCATTGGCTCGGCACCTCAATATATCAGGATTCCCAGTTTATGTCAGATGTAAGTCGGTCGGTTCCAACCATCGCATGCTGGATTGCGTTAGATGACGTTTCGGAGGTGAGTTGAATGGATATTTGAAGGAGAAAAAGTCTCATGTAGGACATTCACTAGCATAATGGCACCGTGAAAGTCGAGCCGTACTGCCCAGTCGTACCGCCTTCCGATACAGCCAAGCAGAAAGAGGACGACCTTCAAACGTACAATTATCTGCATACTGGGAAAGCAGCGCGATATCTGGCGCACTCTAACCCGTCTGCTATCACAATCAATATGCGAGCAGGCTCGATCCTGTTCATGTCAGGATATGTGCGTCACTGTAGTACGCCCAACCGCACAGGACGCTTTAGGCGCGTATATATGCCACAATTTTCTGCTGGTCCGGTAAAAGCAGATGATGGGCAAACCTTAGTCGCTTTGGCTGTGCCCTTGCCGTCATGATCTTCCAGAAGATTATCGATATTTGTATGTACATTTGTATTTAAAAGGTATTCAATTGCACTCTAGTCACATTCGTCGCTAAATCTGACATTTGAGCGCGACAAACTTCGAATATATACAAATAGTGGCTGCGTCCCTATCAGCTATTGGGGTACGAGGGCTCTTTCAGCTGAATGGGCAGATTCAGCTGCCGGGTCTGCTTGGCGGATGGATTGGGCGGTTCGTCAAACAGCCAATCCCGTGCAAAGAACCATCCCTCGGCTATCGCCACAAGCAGTGCCCCGAAAAGACCAATGAGCGTTCTCTGTAGCAAAAGAATGACATTAGGGCATGAAAAACGTTTGTGATATATGAATTTAGTGCCGTACCATGCCAACGTCTCTAGTAACGGTTCCTGACACCCAGAAGACGGCTGCAAAGGTAGCCGCTATGGAGAATAGCACATTGATTACGGAAGAAATCTGCCGGAAAGCATTCCGAAGCTCGCCGCCAATAGGCACTAAAGGTTGAACTTCTCGGTTTAAGGACACACCGCGAACCATCTCGGCATACTCCTTGTTGGCAAGATCTGCGCGAATGGCGTCCAGTAGCTGAATAAGCTCGGGACTCTGTCGAGTAATACTCATGAGAGATCTGATATCCGCAAACTGAAAGAGGATAAATCCACGCATCTCATACCTTGACCCTCGGCTTAGGTTTGTCCATGTAGACTTCACTTCCCTTTACCAATTCGTGAAAGTAGAAGTCCTGTCTATCTATCAGCAAATATCAGCACCGCTTGCCCATCGAGGAAGTATCTTAACGAGAACTAGCGCACCATCGTCCGCTCTCTGGTGTAGCAGAGCTTTTGAGACTTCGTTAAGCAACTCGTGGGATATTGTATCAGGATCTTCCGCATCTGGCCGGTTTTCACTACGCGATCTCTGAGAATAGGGCTTCAGCTTCTCTGCAAGCGAAGTATCCAGTGCTTCTTCCAACAAGGCCAGCTCAATGGCCGATCGTATTTTTTCGGTGACAACTAGGCGCACCATTTGATTATCATGATGTTAACTGTCAACGCTTTCTCGTGGGGTCTATCGCGGTTAACACGTGAGATTCCTATGGCAACAATGTCCAACGTCCCAGGTCCTCCATCCATTTGGTCCGCCATTTGGTCTGTCCGTGGGACTGCCTTTCACGCTTCGACTTCGCCAACGTTTTGTTCTTAGAGCGAAAATGACAACGGCAACATATGGTGGAGGTCAGTATGTTTTACGTTGTTGAGAAAACGCGAAAGCGCGCACTTCGTTAAACAGTTGCCCTCTGGCGCGCGTGATGTCAATTAGACGAAGTCTCAGCCCTCGTATTTGATATTGGCTCGTCAACAAGTAAAGTTGGGTATGCAGGCGAAGATACTCCAAAGGCTGTCTACCCCTCTTGGGTCGGAATTCCTGGTGATGGTGGAGTAGAAGCCATGGATGTAGATGAGCCAGCAGGGGAAGATAGCGGTGGACTTATAGGGGAAAATGGAGATGTGGAAATGACCGATGCAAACGGGGAGACCCGAAAGACTGTATCTAAGCGAAGGAAGCCGAAGCGATACGTTGGGGAAACCGAGATCTATTGCTGGAGGGAAAACATGGAACTCAAGAATCCGCTTAAAGAGGGTGTAGGTCGGTACTTCAGAGTCCAGCCTTTAAATTCTACTTCTTGGCACAAATTCTGAACGCAACTTATTAATGTGCATAGTGGAGGATTGGGACGTATATGAGACGCTTTGGGATCATGCGTTTTCACGTCTGCGAGTTGAATCCAGCGAACATCCCCTTCTCTTGAGCGAGCCGTCATGGAATCCTAGAGAATCACGCGAAAAGCTAATTGAGTTAGCATTTGAGAAGTATGACGTTCCATGCTTCTATCTTGCACGGAGTGCTGTCCTTTCGGCGTAGGTGAAGATGGTCTTCGCATTTTCGTGCTCTCTGCAGCGAAGCTGATTTAATTACAGATTCGCAGCTGGTCGCTCCACTGCGCTTGTGTTAGACTCTGGGGGCTCTATGACGAGTGCTGTACCAGTGGTTGATGGATTTGTGCTAAAAAAAGGTGAGACGAATACCGAGAGTTGGGTGCGCAACCACAGGCTAACCGATGGGGGGTAAATGTAGCAATCCAGAAACAGCCTTTTGCCGGAAATTTCATTTCAAATCAAGCACAGCTATACCTCAAAGAAATGGGCATAACTGTAACTCCTCAATATCTTGTCTCAAAGAAGTCTGCGGTGGATGCAGGACAACCCGCGCGGTATGACCTACGAGACAGGCCAAATACGGCACCGAGTTACCATAATCTGGCTGTTGAGGTATGCTTGCCTACGTGTCGCTGATCGTCATTCTGGACGATTTTATTCATCCACCTTTTAGCGAGCGATTGACGAGTTTAAGGAGACTGTTTGTCATGTGTCAGAGTTCCAATTTGATGAAAAGTATGTTGTGGGTTTGATCTGTCTGTACCAAAAACGTTATCTGACTCATACTTCTTAGGACGTTATCGCAGAGACCGGTGAAGAACTTTGAATTCCCTGATGGCTACAATAATTCTTTCGGAATAGAACGTTTCAAAATTACAGAATCTCTTTTTACTCCGAAGTTCATGTTGCAGGTCAGTTGCAAAGCATTTTTTCGTAACCAGTATATCTAGCTGTCTAACGTGGTATTGCCATTTGTTACTAGGACCCCAAACAACCCTCAGATACAGCCATCCCGCAACCGTTGAGCGTTACCCAGCTAATTCAAAATAGCATAAATTCTTGCGACCCAGATCTCCGAACACAGCTATATCCTAATGTAGTGCTGACGGGTGCAAATACGCTCCTCCCCGGGTTTGCAGATCGCGTACATTACGAACTCCTATCATCGGCACCAGGGGTAGGTTGGCCTTTCTTTTTGCTATAAGCAAACGGACGAAACTAATCACTGTTGCACCACATAGTTTAAAACGAAAATCCAGGCTGCTGGACAAACATCAGAACGGCGCTTCAGTCCGTGGATTGGCGGCTCCATTCTTGCTTCGTTAGGGACCTTCCATCAACTGTGGATCTCGAAGCAGGAGTATGCAGAGTGTGGGGTGAATGTCGAGAACCGTCTGCATTGAGACCCCGGAGAATGCGTGTGTTGGATTGCTTGTGATGTACATACGCGATGTAAATGCTTAAGCCTTAATGCTACGTCTGTAAACCAGATATCCATCCTGATGTGTGCAGAGGAACTCGGAGAGATCCAAATCCGGAGATGTTAATGGCCATTTAATGCTTACAACCAACTTGCCAAGATGGATTTGATGACGAAGACTCGGCAAAAGCTTTCCTATTGCTTCTGGTAATAGATATAGCAGTATTACTGAAGCATCATCTAGGAGGGTATCAACAGTGGTTGTTGTCGACACCATGGAGATGCCATCGATGTTTGATCTCAAACGTGGATGCACCTGAGAAACAGGATTGCGGCTCACAATATCTCCCACAAACAACTGAACTCGTTGATTGCGTATAATCGCATCCCCTGTCGCTGTTTTGGCAGCTTCCTCAACCAACGTTAGGTCGAGATCCAGACCCACCAGGGAACAAGAGGTCGCCACAGGGCCAAGAGCTTTCACCACACCAAAAAGCAAAGCTCCATTCCCGCATCCCAAGTCCAACAAGCTATCTCTAGCAGAAACTAGAGAGTGAAGGCGGAGGTATTCTGCCAATGACGTGCATACGTCGGTTGGGGTTTCTCTGAATGGGCTAACAAAGCCGTTTGCCCAGTCGTAAGCGACAAGCCGTCTAATGCGTGAGGTTGGAGGTGTGGCGATGGCAAGTTCGGGGTATAACAGGTAGGGATCGTCTACTGACTCCACGCTGTTTATAGGTTCCATTATTGGTGTCGATCTAACGATGAGTTATGAATCTACCAAATTGTCGCAACAAACAACATACGGAGCTTGTATATTCACGTGACACCAAAGTTGGCCTCCAAAGCATATGAAGTACGGTGAATCCAAAAGGGTAACTCAAAATAGTGCGGAGCCAATGGGTATTGGCACTAGCACCCGCACCAGGGAATAAACCGGCGACAACCGGTTCGGAAAAACTAATCTACGCTACGCTACGGCTGGAACAGGCTGAACACTTCTGATCTACCATGTCCATCCAACATTGATTGCACGATCATCAGCATGTTGCAGGTGCTCAGTGTATCTCGATTCCAGTAGCGCATCGTCCAGGCTTGCTGACAGTTAGGGTTGGTACAACCCAGCAATCCATGGACTTTTTCAATCTTGCCTTCGCGACGGCGCCAAGGTCTTGAATGAGGTCGTGTTTTGAAGCCTTTTTCAATGCCAGAGGAACAGTGAGGGCAGACAGATGAGGTTTTATACTCGTCAAGAAGGAAGCAGTTGATCCTGTTGCGCTTAAAGAGGGTGCGCCAACCTTTTGTCTTTGATGAGGTCTGAAATCTTGCAGTTCGACCGGCATCGCTCCAATCACCCATCACAATGGTAAAGTTTTCACCGTATTTGTTGCACAAGTTGGATATGAGGTTTGATTCACTTTGCTGCTGATTGATGAAGGAGTGCCATTTCCATCGCGTGTGGGCAGGGTGGGAGTAGAATTCCTTGCGACAATCCGAATCTGCATGATGGCAAACGAGGAGATAGCGCATGAAGTCCATGAGGTTCATTGTCTTGTGACTAGGGATATATGATTCTATGAGGTCAATTCCCGCTTCCTTCTTCATCTGCTGCCGTTCTTTTGCAAATCGATGGCTTCCAGTCTCCATGGCTCGCTGGTTGGCGGTGTAGCGAAATGTCACACCACTGTTGTCTTGGCAGTAGAGAATATTGCGCTTGTTTGGGTCGATAACAACGACATTCTCTGCTGCTCGACAAGCAGGTAAGTTTTTCTCCATGTATTGCACTTTAACTTCGTCCTCTAAACTCTTTGCTGACTTTCTCGCTCCGCGCTTTCCATACTTGTCTGCTTCTGGGTGCTTTAGGTATACAGACACTGAGGTTCCATCCGTTGTGATCGAGCCTTCAAACTGCATACCGCGGCGAGATCTAAAAGCCTTGTTCCGCAGATTACAGACACGCAACCATAAATCGACCTTCTCTACAGCTTCTGCTCCTTGGCGGGTGATGCAGAGGATGTGGGCGTAGAGAATGACCGTGTCGATGCGAATATGGCTTTGGATGAGGGAGCAGCGAAGTGGGATGGCACTGAACCGTTGAAATCCATGCTTTTCATATAGGCTTGACAACCGACAGTAAGCAGGCAAGAAGGACATCGCGTCAATGGCAATGAGGTAGGCAAGTGGCTTGTCTTGATCAGGAAATGGCAGGTTAAGTGTCCAGATCTCTTCTAAAAATCTCATTTTCAAGAATGCTCAAGTCATCCAGCGATTCTGGCATGGTTTCGAAAAGGAAAACTGACTTCAAATAGCATAGTCGAGTAAAGAAAGCTTTCTGTGCATCGCTTTTCAGTGGCAGTTGCTTCTGTCTCTTCACATCGAGCTGCAGATTGATATACTGAAGGAGCATCTGCATGAAATGCTCTTGAACGTTGACTTTTAGGTTCATCATCATACTCGCTGTCAGGTAATTGACTGATTGCTGCTCGCCTCGTAGATTTGGGTGAACGAAGCCGACGATTTGGCAGTACTGTTGAACATATGGCAGCAAACAATCCTGCCATGCCTTCTTTGCTTCCTTTCTTGGATGCCAAGCCTCCCCCTTGTTGAGAAGATAGAGAATCGCTTCGATGGTCTCCTCGTTCACGGTGAAGGATGGTGCAGATAGGATGTAGAATTTGAGAGCGTGGGAAGCGTGGTCGGCAAGTTGATGGATGATGGCGATGTAATCTAGAAGCCGTTGGTGGTAGTTTGGCAGGAAAGCTTTTGCAAAGGAAGTTTTGTTGCAGGTATGTAAGGTGGGTTTGTCGAGTTTTTCGAGTTTTTGCTTTTTCTTTGGCGGCATGATGATATCTGTATCTGTGGCATTGATGATATCTGAAAAAGACGAAAGCCTGGGAAAATGGGCACGATGACTTATATAGGATTTTTTGGATCAAACCACAGTTCATGAGTCTAAATCGAGTAAAATTATGATTAAATTGGTTGGAATCTATGTACTAGTGCCAATACCCATCGGCTCCGCACTATGTAAATCTTCCTGTAATTCCAAATCCCATTCTCCTTTCCAGAAGACATCCCCTCATTATCCACGCCTATGTTACAAATGAAATAATGCAAATATATCTTCTATGCTATACAGTTGCCAAACCCAGAGATCTTAGGACTACCCTACCCAGCACCACAGCAAATAATATACATAAAGCACACAATGTTGCCACCTTCAGCCGTGACCTTCTCTTGGTAAGAGCTGCCGTGCCAGATTGGAGTGTGTCCAGAGGATTTCGTTCCACACCAGTAGGAGTGGCGAGTGACGGGGCTTTCTTGCGATACTTGATGGATACTTTTACTCCATTTTTACCAGCTCCAGTATTCTGTAGCAAATCTTCCAGATCGGCGACTCCATTTCCTGTGCCCTTATCGTCCCCACACTGTCCGCTGGTCTTTTGTCCGCCATTATCAATGACTAGCTGACCGCAAGCACTGGCTGCATCTGCTCCTAGGGTTTGACGCAAGAGAGTATGAACGCCGTATTCCCGCACCGTCTCCACGAAGCGACGACTGTCTTCTCTATTCGGAGTCTTGTAATCATGCGGTACTGATGTTGGATTATATGGAATGACGTTCAAGAGAACATGTCGCCCCTTCAGCAGTTGGCCTAATTCGTGGGCGGTTTCTTGGGAGTCATTGACGTCCCTGATTAAGACATATTCAACAAGAATATGGCGACGCCGATTCGTAGATTTGATCAACCCGTTCTGGTGATCTATGAACGCGTCACAAGCGGAAAGTATTCTATCCACATGCCAAGCTTTGGCGGTAGGAACAATTTGCTGGCGAAGGGTCTGGTTTGGTGCATGCAAGGAAAGCGCCAGGCCTATGTTGGGAGCATCCTTGATCAGACTATGGATTCTAGGTACGACTCCTACGGTCGAGACAGATATCCTTGAAGGGGCAAGGCCAAACCGGCCAGTATCAACCATGGCTCGGACGGCTGCCATGACTGCATTATAATTGTCGAGTGGCTCTCCCATACCCATGAACACTTAATCAGGAGAATTCGTCAATAAAATGAGTTGTAGCATCATAAGGAGAGAAATGACTGCGCCAACCTATATTTCGGATTTTCTCAATCTTGTTCGCATGATAGAGCTGCTCGATAATCTCACCAGCTGCCAAGTTTGAAAGAAGTCCCATCGTTCCTGTTGCACAAAATGTACACCCCATGGCACACCCTACTTGAGACGAAACGCACAACGTGGCTCGTTTATTCGATCGAAACTCCAGTATTTCCTCTCCATCTTCTCCATTCCCTTCCCTCCGTCGCCTCTTCCTTCTCTCCTCCTCTTCTGGAAAACAGTCCAGTTCAACCTCTCCATAACGCATGATTACACTTTCCACCCGCTGCCCGTCCTGTAGCTCTATCAGTAGCTTTGTCGTACTACCATCCTTTGCATCGGTGCGAGATATTACTTTTGACGTCGTTATCACAAACTCATCATCAATTAGCTTTCTCGCCGCTTTTGGGAAGTCGGGAATCTCGTCTATAGTTTTCTCGGGTTGCTGTATAAGGTAACGCCAAAGTTTAGCAGCATTGGACTCTTTGATCTTGTTTTTCCTGAATGCTTCAAGGACTAGCTCCTCGTCAAATATGGGCTTTGGGTTCAAAGGACGGGCTCTAGACATGATCTTGCAAATATATCAGATAGACTAGAGGCTCCCAATACCTTTTGAGTTTTTACTTTTCAGCGACGTCTGGAATTCGCTGTGCCACCATCATGATTACATAATGGACCGGTTTCATGTTGTGTCACGCACGGACAAACAGATATCAGCATCTTGCCGGCCACACATGAGCACATGAGCACGCGGACACCACAAAGCACCTCATGCACGTACTGACTTCTGCCGTCGCATCGTCACCAAAGCTGCATCCTGCATGTCATTGTATACTATCACCCGCATGAACTCTCGTCTATCCTGTCACCAATGGTTTCGCAGCTCTCACTTGCTGCGACAATTAACCTCAGCTGGCTCTCCAACCTCGACTCGCTAGTGTCCGGTAGAAGGTTTCACGACACATCGATAGAATACCTCATGAATTGTAGGTATTGGTCCCTCTGATGCTGTGTCATGTATAGTGGTATTGACGCTTTCGAACAACGAAAAGTTCTCCCGACGTGCGCCATTGTGCTCTATTACAGTGCTGTGTAAGCATAAACTCTGTTTTGCGGCTCTGTGATTTCATCATTCTGAAGTGTGGATATAGATCCAGCTACTTTCCGATATTTCTTCAGCAATTCTTAGACTTCGTTGCGCTGTCAAATGTTGTTTGCTCCATTTATTTCGGTACATATTGATTCTGTTAATGGTCAGATCCATAGCTAACAGCCTCTTAGTGTGGGAACTGACCAAAACTATAGCAAGCTATATAGCGAAAGAGCTCCGCGTGGATGTTGCGGTGATATCAGGACGGCGGCGCCGTCCACGAGTGACATTTCTGCTATTCGGTGCCCCGTTGTTGATGACGATTCTGAGTCATCGCTATGCTCGGATCCGCTTGAATCCTCTCTATCTCGTAAATGTTTTCTGGTTCAAGCTCGCATGTAGGTCGACGTTTGAGCGTGCGCTTTTTCTGAGCGACCATAACGTATTGTTAACCGTTGGTTTTCTGCTTCATAGTTCCCTTTGACGATATTGATGTGGCCATTTGCAAGTCTGCCACTGCCTTATTGACATTTGCGGGGACTTGTGTATACTGGACCGCTAACCGCATGTGGCAGAGGATCATTATGGCATGCGCCTGTGACGATCATGAGAGTCCTCCAGCAAGGTGTAGTTCAGCACCGCCGGCGGATTACGCTTCCCGCCTTCCGATGGAATTGCTGGATATGATAGTATGGCCGTACATACCAAGCGACGAAATGCGACAACTGCGACTGTTGAACTCGCGGTGGGCTCATATGCTAGGTCCTCGGGTGTTCCGTTCCCTAAAGATTAGAAACGACCAAGACTTACATGATTTTGCGGCATCGAAAATGACTCTGCAATCGTATGGGCGTAATATTCAGCATTTGAGTTTTGCTGGTGCATGCTGCATAACTGATGAGGTATTCAATTCCATCATCGAGGTATGATTATCGAGTGATTTGGCGGCTGTGGCGATGATATCGAAGATTAACGCATACCTTGCAGTACACCCCTAATATTGAATCTTTGAACCTATCAGGCTGTCTACGACTATCGGCCGTAGCATTAACCGTCGATCTACCGCAAAAGTGCCCTACTCTAGTGGACCTCAAACTAGGCATGACCGCGGGCTTTCTCGCTCGTTTCGAACGTCGGTCAGCTCGTCGGATGAGATTTAGACGATATTCCCACGTGTTCGATCACAAGCCATCACCCTTTCACGTTTCTTTCCTGTATTATGCGAACTTGACAAGCTTAGACCTCTTTGGAAACGATTTCGCCTTAAAGTCAACCTTACTGGTCGAAGTGGCGGTTGTATTCGCAAAGACGTTGAAGTCGCTGAGCTTGTCGCACTGCAGGCACGTTGCTGGTTTAATGAGCATCGTGGATCTTTGCGGACAGTTGGAAAATCTGGATTTATCATTCAGTGATGTTGAAGCACTGGAGCTGTGTTACGTGTTCAAGAAGCGTTCCATATTTCCAATACGTCAATTAAATCTTGCAGGGTGCAGTGCGGCTTCGTTGGCGCTCAGCCTATATGATGTTCACGTCACAGGATCGAACGCTGGAACAGATACGGACGGGGCGGTTGGAATTGATCCCGGAACTCCTCCACTCCAAGTTTTAGATTTGAGCGATACCAAATTAGACAACAGTCACTTATTGATTGTTGCAATCTATTTCCCTTATCTCACATCAATATATCTACGGGGAAATTGGAGCTTGACCCACGCAACCGTAGCGAGACTAATACGACGATGCAAAGATTTATCGCTGCTGGATGTCACTGACTGCTCCAACGGTACGTTCACGTTCATACTGGTTGCTTGTATCGTCCCGTCTAATAGTATTACCAGTGGGCAAATCCATACTTCTCCCGGATTTGAGCGACCCTGTGTCCCCTCCTCCTCTTGCTTTTGCTGGAAAGATTGTGGGTCGACATCGTGTTCTCCAAGTTCAAGAATTAGCAGGGGAAAATCTTGTTCTCGATCACCTGAAGATTCTCTGCGGTGTGCTGACATTGTCCCTCATAGTATTATCTGGGTTTGTGCATGTTATTCGGTTTCTATTGCAAGCAATTCTGGCATGGTAGCCATTAGGATTTTGAAATTTATATTACTCATTGTATGTATCACTGTATCTAAATACAATTGCTCTCACTCAACGCTGAGCCTATCACAGTCTCAGTACTGCCATGATCACACCGCATGCTAAAAAGCATGAGCCTTGAAGCCTCCGTACCGTGGCATCTGATCCACCCGAACCGCGGTTCGAACGACCTGATTTCGGAAGGCAAAACCCAAAATCCAGCTAATCACCGCCCCAACCAGTATCAGATACGCTAGATACTGAATCCACCCGTTCTTCAGTACCTCCCATGCCCCGGGAAGGTATTGGATCGTGTCGGTCGAATATGCTACCCGGCCGGATATGGTAAATGGCTCTGTTGGTGCTCTGCCTGTTGTCCAGATGGGCGTCTCATACGCAAAGTTAGTGCGCACTGGATTCGAAAGTTAGTATTTTGGAAAAGACCTGTATGGAAGTTGATACTATACTAAACTTGTACCCACCATCTCGGCGCGCATACCCCGCCATAATCGAACTCCACGTTAACGCATTAGGATCCGGTCCAAACGCTTTGGTGAAATTCACAACGGGAACATTGTAGGCAGAATTATCTCCATATCGTTTCAGCAACTCTCGTTGCACTAAGCGCAAATCTCCATCGACATAAACAGACGAAGCCGGCAAAGCTGTTGAGGAGTCGAATAGAGCCATTGATTGCATTTGGAGACGTAGCCTTTCCTGTATGTTTATCAATCAGCGTTAATGTCGAGTTCTACAAAATGGATGAACATACCGAAAGAGAGTATTGAAAGAAAAGTGCGAGCCGAACGTGCGTTATTGCCTCGGTCGGTAATAGAGGAATTGATGCGCTGAAAGTGAGGTAGTCATATTTTCCATCCCGTTGCACATCGATCTGCGACGTCTACGATGCCAATGTTCATGTTAATACAATGGAGTATCCGAACCAGGTTTCAGATTCAGAAAGTACCTGTAGTGCTGCGACTCTAGAAGTTCTTTCGTGTAATTGGTTATACAGGGGACTTGATGACCACACAACCGCGACTGGATTGTTGGACACTCTATCCACACCCTCGAGAAGCAGCATAAATTCGTGCTTGTACATGACTTGCGGTTGCTCTCTAAATGAATTCTGTTTCAACCAGAACGCTGATCGTAATGATTCATATAGTCAATACATGGACACTTGTGACATAACAGGCCGCCGTGACACTCACATCCAGAAACATAGGCAAAGATAAACGGGAGGATGAGGATTGCTATCGCTGCGAGCGCACCGAGCAATGAGGCCGTAGATATGAGTGGTGCATGGTATCTTCGTGCAAATGGCTCGTTATGAAGAATTGGCATTCTTGACGTCTCTTACACTTCACCATCTTTTGGTGAAATGCAGTGGTGTTAGTTACGCGTCGGCGGGCGTTACGTAACCTTACAGTGAGCGTTAACCCTAACCCTACCTTTCATAATATAATTATATTCGAATGCGTACAATAACTCCTGTTTAAATCTCCTTCTGATAAAATATTCTAAGGGTATTAACACCGCAATTTTGACTGCATCTAAGCATTCTATTTACTATCCGAATGGAGAGCTCCAATTGACTTTTCGACATTTATCGGCGTGCCTGGTACCGGCACACAAGGCCAGATGTTATGAGAATCAGGCAGATAATGCTTCTGCTTCAACATCGATATTCAACTTTATGTCGCACACCAGGTGGCAGTAATTCCGCGAAGTCCTGATAATAATTGGGCTGACTTCCAGTCACATGTTTCATGACTTGCAATAGACGAAGAACCTCATTGGACATGCGATTATCACACTCTACATACAGATCCCCATGATTTGTAGTATCTATTTACTTAGAGGTGGAAAGTACTTGTATGGATTCAGAATGCCGTTTGGATCAAACACTGATTTCATGCTCCTCATCAATTCAATGAAAGCTTCGCTCTTGGAGTATTGAAGGTACGGCGCCTTCATCAGCCCCAATCCATGCTCAGCAGAGATGGAACCTCCATGCTTTTGGATGATTTCGTAGAGGAATGGTTCAATAGCCTCGTCAATGTCCTTTGCCCATCCCGTAGAGGTCAGGTTCAAATGTAGGTTGCCATCTCCCATGTGACCAAACCCAACCACATGCTTCACTCGGCCTGTCGCAGATCCATTCTTGTCAAATAGTCCAACAGAGGCGAGCCGCTCTTGCATCTCCTCCACAACACTGTACAGGTGAGGAACAGGAACACTTAGATCGTACTTGTAGTTGCCTCCTTCCTTGGCTAGTGACTCTGTAATCGTTTCTCGAATGCTCCACATCCCAGCAGCTTGCGTCGAATCTTGCGCCAGAGCACCATCTTCCACCACCCCTTCCGTCATAAGGTTTTCTAAGAACACGGCAAGCTTCTCATCATCATGGTCCTTGTTGGATCCGTTTGTCTCTATGAGGACGTAGAAGGGCGTTTGGGTGGTGAAGGGTTCGCGGACGTTCGGAATATGGTGTTTAACCAGGTTCAAGCATGTATGATCAAAGAATTCAAAAGCAGAGAGGATCTCGTTCAGCTCGCCTTTAGCGTGTTTGAACACCTCTTGGACGCCTTCAAATGTGCTGACTCCCAACATTGCTGCATATATTTCTTCGTCAGCTAAAACGTTGACCACTGACCACGACAAGCAAAAGAGCTCTTACCAACGTTCACCGCTTTCGGCCTTCGAGGTGTTAATATGGAAACGGCAGTAATGATACCCAACGTGCCTTCAGATCCAATGAACAATTGCTTTAAATCGTAGCCGGTATTATCCTTTCTCAGCGGCTGTCCCAGCTCCACTATCCGACCATCTGGCAGTACGACTTCCATTGATAGTACTGTGCCATGCAAGCTCCCATACCGCAATAGACGCAGACCTCCTGCGTTTGTCGCAACGTTACCGCCTATCTGACAGCTCCCCTTTGCTCCCAAGTCTTAGAGAGATACATATCAGTATCTGGTAATGTCATCGCTCCTCAATCTTGTTTAAGGACTTACCAAGAGGCATCATGTAACCTCGCTCAGCCAACCAATTATCCAGCACTTCCAGCACGCAACCAGCATCGCATGTCAAGATCCCAGACACTTCATCAAAGCTCCTAATTTCGTTCATGTTCTGCAAACTAAGAACAATCTCATCATGGACAGGTACACTTCCTCCCACCAGGCCAGTATTGCCTCCTTGAGGTACCACCGCCAGACGGTGCTCATTGCAATACTTGAGGAGCGCCGCCACTTCAGCGGCTGTTTTTGGGCGAAGAACAACCTTTGATTGCCCTCTGAATCTCCGCATCCAGTCCTATTGATTGTGCAGTTGGTAAGGCACCACATGGTGACCGATACAGAGAGCACCAAGCTAAACATTTGAGTTCACCAACCTCATTGAAGGGCTCCAATTCGTCGGGACGATCTGCGGTTATCACCCCCGCGTCTGACTTGATTACACTTTTGAAGAACGCAATATCTTCATCTGTGAGAGCCTTGTATCGTGTGTCACGCTTCAAGTGTGGATAGCGGTCGGCGGTTAAAACGGGGGAATGGGCTGCACATGAAGTCCTTGCAACTGTGAAAGAGCGCCGAGGTGCAAATATACGCGGGCAGGCTGCGAGGGAAGCGGGTAGAGTACGTCCTTGGCTGCTTGCGCTCAAGCAGCCAGGTATTCTGCCACGAAGCCGAAGAAGGCGCATGCTGGGGCCGTATCTGGTAAGGAAGAGCTGGCTGGATCATGGCAGATGAGATAGATGAGTCATAACTGCATCCATGGCAACAAAACTGCTATAAGCTAATGAGTATTCGAACAATTTAAGGCATTGTCGGCCGTTTAAAGTGGATGGCACTAATCCACTCCTTGGCTGTAAATGGCCCCAAGCCCGGGATGTGTTCTAGTATTAAGGCCATCAGTAGGCTGAGACGTGGGGACATAATTTATTGGGTCTTTTTGGCTTCCTTAAGAGGCTGAATAGGGGACGGCTGTGCGGGTGCAAGTACTCGGCCGAGTACCGCTAGCACCTAGATTAGTGAAAAAGTCAGGACATTTCAGATTGAAACATGTACACGGTAAATTTTGGTCACATACCAGCAAAACCCCGGCGCCAATAGCAACAAACCCCCAAGCACTAGAAAACCAGGCAGGATTGCTTAGCGTTAATGACGTGATCGAGTATGCCTGACACTACTTACGGGACCGTATCCTTAAAATGACTGGTGAGGGAAACAATTTTTTGTCCAAATGATCCCACTGCCGAGTAGCAAGATTAGCTTATTGAAACACTTGTGTAGACATTTGCATCAGACGTACCAGCACCCAACAGCTTCATTCTTCATTTCACCAGGAAACAATAAGCAATCGGAGATCAGGGAAGCATAGTCAATGTGAAATCTGTCTCACCCTATCGAGAAAGGCGACAACCACTGGTTCCAAGGTTTTTCTGCCTGCCACTTCTCCTCTTTCAGATATTCCAGAATACTGCTGGCTTGCCGGGTCACTTCCATCGAACGAACTTGCTGATTATCAACAAAATACAGCGATGGAAGTCTGCCGTGGATCAAGAATTATTTCCACAGTCAAGATCAATCAGACATGGATCCTAGGCGCTTACCGTTGGACCATGAAGCGCGATGTAGCTGCGGGATTCTGGTCAATGTCTACGCGTCCAACGCGTACCGTTGGCAGCTCTTTCGCAACGTCTCGAGCAAGATTCTCATATTCGGGCGCAAATTTGTTGCAGAAGCCGCACCAATTGGCATAGCTATGGAAAGGTAACGTGCACAGGAAAATATATTCAGACTGGGCTTACTTTTGACATTCAAAGTCACGACGATCTTGACTCACAATTCGACAACCCATCGACCGTTCGACACCAATTCATCTAAGTTAGCATCTGTCAACTCGACGACCCGACTTTTGTGATTCTTGTGTGCTTGTGCAGTGGCAATGAGGACGAGGAAACACAACAGGAGCCACTTCATTTTCGCAGATGTTTTGCAGATTGAGTTTGGCAGCAAGTGGTGGTGTTCGCTGTGACGTGAGCAGAGGGTGCAAGTCACGATGGCCAGCGATCACGTGTCACAGGCAGAAATAGAAGATGCAAAGAGTAGTCCCTACGATTTTTAACCTGCTTTGTTAATCTACAATGTAGTACTGGCCACTCGCTCAAAGAAGTCTCTATGGAGGTCTTTGGGACCAAAAAGTGAGATGGCCTCAGCATCCTACCGGAAATCAAACTTGCAATTTGCAGGGAATGAACTATATGAGCAAAGCCTCAACTTTCATCTGCGTTGGTCAATTTTCCTAGGAGTGTGATGGGGCAGCTCTAGTCACTGTCTCAACGAGATCTAATGTGTGGAGACTCTGAGAGTTTCTCTGCAGCCGATATAGTGGTGTGGAATGGCTGATATGGGGGTTTAAATCGTAATGGCAACTGGTATGAACCAAATCGGTAGGTAAGTGGGACCCTCCATCTGCGTCCCTTTCACTCCCTTTCCTTGAAAGACCCGGGGATCTTGCGCATTGTCCCTATCCGCTTGTTTACAGTTTAAATTATTTCAATAATGACGAAAACGCTACCACAAACAAGAGGCAAGATAGCCACAATAATGCTTCCATGAAAACCACCCTTAAAGTTCAGATCGTCGTAGGTAGGTTAACTGTCCTCTGCGTTATGAATTCATTCATATGGGGGTCCCACCACTCCTACACTGTTAATCACCGACCACCCTTTTATGGCACACTGCAACTGAGATTGCAACCACGCAGTTAAAGTGACTGATAAGATGTGGGCAGTCACCGCGTGCACTTGATTGGGTTAAATGCACTTCAACCTCCACATTGGGATGGCCAGTGGTTGATGGCATGAATGGTAAATATGACGTACTTTGGATTCCATAATCCAGCCTTTAACGTTAATCATGTGATCACGCTCATCGGTTATCAGCAAAGGCCCGCGAGCTGCCAGGGTCACACAAAGATGAGATACGTAAGCCTCAGCCAAGTTTGGTTCTGTCCCCCGGCTGTCACACGTGAGATTAGGGCCCTTCGTCACACGATCAAAGATTTGGGCTTCTCCCCACTTGGCCCTCCCCCTCAACCTTCCAAAGCACATGAAAGTTCTTGGTCGTTTTGATTCTGGACTGTGGTCTGACCGCTATCTACACAAGATTGGCCCTTCTTCACACACACAAACACACAGGGATGCCATACGCACAAGGGACCCATAGGGCTAGTACGACACAAGTTATCCACTTGGTACGAGAGCCAGTCATTCACAAATAGAAATAGCTTGTGGGGCCAATTGAAGACTCCAGTCAGTTGCCATGGCCGCAGTAGGACGAGTCATTTTGGAATTTGCGGATACGAGGCAAAAGGCAAAACACTGGTATCACGTCAGATAACCCCCCACACTACGCCACTGGGTAAATTTTCTTGTCGCGCCCAAGCCAGAAATGGAAACCCCACATTAATGAGCTGGGCGTGAGCGCATGTGAAAGGAGGGGAAAAGGGTGTGGGGTTCCTCTTATCTTTGAGACATACCAAGGTTTCGGTTCCTGGCTTGCGTTATCTTGAATATTTTTGTTATCTTTTTCTGATGGGACATCGCGGAATCAACCGACGACGATCGGGACAAATCGACACGGCAAACAAATATAAAGACGAGGCTGAACCTTTCCTACTCTACACTAATCTTGTTCTTTTTTCACATACGCACTTTTACGTTGTTTTGGCATTTTCATGTCTCGTAGTTGTTCATTCGACTCTGTCCTGGTTGCACTTCCCGCTGAGCCCCTCTCCCACGTCCGATCCCACTCACAATCATCGTTACCTTCCCGTCGAACTGATCGTCGGTGTTGTTCCTCTGCCGGCATATCACTGAAATCTGAACGCGCATCGTCCACTAGTTCCTTGAAGAAAGCACGCACTTGTTCTTCCAACGCCTCCCCAACCACCGCTCGCAAGCACGCTTCCCTTTCCACAATACCCACCGTCATGCTTCGTGTCGAGTCCTCCCGCTCTTTTGAAAGTTGCACAGCCTTTCGTCGTTCAGAATCGCCCGCCGCTGTAGCAACATGGCAAGCGCTTTCGAGAGCTATTCAACTGGAACTTAAAATTCAGCAAGAAGGACAAAAACCAAAAGCTGGATCCAGATACACTGTCAACTCTTCTTTTGAAAAGGTCAACACTGAGTTGTCTTCCATTGAGCATGCATATGATACCCAGGATGGGAACAAGCCCGTCGTCCTGAAGCGTCTCAACAGTCCCGAGACTGCGGAACACGAGCTTGCAATCCTTCGAAAGATAAATGAAGCTAACCTTCCCCACGTGCTGCGATTACGGGATACCTTTGAAGACCCCGTTACCGGCGAACGTGTACTCGTTTTCCCCGAATTGAAGCGCTTTGACTGTAACAAGCTTGATCTTGTCAAAGTGGCAAAGTATGTCAAACAGCTCGCGACCGGACTTCAAGCAGCGCATGCAATCGGTCTAGCTCACCTAGACCTCTCAATATCCAATTTAATGCTGGATGAGAACGATGACCTGGTCATCATTGACTGGGGTCTTGCTCGCTTCTGTGATCCCGCCCATGTTCATCCAATTGGAAGAGGTACTCCCGGCTACATTGCACCCGAAATGTACGCTGGAACGGCGACAAGTACCGCACCCGACATATATTCCGCTGGTGTCATAATGGGGCAGTGGCTGGAACCCTACCTCACAGACTGCTCCTTGAGCTACCTCGGCTCGAAACTCGTTCGCTCTTCCACCACTTCGTTCATTACCCGCAAAATTCAGGACCATCTCGACACCCAACGGATTGGATACGAAGATCCATGGTGTCCGGTCGTAACGTACGCAGCCGAGCTTCTCATTAAGATGTTTGAAGTAGAGCCGTCTCGTCGCATCACTGCGGCGGAGATTGTCCAAGACCCGTTTGTCTTGGCAGAGGACGGCGAGTTTGAGGGAACTGACTTTCAGTCGAACGCCGCTGCGTTACTTCGCCAGTCCGTGTGTTGTGGATCGCCACGAGACAAGCCACGGATTGTGATGAGGTACCGATAGTGGGACCTGGTCGTGGTTTTCTGTATATAGCTTTTTGAGTGACGTTTTTTATTACCATAATTACTTGTATATTTTGGGTGCAATTTGCCCTACCTTCATATCCCGTTCGCTTCTTGAATATATCTTTTTGAGTCATCACAAAAGTGTGTGCAGTGCGTTCTTGTGTGTGTCCTCCTCTGAAAGGTCCACCTGGTTTACTGAGAAAAAGTCATGAGTTGTTTAAGCTTTGAGGCCAGCCACGTGTCCCGGTGGATGCTTGAATAATAGGTCGCGTAATCAGCGACACGCTCAACAGTTTGCTCAACGCTGCGAGGATACTTGCTATCTTTTCAACTATTGGTAGGTTGCGGACACTATGGACATGAACAAGTGGGCCGACCATCTTCTCTCTCTCCACTCCCACGCCCGCGGGCTCCTGACAGCTCTCTACTGCGCCAAACATGCCATCGCCTCTGACGTCTCGACACCCCTCACATCACCGACCGATATCCTCTCCAAAGGCGGCTCCCCAGACGTATCGTACACTTATAACGGTGCCTCTCTCACACCCGTATCCCCCTCCCGCCCAGCACTTGAAAAAATAAAATGTCTCAACGATCCGAATTTGGGAGAGGTTTGGAAGAAGATGATGAAAAAGTTTCCAGAGTTGGCAGAATTGACCAAGGTATCTTGAATTTTTTTTTGTATATACATGTACATTTATTTTTTTATTTTTTTGTTCCTAATGGTTGCTTTTTTTTATTATGTGTGTAGGATTCGAGGGCTCAGGCGTTTCGTGATGTTCATGTACAAGTATTGGATGAACTTCGGCCGTACTACACCCTCCTCGTCGCCGCTATGGATTTCGTCGAGATTAGTTTGGTTATTTTGCAAGATTCGATTAATCTTGTGAATTTCAGTGTAAGTATTCGTAACAAACAACATTATATCGTGCGTAAAGAAAATAAAGTAGCGTTGTTGATTTTGAGGAGGTTGTTATTTTTTTTTTGTAGTCTGATATCAACCCCGATCTCGTCAATTTATTTTTGGATTTACTTGTGGATCATGTATCGGTTATTTACATGTTGGCGTCCTTGGGACCTGAGCGGAAATTGATTGCTGCTGGGTATTGTAAGGCGTGGTTGGTGGATTTTGGAGAACCAGAGCGGAATTTCAATAGGTGAGTCTGTTTTACAACTAGCAAAAGGTCAAAAACTGTTATTGATTTTTTTTTTTATAGACTTTCGAAATTCCTATTAACGTATGAGAAACCACTACCAGTCATCCAAGACAATTGCACAACACTCGCACCAAAGATTATATCCTTGCTATTGGAGATGAAACCGGACTTGGATCAAAGGTTGTGTATGACTGCCGATAATTTTCGGAAAATGGCGATTTTGAGTTTGACGCCTGAGATGAGTGGGATTAAGGCGCCCGAGCCTGATGAAAAGGTTAGATACTACATAGTTTTGTAATGTTTTATGTGTTTGTCCTGTTTGTTTATTGTTTTCTTATTTTTATTTTTTGGGGTTGTGGTAGCATTTGAGAGGATTGACCGTCATGAATCGCCAATTCAATATTCTGGTGATTGGATTTTTGGTGTGTCCATCCGAAGTTGGGAAACAACCCGCCTGTATCGAGTTGTTAAAGCAGGGGTTAAGCTATGGATATGCAATGCCCTTGGTTCGGAACGAGGTAAAAAAAAAAACATTTACGACAGTGATGACTACCGTGCCATGGATGAAACAAGTCAGCTGACACTTTGAAATAGATGTTGAATATTATAGGCGAATATGAGCACTCTTCCAAAGCATACAAAAAGTTGGCGAATATGAAGGGGGTTGTTAGGTATAACCTACTTTTCAAATTATTTAAAATTTTTGTTGAAATGTGTGTGTACTTTAGTGATACGCTCACCGTAACGGCAACAACCGCCCCGATATTTCATAAAGAACGACGAGACTACCTCCGACACCAAATCAAACAAATGCTATGTCTATGCGGGGAGCGTCGGATTCTTTGTAGTAAATTCCCGGTAAGGTCTCAATATGTATGATATTGATATTTATGTTTCTTAAAATATGTGTTTTTGGAGCAGATGGTGGCAAGCGCCATGGGATTCGCGCGAGATGAGATTTTATGGTACTTTTATCATCTTGATATGGATGCTATGGGGAAACGAAAAGGGAAAAAGGATGTTCGGTTGTTGGATGTTGGTGTCGTAGAGTTGATTTGGCTTATCAAGGATTTGGCTAAAAGTTTACGCAAAAATGTTGATGGTATGTTTTACATCCACAGTTTGTTTTTTTTTTCCATTGTTTATTTTCGTTTGGTTTGAGTGCTAAAGGAAATATTTCTAACATTGTTCTAGTCATCCGAGACCATTTTGCCAGCCAAATCGCTCAATTTTACGCTCCAAATCTGTTACAACTCATTGATAATGCCTTGGGACCTGATCTCGAGGTGGAGAACATGGGGATACTGTTAAAGGAAATACATCGGTTGATTACAATGTTTACGACGGATGAGATGGGGGAGTTGATTGATGGTGGTGGGTTAGAGGTAAACTATTAACCCCATTTGTTTGCTCATAATTTTCAGATTGGTTTTTTGTTATTGTTGGGTTTTGATGTGTGTGCTTTTGATTTAGGCATTACGACTCAACTGGCTTCGTTTCCAAGTATGCGCGGCATTACCTTCTGCGGGGGGTGTCGCCAATATTTCAGACATTACATGGCTCATGACGGATCTCTGTGAACGATCACGGTATGTAGTGTATTACATGTGTGCTAAGCACTGGATTACCTTGAACGTTTGTGGTATGGCGGCAGAACTATATTAAACGTCCTTGGCATTTCCGTAGGTGGTTGGACAATTTTGATGATTGCATTGAGCAGCATTCAAGTCTACGTGAATTATGCTTTTACCAAAACGCTCTACACGAGCATTTGAAGGAATGTATGGATGGTTTTCCGGAATGGGTACGATATACAGGGGCATTGGGGTCCCTCGCTGAGGAATTCTTGTCCAATATCAGTCCATCGTGGCCTGCCGAGGTACTTAAAGTTCGTTTCCCGTATTTTTTTTGGTATCTTTTCCACTCATATATATTCCAAACAAAACAGGCTAAACACCTAACAATCCATTCCGTCCTCTTTGCAACCGAAGTTTATTCCATTCTTGGTCAATATGCCGGAAGCCTTGCCCACGATATCGCCTTACACATGATCACCTACACGAATCAAACACTGACACAAGAAGCCGTCTCACAAAAGGGGGATAGGAAAAAGAAAAAGAAACAGGCTGCGGAAAAAGTTGTTGCGAAACCTGGGTGGGAGAGTGTTTTGAGTGGTGTGGATCCAGGAGCCAGGAGGTATGGAGTTTATTTATATCCTTTGTTTTTTGATGGGGGTGATTGATTTGGTAATTTCATTTCTAGTCTGGAACGACAGAAACAACTCTTGCGAAATCTACTGTTTGCACTTTCTAACCCCATCACGACCATTGTATACGACTCTGAATTTCATCCTATTGAGTTCTTTCTCGAGACGCTCGCGGAGCGGTTCCAATCGTATGTTACATACGTTATTTTTTTTTTTTTGTTATTTGGAGCTCATGATGGTGCTTTAGACATCTTACTTCATCTATTTATAAAACACCCGATACGCCGAGTCCATCCGGTTTCGCTGGACTAGGAGGGAGTCATCCGACAGATGAAGGATTATCGTATGACGTAAAGCGGCCTTCTGTGTTTTTGAATGAAGTGAGGGGGTACCTCTCTGCCGTTCGGTTTATGGATAACCTAGGTATAGTTCAACTGCTTTTGTTGCGTGTACGGGTGTGTTGGTGCTAATATGTTTTGGGGGTTTTTTGTAGTTCCAATGAGCTGTACATTGGCAATTCGAGAGGTGTTATTGGAAGCTGTTAACTATACAGCGTAAGGTCCCCCTCAAATAAGCACTATGCCGTTTTGCGGACTAAACTTTATAAAATCGTAGGGCGAGGGATTATGCGGATGCACAAACAGATCAAATGGTCTACCCCGCCAGTCAACCGATCAAAAAACCTAAATCGAAGCCACCACCCATTGGGACCAACCAGCCTTTTTTGGTTATTTACATGGCATGGTAAACAAACAACCTCTGCTTTAACTCAAAGCCTTGTTTTATTTTATATTAATTTCTTTTTGTTGTTTTTTGATAAGGTACTCGGAACTAATTGGCTCACGCGCAACGACAGGAACAATATGTTATTCACCCAACCGTCGTGCGTTTCTAAGTCGTGGGCATTTATCCCTGCAAGCCGAAACATTTACCGATATCAATGGTAACATTTTTCTTATTGATATTTATATCTATTTGTGTCCCCAACTTTTTTAATTCTTTTTTCTTTGTAAGAACTCTCGGCATTGTGCGAATTGGTGGGTCCACACGGTGCACGGTTTATGGATGAGCAGTTTGTGCGGATGATTGGGGGGTTAGTGAATGCGACCAGGGTAATGTTACTTTTTTTTTGTTTCTGGTTTTAGTTAGAGTGTTTTTTCTAGGGCGTTGTTTTAATTGGATGTTCTTTATGCCTATGTAGGATATGTTGTTGCAACATCAAGATGTATTGGAGAGACTCAAGGCATCATGGACGGATGAAACGAGGTGTTTAGAGATTTTGAAAAAGTTTAAAAGTAAGTATTATTGACGAGTCATTTGATTTTTCGGCATGTAATCTAACATGTTGTTTATAAAAATTTACAAAGATATCAAGGACCATACCTCTAAAACAATTACGCTGGGCTTTATCCTCACATTCCGACACCTCCTCTCTGAAGCCGTCCAAAAAGTCTTGTCGGAAAAATGTAGTCATCTTTTTGCGTGCATTGAGACGGCGCATCGGCATTACGCGCCCAATATCGCAGGTGTGCGGCCCTTCAGGGTAAGAAAAACTACACGACATATCGTTGACCCCCTAATGCAAATAACAATACTAACAAAGCACTGTATTTTAAAAGGCCGTGGACACCCTCGCAAACGATATAGGCCTCACAACCCGCATCGACACACGCATCACAAGCGCACTGGGTATCACGACCGGAACGTCCGATGCAGGACTCTGGAACCTCCTCCCCTACCTCTACACAACCCAATTATGGCATGTGGCATTTGATGAGAGTGGAGCTTACAATGCGTTTATTGATGGGTTGGAGAATAATGGGCATTGTCTTGCGGAGGCTTGGGCGGTGCTTTTGAGGGGGACTGAGGGGGAAAAGGAGTTTTGTAAGGTACGTTTTTTTGGTGGTGTTTGTATTGGTGTTGGGATGCTTTTTTGATGGTATGTGTTTTTAGGTGGCTTCTACGATGTTGATGCGGTTAGTCAATCGAATGACGGATAAAGAACTGCAAACAAAACATTTAGAATCCGCGTTTCTTGTTCTTAAGCGAGTACGTTTCCCTTTATTGTTTTTATTCATATTCAATCTCATGTTTACACCACGTTTTTTGAAACATGACTTAGTTTACGACATTAACGACTTTACCACCCGACACAATCGAGACTCTCATCCCCCACGCATTATTCCAATCCATCATAGGCCAAGTCCATCGAAAACGGGATGCAAAACGGGTTGCCATGCCGATTGCAGGTGAAGACGAAGTAGCATTTTAACAAAAGTTTCTTTTTCGTTTTTTTTTTTTTTGGCTATATACATTATATGTTGTGTGTGTCATGTCGGATGTAGTAGCATACCAGACAACTTGTGCAATACAACTCGTCAACTCCACCGTCTCCATACAAGCCAAACAACCACAACCCCTACCAAACACCCAACAATCTTCCAAGCATTCCGCCCATACCGCACCGTCAAGGTCGTATGCAGCCGTCGAGCAGATGCCATCACCTCTGTCCGCGCTGATGTGAATGTCGTTGACTAGGTGGTTCATGAGTATCGTCCATTTCGTAATGTTTCAACAGTTTGGGTACTTACAATGTCATCTAATCGTCTACACATACAAGTATGAATACCACTGCGTTAATGAAATGGGATGACGAGTACGTTACCGGTGGTCCTCTTGGACTCCATCGTAAATGTCCATTGAAATCTACTCGCAATGGTTTATAATCTTGCATGTGTGAGAATGAGAAAAGGGACATACGTGTTTGAGTGTCGAGACTTTTGAGGTGAGATTGGATAGGGATTCATCGTTTTGGTCTAGGAGGCGGTCTGTTGGGTCGTATCTATGAAAAAGGTGAGTGGTATTGGTTTGTGGAATCGACATTTTGCGGTTTTTACCTATTCGACATGTTTGCGTGCGATAGACAAATGCAGATGTGAGAGTTTCTGTTGAAAACCCAACGCGCTTGTGCGTGTGTCATTGACTTGTCACGTGTTGAAAACTCAGCCTCGCAAGGTGGTAAACACGGGCGGGGTGTCCAAACACGCTCGCCGTTTGTCTTTTGCATCTTGGCAATCCTCTTCCACCAAAAGTTTCTTGAACAGTAAATAGATTCAATAATGGATTCTCGTCCACTCCCACCAGGCTGGATAACCCAATGGGATCCAAACTACCAACGCTACTTTTTCGTCGGTGAGTTATAATAGAATTTCCGCCACCCTATTCCCCATCACTCATGTCATCTCGACTAGACACGACAACCCAAACAACAACCTGGACCGACCCCCGCACAAACCATCCACCATCCTACTACCCCCCTTCCTACCCAGCACCCCACCACACACCTCCACCCCAATACACACCACAACCAAGTACATACATTCCCCAACAACAACACCAACAACAACAATATGCACCACAGTACCAACAAGCCAAGCCAATGGGAATGCCAATGGGGATACCCGGCATGTCGACACACCATGGTTCTAGTGGGATGGGTATGGCGGCTGGTGCGTTGGGTGGTGCGGCGGGTATGTATGCCTTGTCGGGTATGTTGCGTCCGCATCATGGGTTTGGACATGATAAAAAGTGGAAGAGGAAGGGATTCAAGGGGTTCAAGGGACCCAAGTGGGGTGGTAAGTGGGGAGGAAAATGGAAGGGCGGCAAGTTTGGAAAGTTTAAAGGAGGGTTTTTTAAATGAGTTTTTGATTGGTGTTGAATGGTGTGGTGGTTTGTGAGGAATGCAAAGTTGAGTGTATGGCGAGATTTTTTTTTTTTTATCTGTAATACGATTGCAGTAAAATACATACTATACACTTTATATACCCAACTTTTTACTGTATGCAATGCATGGTATGTAATATTCTGCGTGGACAATGGAAGGCACAACCTCTCATGAACGCATAAAATATCAAAACGGAATCGATACCCTACACTTTAGAACCCCTCACGAAAATCCCACTTATAAGTATACTGTAGACAAGACAAATCCGTATTATTGATGGCAGTAATGAGAGCATATATCATCCGGTTGAGCATCCCATTTTGCTGGAATACATCGAATGAGTAGAACACAGGACAACGGATTCAATTTTCATTTACAACTCCCTCAATGGGTTTAAAAAAGTTCGGCAAAAAGCAGAAAGAAGAATGGAGAAAAACAATTAAAGAAATCCATATCGTTTTTTTTTTATTCTTTTAAAAAGAACAAATCAACACTCGACAAAACAACAGCACACACACACACACACACACACACAAAAAAAAAAAAACATAAAGATAAAATCATTTACAGTAAGAATTCGAAAACACACCACCCCGATATCCAAAAACCCTCCTCCTCGTCTTTTTTTTTTCTTCTTTTCTCATTGTTTTCAAGTTTTCCGCCCCCGTATCCCCCACAAGAACAAAAACAAAAAAGAAAACCACAAACAAACAAAAAGATAAAACATTGGTATCCCCTCAACAAAACAACACACAAAAACAAAAACAATCAAACAGCTCAGGCCCTCCGTCGCTTCACTCCCATCCCAATCGCCAACCCCAACTCACAAGCCTCTCGTTTCCGTCCCGAAAACTCGTACCCCAATTCCTCCATCTCGGCTCTCTCCATTGGAGATCCACTCAGCGAACTCTCTGAATCACTCGCAGGGGCATTCAACCCATCAAAAGAGTCGAGATCCAATGGGGATAGGTATTGAAAGGGTTGGATGCCGAGGCCACCTAGTTCGCCCATGGGCATGTTGAGCATGTCGGTAAAGTTGGATTCAGAAAAGAGGGGGTCTTTGAGGTCCATGGGTTCGTCTTCTGCAACTTCTTCAATGCGGCTGGGTTCGGGTTGGAGGAGGCGGCGTTGGGCGATGGCGGGGGGGATGCCGAGGGCGGCGGCGCGTTGGCCAACGAGGTGGTTGCAGTATCTACATAGTGTGTACATTTTCGTTTGAGCTTTGTACATCATGTTGTCACATGCAGCCTAAACATACCTCTCAATCATGGATAACATGCTATGCTTGTTAAAGGGTTTGGCCAAAATATCGTTCATCCCATTCGCAAGGTACGTCATACAATCATTTTCGGTTGTATTGGACGTCATGGAGATGATGGGCGTCAGTTGATCAAATTGTCGGATACGGTTTGTGGCGGTTACTCCATCCAAATTTGGCATGACAATGTCCTAACATTGATAAAAATCACTACGACAATGACGGACGACGACACGATACAGATAAGATACATACCATGAGAACAATATCATACTTGTTGCCCACGTTCATGCGCTCCACAGCATCTAGTCCATCCACGGCAACATCAAACGAACACCCAAAGACTTGCAATAATTTACTCGAGAGTTTGCGGCAGGTCACATCGTCTTCTACCAAGAGGACTTTGGGTGGAACAGACCTGGCATATGATACAAAGTTAATGGTTTTGCACAAATGTGCAAAGGATAAAAACTCACCAAGGAGGTACAAAGGTGGCCCTCGTGACGCGCATACTGTTGGGAGGCCGCGGGGATCCCCCCGTTCCCGTTCCCGAACTGTCTCCTTCGTCCACGCCATCGTCCCGCCGAGGTGCAAATCCACCCACGGTAAACACGGTCAATCCGCCTTGTTGTTGGGTTTGCATCAATTGAGAATTCAATTGGGAAGCAAATGCCGCGCTGGCCGAGAAACCCGCACTCGTACTACTACTTGCAGCCGTCGTGCTGCTGCTGCTGCTGCTACTGCCACTAACGTTGGGTCCGCTGACACCATCTCCATTTAAAAAGCCTTCCCCAGAGCGAGCGTCTATGGGCACATTATCCGTTGGCGTGGGGCTCAAGCCAGGAGGCGGCGTCTGCATCATGCCATAGGCCTCCCGGACATGACGGCTAATTTCATTCATTTGGTGGAAACTCGCTCGTGCGACTTGTTGATACGTTGTCAATAGTTTTTGGGCCTGCTCTTTTGGCAAATCCAGTGCCGACGGGTTCATGATGGTGTTCATGTTGAGGTCGGGTTGCAGGCCATTAAAGGCCTGGGACAGGGGTGATGACGAGGGTATCGACGTCTTTGTAAAGGCAAACGGTGTAATAAAAGGTGAGCTCTCGTCGGCCACGGTGGACGCTTCTGCTGATGCTGACGGCAGCCCCATCCGCGATGCGTTGGGCAGCTGAAACTTTTCGTCTAAAATAATGTTCCAATGTGAGAAACCTTGAAACAAACCACGGCTGCAATCGTTTCCCGTGTAGACTTACTCGCAGAATCTTTTCCAACAATGTAATCCACCAAGTTGCGAATGACCTGATCTTGGGCCACCATGTTTTTCCTGAAATTGAGAATCTCTTCGACCACCATGCGATAGTTGCGGCTCAGTCCTTGCAAATACGATGCAATGTCAGACTGCAATTTGGTCAAACTGTCTACTTGGGTTTGCAAGTCATTGGTATCTTTGCGCAGCTCGGTGGTCAAGGCGTCCTGCACACCAGAGGCCGGGCCATTGCCTGTCGTCGCAACCGTCTTTGGTTTGGAGGCGGGCGTTTTGCGACGAATGGATTCAAGCATTTCCTTTTTGTTGTACTGGAAATTTGGATGCTGAAATTCCCAAGCCTAAAAGACAAGAGGGTGAAAGTTTATGCACTTGTTTTTTTCAAGCATTCAAAAAACTCTCGTTCTTTTACCTGATCTCCATAAAGCCTCCCATCGTCCTGACTCTTTATCTTGTGAAAGCCATACTTGTTCAACTGCCGAACAAAACTCGCCGGGTTATTGTGCTTGAAATGCTTTGGCAAGACATTTTTGGCAAATTCATTAGGTTCTTTGACGACAAAGGTATCACCATGTACACCCCACGAGACAATGTCGGCATAGGATGTGTCTTCGAGCATTCTAAAGAGCTTTTTGACAAAATCGGGAACACCGCTGGACGTTGTTGTTGCCGGCGTTGTTGTTGTCAATGCAGTGGATGACGAGGCACCGGAAATGTGGTCAGAGTCGTCATTGTCTTGTAGCGGTGTGGGGCTCTTTGCGTCGGCCAAGAGAGAAGGTTTGGCGGATGTGGGCGAGACGGGCGTGGGATGCGGTTGCCTCGTCTTGTGCGCAGCATCGTGGGCATGAATCTGTTGTTCTGATTGTTGAGTAGAGCAGCTGCTGCCGCCAGTCACCGCCGCACACGATTGTCCCTGTTGTGAGGGTTGCTGCGATCCTTGTTGCGATTGTGGTGCTTGCTGCTGTTCTGGCGGTTGTTGTTGTGGATGGTGGTGATGGTGGTGGTGATGATGCGATGGGGGATTACTGGATTGCGGCTGCGGCGGCCTGGGTATGGGACGCGGTTGTGGAATCGACGAGCCTTGTGGGTAGTGCACATAGTGCTGCTGCGGCTGTTGTGGTTGTTGTGGTTGTTGTGGATGAACTGGAGGAGGAGGCGGGTATTGTCCGTGGAGGATGGGCATTGGGTATGGGTGCATGTGCGGATGGTGGTGAGCGTGGGGTGGGGGCGGTGGTGGAGGGATGGGAGCAGAATGATGCGTCGACATGAGGGGATGAGGACGATACTGAGCGTAACCCTGTGGATAGTGAGGAGGAGGAGGAGGAGGCGGATACGGTGGGAGGGGACGCATCGTAGGATACTGTTGTGGTTGTGGTTGTTGTGGGTGTAGAGAAGGAGGGAGTGCTGAGAGAGGAGGGGATGCTGATGACGACGTGGACGAGGACGATCCCGATGAGGACGCCATAAAAGAAATCTGCCTTTGAAAAAAAAAAAAAAGCCCTGTCGCTCTCTCTCCCTGTGTGCGTGGCGTGTGTCTTGTCTTGTCTCTCTGATAAAAACTCGAGCTGTGTGTGTGTGTGTGTGTGTAAAAAGAAACAAGAAGGGAATACTACTCCAAGCCCTGCCTGCCTACTACTACTGCAACTGCTATGAGAAAGAAGAGAGAGAGAAGGGTAAAATAATAATAAAAAAGGGGGAAAATTCCCGTGGAAAAAATCAAGAGACACACGCCCATCACTGTTTATTATTTAAATATACTTTTTACTAGATACTCATACGTATTAGTAGAGAGAGAGTAGTTATAGAGAGAGAGAGAGAGAGAGAGTAGAGAGAGAGAGAGTAGTTATAGAGAGAGTAAATGTAAATGTAAATGTGTGTGTGTGTGTGTGAAAAAAGAAATAAATTAGACAAATTCCCTTTTCTCTCTCTCTCTCTCTCTCTCTCTATAACTACCCTTTACTCTCTCTCTACACACACACACACACACACACACACACACACACAACGAGAGAGAGAGGGCTTGTTGTTGTTGTTGTTGTTGTTGGTTGTAGCCATTTCAATTGTGTTGATTATCACATGCATTTCACACAAACGCGTATTTCTTTTTGGTATATTCTTTCTCTCTTTCTCTCACTTGGCACACATACGAGTTACTGCTGCACTTTCACTTGGCATTTGTGTTTCCCACGGGGGATTAGTTAACGGCTACACACACTGCCTCATATTTTATAATGAGTAGATGGGGGACTATGCATTTTTATATAAATTCCCACTTGCACACACACACACACACACACACACATACATACATACAAGTTATTGCAACACACGTTTTAGATACATATTATCCCCATCTTCTATCCACACTTGTCAGCGGCCACGTCTCTGATCGCACTTTAAACACGGATCATATCACCACGCATTGAACATGGACAAGGCATCATCATTAGAAGCAACGCATCGTATACCTGCTCCTACTACTTGTTCCATTCCCATTCCATCCATCTGGGCTCAACTACGCGTCCTCGTTCGCAGAAATCAATGGCTCAGAAGGAGAAACAAGCGTCAAGTCTTTGCGGAAATCTTTTTTCCTCTCGTATTTATCCTTCCCCTCATTGCCATTAATGGATTGAGCAAGCCTCAGTATTATGGAGAGGTGAGAGGATTCCCGAGATTAGAGGCAGGCTTGTCTCTGGGTCAGAATGGATTAGGATCCATCCTCGGTTATGCTCCAGAAGGGTCTCCGTTCGATGCCATTGTGGGAGAGATTCAAGGCATTTTGTCAAATTTTGGTGAGTCTTTAGGTTCAGGTTAGGGTTCGTTAGGGTTCGTGTTCGTTAGAGTTGGGATTGGGTTGGGGTTTAGGGTTCGTTTTAAGGTTGGGTTGAGGTTGGGTTCGTTAGGGTTTGGTTGGGTTAGAGTTCGTGTTCGTGTTCGTTAGGGTATGGCTAAAGTTGGGTTCGTGTTCGTGTTGGGTTCGGGTTGGGGTTTGAGATAGGGCCATGACTCGCTCCGCTCGTCATGGAGCATGCTCTTTGGATTGGCCATCGCATTCTCCTCCCGTGTTGGATTCGGCTTGTGTCGGTCCAAGTTGGGGTTTGAGATAGGGCCATGACTCGCTCCGCTCGTCATGGAGCATGCTCTTTGGATTGGCCATCGCATTCTCCTCCCGTGTTGGATTCGGCTTGTGTCGGTCCAAGTTGGGGTTTGAGATAGGGCCATGACTCGCTCCGCTCGTCAAGGAGCATGCTCGTTGGATGCGCTCGTTCTCTTCCTGCTCCTTGGATAGACCATCTCATTCTCTTCCTGCTCCTTGTCACCATCATCATCACCATTGTAAACACTATATTGACACCTCCCTCTTTTTATTGTTCTGGTAGGCAACGTTACGACACAATCCTTTGCATCGGAATCGGCCCTAGAAGACTTTTACGCTAGAAACCCCACAGCCCTCTACGCAGGTCTCATTTTTGCCTCGCCCACATCCTACGCCATTCGCTACAATGCATCTGCCCTCCCTTCAAACTCTGTCCCAGACCGCATCCAGTGCCGCTCCACTGCCAGCGATCGCTCGGGATGCGCTACCGACAAGTACTTGACCAGCGGGCTCCTCACCCTCCAAGCCGCCGTCGACAGCGCCATCATTCACCGCATCTCGGGATCCCCCATTACCATTCGCCCATACACGCTGCAAATGCCACTCCCAGCTGCCAACCTCTCCCCTTCCAGTCAGTCGGACGGCGGCGCAACTCAGACCGCCATTTACATTACTATTGCCTTTTCCCCCTTCCTAACATCCTTGCTGTTTAATCTGGTCACGGAAAAGGAGAAAAAGATTAAAGAGGGCATGCTGATGATGGGGTTGCATCCAGTTGCGTTTTGGTTGTCGTGGGCCGTCTCATATGCTGGAACGCTCTTGGTCGTTGTTCTCCTCATCACGGTAAGCTAAAATCGTGTTTATTCTTACTCTCTCTCTCCCGTGTGTCTCATTCGAAACTTTTAGGTGGTCATTCACTTTGCATCCATTCTTCCGCAATCCAATTTTTTGCTCCTCGTCATCATTTATTACCTCTACACCCTCTCCCTCGTCGCATTGGCATTCGCTCTGACCACCTTTTTCTCAAAAGCCAAAATGGCTACCGTGGTCGGCCCCTTTTTGTCCATTGTCCCCGGCGTGCTCTTTATCCCCATTCGCGTATGTCCATTCTTTGTTTTACACAACGTGTGTTTTTTTATACTAAATATCTTTTCAAAAACACAGGGCGCTAATCTGTCGGCTGGGCCAAGTGTCTTGCTGTCCATGCTCCTGAGTCCCATGGCGCTCTCATTGACCATGGACAAGACGGTCGGGCTTGAAACCTCTGGCACAGGCCTCCAATTCAGCAACCTCTCGTCTTCCGGCGCCAACTACTACGTTCTCGGCCTTGCCCTCGCCGTCCCATTCTACTTTTTACTGGCACTCTACCTAGACGCCGTGATACCCTCCGAATACGGCATCCGTAAACCGTGGTACTTTCCATTTGTTGCCCTCGTCCGGCCGCACCGGTACTCTGTCATGGCTTCCCGAGCATCTAGTATGGGCGTCGTCATGCATGCCGAGGAGAATCCTGATGATACGGACGAACAAGATGTGGAACCTGAACCGCATGGAGCGTTCAAGGCTATTGAGATACGCAATTTGCGCAAAGTATATCATCCGGGTGTCAAAAAGGGGACCAATAAGGAAAAAGTCGCTGTTCGAGGTCTGAGTTTGGGGATCTTTGAAGGAGAGGTCTTTGGATTATTGGGGTTTGTAGCTTCTTTCCTTTCTACGGTCAATGTTGGCTTGTGTGCTCGGCTTGTATGCTCATGTGCCCGATATTTAGACACAATGGTGCTGGGAAATCCACCACAATTCACATGCTGTGCGGTCTATACCCGCCCACCAGCGGAACAGCTCTCATCTACAACCACGACATTCAAACCGACATGCGTCAAATTCGTCAAATGATGGGTAAGCTGTTCCGCACATTTGTTCGTCCGCTCCAAGTTTTACTCATCAAATACCGCTCACTCTTTTTTGGATTAGGTGTATGCCCCCAGCACGATATTCTCTATGATGAGCTGACCGTTGAAGAGCATTTACGCATCTTTGCTGGATTAAAGGGCGTGGGCGTTACGACTGACGAGAATGTTGATACGCGCATCGATCAAGTCCTCTCTGACGTGGACTTGGTGGACAAAAAGACGGCGAGAGCCAAAGAATTGAGTGGAGGTATGTTGACGTGCTGTTTTCTTGCTGAATGACGAGTATTATAACACTGAAATACGTAAGGTCAAAAACGGAAATTGAGCGTTGGGATTGCATTGATTGGACGTCCAAAGATTTTGTTATTGGATGAACCGACCTCGGGGATGGATCCCTATTCGCGGTAACGTAAAAACTCGAAAACTGGTTGCCAACAAATGAACACACTTTTAAAAGAGTTGAACCGATTTTTAGCCGCAAAATCTGGGACCTCCTTTCCTCGTCCAAACATACCCGCTGCACCCTTCTCTCAACCCATTTTATGGACGAAGCCGACATTCTCGCAGACCGAAAAGCCATTCTCTCCCGTGGTCGACTCCAATGCTTGGGTACATCCCTCTTTTTAAAGAAACGGTTTGGCATCGGGTATCACCTCGATATCGCCCATTCGGCACCGGCTACTAAACCTGTTCGTCTTGCTGTCCGCGAGCTCCTCCAAACCCACCTGGCCGATGCACCCATTACGTACCCCCCCGACGTGAACGAGACAACAAACAGTCAATGGGAAATCCCGTCGAATCGTACAAAGTCGTTTCCGGCCTTTTTTAACGATTTGGATCGGGTTGCACCGACGGTGGGGATCGAGTCGTATGGCGTGAGTATGCCGACGCTTGAGCAGGTTTTTTTAAAGAGTGCTGAAATGGAGGAGATGGAGCGGAGGGCGGAGGAAGAGGCGGTCATGGATGAACGGCATGTTGGAGGTCCATTACCGGATCTTCAAGGTAAAAAACAAAAGACGAAAATCCATTTGAGAAATCTATAAATCACGTATTTAATTCTTTTTTTTTTCTTGTTTAGAAACTGATAAACAACCCGTCACCTTTCGCGCCCTCTTTACCGCGACCCTCCACATCCGCTACAAACTCTACTTTCGCGAAATCCGGGCCCTCATCTACGCCATCATCATCCCCATCGCCATGCTCCTCGCGGGTCTCCTCATTGCTCCCAGTGGGGACATGACGAGTACCGTTTCTGGGACAACCCCCACAACCCTCGACACACCTACCCTCTTTTTTGATCCAAGTGGAAACGCAAGCAACGCCAATGTGATTGCATCTAGTATCTCTCCACCTGTCCAAACCGTTTCTGGTGATTGGCAAGACTGGGTTCTTGCTAACCCTCCCCACCAAGGCGGATTCGCGCTTTCCTCCTTTTCGACCACTTTGTTCCCCACCCTCTACTACAACACCTCCACCCCCTCCACCACCCTCCCCTCCACAGCCCACACCCTCTCCAACGCCATCCTATCCCAAACGACCTCAACACGTATCACAACCTCCATTAAACCCCTCCCGAATTTATCCCGCGTCCCATGGGATTCGAGATCGTATGTATCGATTTTACTGATTGCCTTGGCGTTGGGGATGCCGGCTGGTGCGAATGGAATTGCGATTGTTGGGGAACGGGAAGCAAAGATTGTGTATTTGGGGCATGTGATGGGGTTGACGAGGGGGGTTTATTGGGGGGCTGCTTTTTTGTGTGATTTGAGTTTGTTTATGGTTTTGCCTGGTGAGTATCAAAACGTGTTTTTTTTTTTCTTTCTTGTTGCTGTCCGTAGCGGATTGTTTAATATTTTTATTTCTTTTTGGTAGTGATTATCATTATCTGTATCTGGGCGATTCCTTTGACAGCTTTCACGGGGGCGGCCTTTCCCATTGTTTTCATCTCCCTCATCATCGCCCTCCCCTCCGCCCTCCTCTTTAGTTACTTTCTATCCCTATTTTTCAAAACCCAAGACACGGCGCGCACAGTTCTCGGCAGCGGTCTCTCCCTCTTTACCCTCTTTCCCTACATTCTCGTTTCCCTCCTCGACGTCCTCGTTTCTCGCTCTGCAGCCAAAATATGCCACTATATCTTTGCGGTCCTGGATCCGTATTACCCTATCGCAGGTGTCCTCTACTATACCAACATGGAAGCGCTGATTCATAATAGTTTACCGGGTGCACCTGCATTGACCGTATCGGATTATTTTGGGTTTGATAAAAACATGTTTCCGACTGTTTTGATTGCGTTTGTGCAGTTGGGTGTGGCTGCTTGTGGGATTTACGTATTGGATTTCTGGAGGACTCGAGTTCGAAATGTTGCACCGTGGGATCCCACCCTTAAACGCTCCCTCGAATCCCAACGCCATGATTCCATGGATCCCAATGAGCGAGACGACGTGGACGTCATTGCCGAACGACGTCGTGTAGATGACCAAGTCAATTGTCTCCCCCATTCATCCGATATTGAGTCACCATCTACAACAGACGAAATCATCCTCCACGACATTCGCAAAACCTATCACGACAAAACGGCTGTGGAATGGACATCTTGGGGTGTACCCAAAGGCCACCTCTTTACCCTCCTAGGTCCCAACGGCGCCGGTAAAACAACCACCTTGGCCATCGCCATTGGAGCGATACCTCCCACCCACGGCACCGTATACATTCACCACACCTCCATATACACTTCAACAACCCCATTCCACCACGTGGGATATTGTCCCCAATTTGACGCTTTATGGCCCCATATTACGGTATCCGAACACCTTGCCTACTACGCAACACTCAAAGGCCTAACACCCACCGCCATACCAACCCGTATCGACCACCTAACACGCGCACTAGGCTTAACTGAATACTTGTCAAAACCCGCCGGACAACTCTCGGGGGGGAATAAACGTAAATTGAGTCTGGCGGTTTCGATTGTTGGGGATCCTTCTGCCTTGTTTTTGGATGAACCGAGTACGGGTATGGATCCGGCTTCAAAGAGGTTATTGTGGGGTGTACTCAAGAGTGGACATCGAGCGACAGTTTTGACTACTCGTAAGTTTTTTGCTGGTGTGTTTGTTATGTTTTATTTTTTGCGTATTAACAAGTTTTGATTTTTTTGAAAAATAGATTCTATGGAAGAAGCTGAAGCCCTCTCCACCCGCATCGCCATCCAAATCTCTGGTCGCCTAGTATGTATCGGCACACCCCAACACCTCAAAACCCGATTCTCATCCGGCTACCACCTCGAAATCACATCCAATTCACCTCCCGTCCTATCCCACATTTTTCCCAATGCGACATTGGTGGAGTCATTTGGAACCATGTATCGATACTCGGTTCCGAAAATGGATGTGGAGAATAAATCCCTTGGTGAAGTCTTCAAGGTTTTGGAGTCGGTTGGGGAGTATGTGTTTTGTCAGTGTTTGCTTGAGCAGGTTTTTATTGGGTTTGCCAAGGGGCAGGTTTGAGAAGCGGGTTTGATGATGGAGGTTTTTCTTTGGGGTGGCGTGTTGAATAAAGGTTTTTGTATACGATGGCTATAGACTTTGTAATGGCCTACAAGTACATTTTGGGAAAAGCAAGATTTTTGGTTTGGACAATGTACAATGTAGAACTATGAAAACCATGTTGTTTTGAAAAGTTGACGAAAACATTGTCTTTTTGGTAGACGTTTCGTTTTTTATTTATTTAACCTCACCAAAAGACTCTTGTTTATAGAGTTTATCGATTGTGTATATACATATTATATTTTACTCTCATTTAAATCGTCCATGCAAAATGCACGAAACTACAATTTGGTTGAACCTGTACTTTTTTGTTGCGTACATACAGAAATGGTGCAGCTTATTGTATCGAAATCTTATCGTTTTTCTTTGTGGGGGACTCACTGACAGAGGTTTATAAAATGGAAAAATCTCATTCAATCGTATGAGACCTGGAAAATCAGTGTAGCTATAAAAAAATGAAAGTCGTACCCCATGCACATCTGCCCATTTTTTATGTAGATATTTTATCAGTTTTGGAAAAACCCCCCTCATTCTCTCGCTGCCCAGTATTTTGATGTTTGAAATAATCCAACAAACTCCCAAATGCAGAGTATTAAAAACATGTTTCTATTCATTATAATCAAGTCCACTCGAAACTTGGTTGTTCTTTTTATTGGAGTCTAAATATCCATACAATTTTGCTTGGCTTTTTTACTTTTGGTGTACGAGATGTCAGTTTTTGATACCCTATGTCGAAAGTGTCGTTAAAGGTAACGAGGAGATTGTTGACTGTCATTGATAATGCATCGAAATTTCATTATCAACAAGGCTGAAAACGATACTTTTGGGGAATGAAACAGAGAACCCTATCACCCAGGTTCGTAAGGCAAGAATGGCGAGATGCAAAAACATGTAAGCAACGTTCCTTGTTTGGTCGTTATGATGAGTCTCTGTGTACTTTGATTCACCCATGATGTATCGATTCTCTGGCGTTTTTGACTTTTAAAATATGTTACGTATGTTTATCGTAATTATGTACCCGGAACCAAAATGAGCAAGTGTAATATCTTGCGCGACTAGTTGCAAAAGGTGCTTCCTCTGACGATCCCAGCAGGTTACTTACCTTGCATGCTATCACCACACTCACATACTCTCATAGCTTACAGCATTTTAAATTGTCTAGCTTTGCGGTAAGTTACCTAAATGTCTTGGAAAGGACAACGATGACAGACATGTCAGTTGAAGCGAGTACTAACCCAGCGAAAAATATCAAAAGCATAGGTGTACCCAAACCATGTACCCTTGTCGAGAGCAAAGAATGAGTGATTACCTCTTTATGTGTCATGGATATCTGTTTTCAAGGTCGATAGGTAAGTAGGAAATATATCATCAAACCTAATCTGTCACTCCCGTGTGACTGGTATTGTCGCTACGGAGGGCTGCATGGTATGTACACGTCAAGTGTTTCGCAAAGTACTAGTAAGTCACCTCAATGGTGAAGGTGAAAACAACACATTTTTTATGTAATATTGCATATGTTCCTGAGAGAACACCAAAGATCGAATTAAGGGCAATGGAGATTATATTGACGATAGGGAAACGTTCATGTTAACTCGAGAAAATAGTCTCGATGTGTATATGCACTAGGTATCCCAAAGGAATATCGTTACCAGTCAATCATGACGAGAAAATTTATAATGCCCTGATGTTGACGCGTAACTATGCGATCTGGATATTCAACCTTAACGTAAAGTAAGGTATGAGGTAAAATTTAATTTAAGCTGGTTTACCAAGCTTTCCTACGTAAGGATGGTGTTGTCGACCTTTCGATTATGGAACCCACGTGTGCACTATCCCCAGGGTATACCAAAGAAGTAGCAACGACTTTTCGTAACCTCGTAGTTCAACGGAAGCTGCTGACGGAAGGGACGAGCTATGTTTCTATACTGCATGTTGATGACATGTTGTGTTGAAGCAGGTTTAATTCAGTTCTAATTAAAACTTAATCTCCAAATGCCCTTGAAACAGTCGAGATCGATCCCAGATCCAAAAATCAATCAAGTTGCGCTTGCAGCGGCGCTACTTCCAGGTGTTTTTGACTCTACTAACGCCTTTAAGATAACTACCCACGAACTGGCTTCCTTGACATCTTTGGCCTGGAAAGTCAATCTCGAAGACTTGGTTTGAATGGTAAAGGTGTCTAGTTCGTCCTCTTCAGCTTTACTTCTTTCCACGGCCATTACGTCGGCAAGTTCGATAACATTGTGGACGGGTGTCTACCAAAAGTGCCAACAAAAAGAGCAATGTAATGAGTGCAAGAGTTTGTTGGAAAACCCCGTTCTGCATCTACATACCTTATTTTGTGACAAGTATCGAATCATGAGTGAACACCGCGAGGCACCAATAATGTGCAGCTGACAACTTTTCCACACACTAAAGAACTTTGAATCATCGCGAAAGGAAAAGTCCCCGACGAGGTACTAAAAATGAAAAATGCATCCACGTCAATACTCTTGCAAACTATTTAACTCCAATCTTTTTTTTTTTTTGAATCCAAACAAACCTTGACTGTAGATGCATCCGCCAGGCTCGTCACGGTTGTATTCGTCAAACTATTAAAGGGCGCCCGTCCAATGCTGGAAATGTTCATGTTCAAATGGTCTCCGCTAGGTGGAACAAAGATCATATAAAGATGGCTGCCGACTAGTAAGGCCCATGCTATGACGATTGCGACCAGCGACAGAGAGAATCGCACTGCGAATGCAAGAGTAGCTGATGTGGAGGTGCTAAGGTAGGCTTGAGGGACCACTATGAGACATATCACCACAACGTTATATCTGCGAGATCATCAAAAAGAGGGTATGCTGTGAGTGTTACCCCACACCCGCGGTAAGGCTTTGGAACCTGTCCTTACACTGTATACGCAATATGCTTTGCTTCCCCATAGTCTGTCGCCACATTCCGGGTCTTCCAAGCCAAAAACGCATTTCCAAACAGCAAAAGCGCGTTGCACGCATAGACAATGGCAGTAAGAACCGTGCTGACCGTTTCGTTTCGCGCTCCACATACGAATCTATACTTTGTTCCACTTTGCTCCATAAGAACGACTGGAAAGTCCACGCCAGTCCAAATGCCCAACAGAATCTGTCCCAAAGTAGAATTAGACCTTTACACTTGTGATTATTTCCCGCGGACTCGAGATACTCACGATTTCGATGAGCATTATAATCCCGCTAAATCTCATCAGCTCGCTATTGGGTATACTGACGGTCTTCATTTTAGCATTGTCTAAGGTTTAGTGAGTGGAATGAGTCAAAAGTTGGTGGTGGTAAGTAAACATTCACAAAATTCGTACCAAAAATCCGCCAAATACGGTATGCCTTTGCTGCAACATTTCCCTGTAAAAGAAGAAGCGCATCAATCGTTCATGACCTTTTGCCCATCAAATCAGTTTAATAAATTGCGCGGCAAACGTACCATGACCACCGCAAATCCTATGCCTTGAGTCCATCGCTCAATCGCACATGTCTGAGGCGTTGTACCAAAGACATTCGGGTATATAGTCGCCAAGACACATATTAATCCCAACTATAAGATACCCCACAATATTAGATAAAAATCGTAGATGATCGGGACAAAGTATCACGAACAGAATGGATTTTCTCACCAGGATATTGACAATGAACACAGGGCTACGTTTTGTCATGCGTTTATCCTTTCGCAGTACAACAATGGTGACAAGACTTGCCGTACAGACCGCTATGGCTGCTGTGTATAAGGCTGTGAACGTTGCACCGAGACCATCGTGGACGGAAACTTGTTGTAGGTGCAGGATAGGATGGTCGGGAGGGACGGTCAACCGACTGCCAAACCTGATCAGATACAAAAGAGGGCGGCAAGAAAACTTTTAGCATGCGACAAAGGCCAGTACATATTACAGTCGTAATGGAACTGGTTTTCTTTACCATGTAGCTCCGGAATGGCCCTCGAACTTTAGAGTGTTTTCAACAATTGCAGCAATAGCGGGCGATGTGTCCCAATTAATTCCATCCATTTGGTAAACAAAGCTCGGACTGACAACAAAAGAAAAATGCATATGTGAGTAAACGTTGCACATACCGTGAACAAGAAACCGAACGCCAAAACCCCACTTACATTACTCTATCGCCATTTTCTGTCAAAATGTACTGTCCAGTAGTCGAAATGTATCCAGTAGAATTCCAGACATCTATCGTAAGCTGCTTGTAAAGCTTCTCGGAATACCAGTCGTTCATTGTAAGGTTTTGGCTGTTGAGGATTAGATCGACGGCATTGGCAACTGGAGAAAATATACATTGTTCAGAACAAAAAATATTGCGAGCTCCCAGCATCAACGTACAATAATACATAATGTCATAGTAATCTCTAGAAAGGATAGAATTCTGTCAATATTGGCAAACTAGCTGATCATCCTTGTAACCAATGCAGAATTTACGTACCTAATACGGAGAGACGGCACGTTGAAATCCCCTATGGAGCCACTGGTCTGAACGCTAGAGAACACAGATACGAGTCAAGCACCATTCTCCGCAAAAACGTTGACCATACCCCCAACTACAAGATTCCTACCGTTCTAAATTCTGCGCAACGAATGATGGCCATATACCCAAAAGGTGCTGTAGCGCTTCTGTTGGATTGGTTTCATCGTTCATGGTCGGTGCATCGTCTGGTACCAGCAGTCCTCGTAACTTTGGGAGGTAGTCTTTACCAAAATTTGTGACCATATAACGATCAGGATAGTTATTGACGGGCTGTGGGATGAATAATAAACAAAAAAAGGTTAAATCAAAAATCACCGTGCGATAAAACCGTTCAACGAAAAGACCCATTTCTTTTACCAAGTTTGTAATCCAGACATAATCTTCGCCCACCAAACCGAATTCGCTGTAGACGTGGGAAGAAGCGATTAACAACACTGTTTTTGCCACTATTTCTAGACGCAGTATTAAATGCAATGGAACTTGGCTTTACCTTGCAGTAAAATAAAGCAGAAGGGGATCTATCAGGTACTCGCCTCCCATGAGCACATAAAACACTCGAAGATCCGTTCCCTTCAATTGAGCAAATCCTGAAGAAAGCTCTCTCTTGCATGTCGTCATGTTGATCGCATTCCAGTCCGGGTTCATAGTATTACAGTTTAAACAATAACAGGCGGTGGGATCCCTTTTTGACACACTCCATTTGAAGGCAAGCTGCGATATGACTGTGATTCCCATTTCATGACATGCATCCGAAAGCTGTTGGGCAGCTGTATGTAAAATAAAACCGCGGCAGATGAGAAATGATTGGAAGCCAAGGTATTAAAGAGTGGCTCACAGTGCAAATTAATGGAGCTTACCCGTGGTCGAATACTGATCTTGTCCGCCGATGATGCCCACCTGTTTCCAGTTAAAGGATTGTGCAATCAAAGCCATGTTGACGTAACGCTGTCCTCCACTGGAGGGGCGCCAAAAATACTAAATGGAGCGATGTAAATATTAGCGCAGGTCCAGAGCATGGGAGGATTTGACCAGAAAGCGCTAGCGAATATCACCTTGTAGTTGTCATGATATGCTGTGAATACGGGTGAGTCCGATCTAACGCCAATTTGAGGGAACTATTTGACAGACCAAGGTTAGAACGCACTCTATCTTGCCGGATCCCGCTGCTTGCACTTACGCTGAAGGCGCTGGTATATGCAGCTGTTACCATCGTGTCGGAATCTAGACTTGATCCCAGCATCAAGGATAAAGGTGGGTTTGCCACCGTAAAGCCCGTTACGGTTGAGCGGATTGTCAAGTCAGGAAAGTCATTGTCTGGATGGAGACGAATAAAACAGGGCACAGACTCTTTAGCAAACATCACAACCCCCAGAAGCGAGTCTCTTACATCTATTCTCAACTGTAGTACTTACCGAGGAAAACCACCTCAAGTTTGGCGTCCGGCAGAATCAATGGATTTGCATTGATCTCTTCTTGGGCCAGCAATGTCGCCGTTCGCGTTTCAGTCAGTACATCACAGTCGGGCGGCGAATAAAAGTCGAGGTCAGGTGTACAAACGCTCCCATATACGGAGACACCCACACGGAGGGTGATGGATTTGTTAAGCGCCTTCCGGGCATCACTGGCGGGACCTACCGCAGGAAGCGGGAACGAGCGAGTTGGAGCTGACCAGGATCCATTGTACGGGACGAAAAAGGGAGTGCTCGTATTTGGGGGGTTTGGAAATATAGTGCCATCGGCCGCCAATCCTTGATACATGGGGTATGGGGTAGGCCAAGAAGGCCAAGGATCGTCGGCCAGCACAGTGGCGACAAGGACAAGGATGATGTAGATCGGTGACATCTTGACGATTGTCAGAGGATCACCTTAATCAGGAGAATAGAGAAAGAGGGCAGCCTCCTAGTGCACAGGCAATTGTATTCCTCTTGAGATATCAAAGAATATTTATCGCCAGGGTTAAATTTGCACTCCGATATTCCGAGGTATCAACGAATATTCGCATCCTGGGTAAATTGATGCCACGAATTGAAGGGAAGGGTATTCAGTATAAATATAAATAATAATAATAAGCATAGTTTAAAATCAGGGTATCTATATGCGGACCTATTTGCCCGTCCATTTGGTAATCCATTTGTAAGCATGGACCACAACCCTGGAATCTTTGCAAGAGTGTTGGCCGTGGTTAATGACAGACACATCAATTCTGGCAGCAATTTACCGTATTTACTTTGTGTATTGTCAGTACTGCAACAGTAGTGCGATGGGGTTAGAACTTGCCTACCCCCTGCCCACCCTGCTGAATGGGGTATCATCCTGCGCCCTGCCAGGATTATTTGAGGAGCTAACCCACGAGCATCCAGGAAGCACCTGACTGCCCTGTTCTGCACTGTGAAGCATGGTGCTAATTTGACATAACGTCAAGCCTTTCGGCAGAGCGTGTGTCAATACATGCAATTGCATACCGGTAGTTGCATCTATTAAGACACCTGTCATGTGATAAAGTATGGCCGATGTGAAAGGCCATGTTTGTTTATCCATAAAAGATTCTTACAATGGGCAAGAGACACCGACCATTATTAACGGCATTGGATAGGTGCACTGTTCCAGGACCTTCCTTGTCTTCTGATTTTGCGATTGAAGTTTACGCGGTAGAAGCTGTGCTCGTATACCGTCTAGTACCATTTGCCTGATGCCATCGAATGCTTCCACACTTTGATATATTCCACGTTCTGTTTAGGCGAACGGGTTTTTGACACTAAGGCAGCGGGTGAGAAGAGATGGTAGATTCACCTCTTTGGGGGCTGCTTCCATCCAACCACATACATTTCGACGGCAAAATGATATTTGCTTTCTCAGAACGCAAGTGACAGCCGTCAAAAGTCCAAATATGTTGTCGCGCTATTCCAATTTCCCCGCGATGGTAGGGTTCGGGGCGCATGAGACAACTCTTCCCTTTATCCGCATGGCTGAGTTTTTCTCTTTTTTTTTGGATATAAACCGTTCCTCTCTTTGCTCTCGCCCACTTGGCCAACTCGCTCTCTGTCTCTCTCACCTATTCCTATATACCAATTCCACCATGTGCTAAATCCTCGAAAAGTCTCGCCCAGAGGTAACTCCCAAAAGAGTACCCTACATGATGGCCCTCCGCCAGTCGTACTCATTGCGGACATATCCACATGTGGTCCAAGAAGTGGACCAGGCCAGTTTGAGGATGCTTCGGGCTACAGTGCATCGGACGATTATTGAGGGATTCACCCAAATAATCTCGATGTTTCTCGACTGGTCGGACAATTGACACCGTACATGCAAGACGATGCCGCGACCGAGGACCTCTATCGGTTCCGGCGGCTCTTGGGTGAGCACACTTGTTCATCTCCGGCAATGAGATAGCAGAGGCTTTGGAGTTCGACGAACCTGATGAGGGCGACCGGATGCTGCAAAATGAAGAAGGCTTTCCCATTGCTCGCGCACAACTGGCCCCAAAGGGTCTGGAGATCAGTGTGGAGGAGTTTGGGGGAAATGACATGAAAAGAAGACAAACGGCGACGTCTTGCAAAGTGAAGAGGTAGCAAAGTATCATTGGGGCCTTCATCGAATGAAGATCAAGCTAGTTCGACGAGCAAGTGTGGTGGAGCCCTCGCCAGGTGTATTACCTCTACGGCCGTAACGGATATCCAAAAGGCACCTGTCCCAGTGATACGATGACAGTCTCCACCTACCAGGGGCCAGCACTTGGAATCGCTGCATCGGGCTGGGCTGACGCGGCGGCACGGAGAAGCCGTGGCCGTAGGCGTGCGTGGAGATGTGGGTGAGGGTGGTCATGCGGGTGGTCATGCGGATGGTCGTGCGGGTGGGAATGGGAGTGAGGGTGGAGGTGGGGACAGCAGTTTCCCCAGTGAGGATTCCTCCAGTGAAGATTCGGGGACTAACAATGTGGAAGATTGAAGGAGAAGTCCCACTGGGAGAGGAGCCGTTGCATATCACTCACAGCAAGGGCCCAGCTGCGGATGTGGTGGACTTGAGAACCTTCCTCTGGGAGGTAGGCTTCGTCCAGCTCTTCTAGTTGCAACGCCTCTGCCATGTCATTGTCCGAGATGAACAAGTGCTCACCCAAGAGCCTCTGGAACCGGTAGAGGTCTTCGGTCGTGGCCTCCTCTTGCGGACACAGGAAGGTGGTCAGTTGTTCCACCAACCGAGATACATCGAGATTATTCCTTGTGAATCTCTCAACAATCGTCCGATGTACGGTGGCCCGAAGCAACCTCAAGCTGGCCTGATCTACTTCTTGTACCACATGTGGAAACGTCCGCAAGGAATACGACTGGCGGAGGGCCATCGTGTAGGGTACTCTACTGGGAGTTACCTCTGAGCGGGAGTTTTCCAGGATTTGGCGCATTGTGGAATTTCAGTGTGTTTGGGACCAAGTGTGAGCAGACGTAGCGAGAGCGAGAGAGAGAGAGAGAAGAGGGCAAAAGTCAGAATTGAAAGCCGCAGAAGGACCATTAGGCAGCTTTGTATTTAATGATATTAAGTCACTACCATATGCTAATAAGAAAACTTTGCCTACAGAATTCATTTACCATAATATATATTAGTGAACTTTGTAGTGTACACATGGCTCTACACGGCTGGTAATTTAGATTGCATAAGAAAACTCATTGGAGCACCATCCATATATACAGATAAACGAGACTTTTCGCAGCTGAAAACACGCCCGGGTTTGATGGGGTATACATGTTGTTGACTCCAGATGATAGTAGTAGGTTTGGCCCATTAGCAAGCATTCATATATCATTGGACGGTGTGTAAGGAGGATAAAGCAAACACATTGCACACGTTGTGCTTTGTCGATGAATGTCCAGCGGGACGGGTTTGCTCCGATCGTTGTACTTTTACTTTCGAATCAACCGATCATGGTGAAATGGAAAACTTTTCAGGATGCTAGTATTCATTATACACAGAAAGCAGTGCCGTTGAAAGCAGTGCGATTAGCATCTGTCATTATCAAAGTTCGCACCACAGCAAGAAAAAAATCTGCACTTCACAAGCATGGACTGTATGTACAAAGTTGTGTCTTTTCCCTTGTTGCTGCAGAGCTCACGAACGATGCAAGTGTGGGTTTGCACTCTTTCAAATCAGGTGTGAATATTCCGGGTAATAAAATGGACGCCGTCAACAAAACAATGCTCGATATGCAACCTAAAAGAATGAAGATTTTCCTCATGGTTGCGATATTTCTAGATGGCAGTTGATCTGCCCTTGCCTCTGCCATGCAAGGATCGACCACCATAAAAATGGGCTGTAGTTGATCCTACCAGGTTCAATCCTTTTGTAACTTGAGCCGCACTTTTTTTTTGGCATTTCGCATCATCGCCAGAGTAGCTTTCTGGTCAATTACAAGAAAAACTCAGAACAAAAAGGGAACCCCAACAGACCTTTATGCAACTCGAGAGATTCAATGGCATATCCTTAAGGTCAGCACGAGCATGACATGGTTGTACCTTGTTCAAGATGGCAGTCTCAAAATTGGGGTAATGCACTAGGAGAGTTGCAGTCGATCAGAACATGAAGATAACCCAACATGCTTTTATGCAACTCAAGAGATTTCATGGCAGTATGACATGGTTGATCAAAATGGCACTAGAAGAATTACTGAAACTCCAGATAATCATGAATGTCGGCATAGCAGTGGAAAAGAATCATTGTGAATACAATCTATAGAACAGCAGGTGAAGTGTCAATGCTTCAGGAACACAGAATAATGGTAGTAACTGACAAGGTCCAACTAGTTGAAAACGTAACCAACCTCGAGACTGTGAATTTAGCTGCTAGTGCTTTAGCGGCCAAGGCTGATCCCTTAGTTATTGCCATCCTGATGAAAAGCATTTCAACAAGAAAATACGCAACATTACTAAATAAAAGCAAGAGTACTGTGGAACAAGATAATAAGCATAATTTCAGAAATACAATTCAACACCTTGTTTTGAATATTTGCCATGTGTAGAAAGCAAGCAACTGAAGAGATCAAAGTTAAACCGTCAAGTTTTCCCTTGGTGCCATCTGATCAGGCAGCCAACTAACTAGATCAAGGTTGTATGGACAGGATTAAGGCGCAGAGTTATAGCTTGGTGGTGTCTGCAATTGCTAGTCTTGAGCTCGAGCTGAGGTGTAGATACACGAATGCTCAGCTTGGATTGTGTAGATGGGAATTAAGACTGGGAGTCCTAATTCGGTGGCCATCAAATGAGCTCAAGCTGACATGTGGATACCCATATATAAAAGTGGGGTTGAGCGTGCCTTGAGCCCGATGTAAATAGATATATCAGGGTGAGTTGTGTTAGGGGGATAAGATTTGGGAGTTGTAAGGCTGTGGTATGGAATTGTCTGCAACTGATTGGCCCGAGCTTGAGGTGAGGTGTGCAGGTGGATATATTAAGAAGAGTTGCTTATGGGGAATAAGAATGGGAGTGGTTTCGGGTGGAGTGCAATAGAGATTCACCTCTCATGTCTTGGGTTTGGATTAGAGTTAGCCTGTCGCATTCCGGGTTAGGGTTTGGTTTAGTGTTCGCGGTCGGGTTAGCATCTAGGGTTAGGTTTCAGGTTGAGGTTTGGGTTCGGGTAGGGCCATAACTTGTACACTCATCATGGAGATAGAGTGGAAAGCGACATTGAGCTATGTCGAGTGGAGAGCAAAGGGAGGGGCAGCGTTGCTTACACTTATCATGGAAATAAGTGGAGTGCGACATTAGGATATGACGAGTGGATAGCATACGGAGTGCACTCTAACTGTCGTTCATCCATGGAGGGAGCAAGATGATGGCGAGTGCATTAGGGAGTATGGTACTAAAGTTGTGCATGAAAGGTTGCCCTATGAAGCTCAGTACCATTTGCTGGAAAGAGTCACCACGTATCTGCTCACTAACGTTCGTACATATCGTTTTTTCTCACCGCTGGTTCTTTAATGCATTTAGCCCACTCTTCCATCCCAAGGACTGGACCTCCATCCTTACTAACTAAAAAAGATATATTCAAGAATGGGTCGTAACTCGGTGGTGTGTAATTAAGTTGAGCTGACCAAGGCGAGATTGTGCATGTCGAGGTGAAGTGGATATATAACGGAGAGCTTATGGGGGGAATAAGAATGGAGGTCAAATCTCGGCAGTGGATTCATTGAGCTTGAGCGGACATGGATGCATGCATACAAAGCTCGATGTAAAGTGAGAAGATGTGTATTGTCCAAGGAGAAAAAGGCATTTGCGTGGGCTAAACATTGTCGATCCAGGACACCAGATATATCAGAGCATGGTATACATGAAGGTAGAGCAGATTTTGTTAGGGACTCAACCCGTCGGCCGATACGATGTCAATCTTTTATGGATTCTCTCACACATTTTTGCTTCCTCTATGATGCTAGAGTACGACGCAGGGCTGCAATGTTGACCAGCAGCTGGCGCACCTGCCGAGCATCTACTGCACCCCATTCAACGAGTGGTGCCGCATACGGCTGGGCTCTGTGCCGAGCCAAAAACTCTATCCATGATGCCAGATGGATGGAAGAGTAGTGTACAGTAAATGATGAGAAATGTTGGTACGTTACCTCGCACACCTTCCTTGCGGAATGAGACTTTGAACCCATAATGGGGACAGACAGACAGCTCTCGAAAAGTGTAAACAGTAACAGGATGTGATTTAACAAATAAATTTACTTTAGTACCAACCGGTCTTTGAGTTATCCAAATACCAGATAACAAATGAAGACATCCCTGGTGGATTCAATGGCCGAGTTCTATGTATCGCGCACGCATGCACCACCGGACTGATTACCATGCCCGCCCCCCAAATCCTGCCCGGTTCACCCCTAACCAAGTCTCTTTGCCTCTCGCCCCCAACTCTAACATCCTTTTTTTGGATTCTTTGGCCTTTCTCGCCCGCAAGGAATAATTAAAAACCTGCGGAGTCCAATCATTAAATTCGATACAATTATAGCTCATTTGTTAGAGCTACAGTGTGATAATTCAAATTCGAACACTGTTTGTCGGATAAAGTAGGACTCATCAGTGGTCAGAGCGATTGATCTGCAGTGTGATGGTTCAAAATCCGAAAAATGGTTCAAAATCCGAAAAACTGCTTGTCCGCCAACCTCTGGTTAACAGGAACCTGGCCGTACGCATCTGCTGGACTGATCACCCACCAGTGTGACATTTGCTGCTTGGGTTTAAAGAAATAAAAAGGTCCACCGGAGCCATATACGAGAGCACCGCCATAGAAGGCATTAACTATTTGCACCGAAAAAAGCAGCAAGCACACCACAATTGTCTACATTGGTATACGATCTCGTACGCCGTCGAGTCTCGTGGTGGTATCAGAAAACTCGATATTCCCAAGTAGTCTCTGGTGTTTTCCACAAAGAAACGGGGAAAGAACGCATTTGTGACACCTGGTCCAACCAATTCCTTTTGCCCCCAAACAGCCAACAGAAACCTTCTTTTAGGATCTCCGTCCTGTGAGCACGGGAATGCGTAAAACCTGGCTGGAACCCGACAAACGATCGGCGCACCGCCTCACTCTATATCCAATTTTCGTTGCCTCTCGCCCCCAAACAACCAACAGAAACACCCTTTTTAGAATCCTTAAGCCTTTCCTCCTGCGAGCATGGGAATGCTAAATTCTGGCTAGGAACCGGACCGATACATTTGGACACGATAGGCGCACCCATCAATGGCTCTCCTGTGCTTTGTCCTCGAACCAGTGCTCAGCTTGTCCGATGAATACATCGATAGGAGTAGCACATCAGGACCTATCTGTGACCGCGTGCATTGAATTGAGTTGATGGAGTAGAGCGTACTGTACCATAAATTCCAATACATAAGGATCAACTGTTAAAGGTTGGTTTTGAAATCTTGATACAACCTTACGATACTCATCATTAGCTACACTAAGGTGACTAACAGTGTAGGAGTGGTGGGCTAAAAGTTATGACAGTACACCAGGACCTATCGTGACCGTGTGCATTGAATTGAGTTGATGCAGCTAGCCACGACCACGACCACGACTGAGAAGTTCATGGTACGGCAATCAAGTACCGCAACCATTTACTCGTCTGCTGACCAAGCTTTGCTCGCCCCCACACCAATCGTTGAAATCCAAGAGCGGGAGGGTTTTGCTAGTCCTTGTTGTTCTGCTTGCCGCTTCGCAAACTCTTACACGCATAGTTTGCTTGTAAGTAGTCCAAGCAGCAGCAATGTCATTCGGGTTGATAGAGTTGACAATGTTCAAGATTGGTCAAACATCTTGAATGCCGTAGACTGTCATAAATACGTAAAGCTCTGCCAGAGATCACGGATTGGAATCAGAACCATTCCGGACACCACCGGAAAGGGCAACAAGAAGAACAAAAATCTGGCAACGGTCAGTGCTCATGCACTATCTGTGTCGTCTGGTAGGAGTGGAAATGATATGCAGGCCAAAAATGTGCTATTTAATGCTGCCAAAGGTGTCGTCGGGAAAACACAGGTCAGATGAAAAGGGTGGGATGTAGAAGAGGAGGTCCTCCAGCGTGGGACAGAGGAAACTTGCAATTTGGATGGCACGAATTTGGATTAACGATCATAAGTGGACTCTCCCTTCACCTTGAACCAGAATCGTGCCAAACATGGCAATAGTTTGATCTTCCCAGAGTGTACATATTGGGATGCCCGGTGATTAACGGTGTACAGGAGGGAAGGGGATAGGCGACAAGTTATGACAGTACACCAGGACCGGTAGTGACCGCGTGCATTAACGCATTAGAGCATATTGGGATGCCTGGTGATTAACGGTGTAGGTGGGGGTAGGCTAAAAGTTATGACAGGACACCAGGACCGATAGGTTCCGGTGTACTGTCATAATGATCAGTGGTAGAGCAATACGAAATGGGAAGTGATAACACGGGGACTTATAGCTCAGTGGTAAGCACGGACTTGTAGCTCAGTGGTAGAGCAATACGAAATGGGAAGTGATAACACGGGGACTTATAGCTCAGTGGTAAGCACGGACTTGTAGCTCAGTGGTAGAGCAATACGAAATGGGAAGTGATAACACGGGGACTTATAGCTCAGTGGTAGAGCAATCGACTGCAGATCGATAGGTCCCGAGTTCAAATCTCGGTGAGTCCTCTCCACGCGCCCGCCCAACACTTTTTTTTAGCCATTCGTAACGCGTTCACAGCGGGTGCGCCTGGTGGTAGAAACGCAGGAGTCCCAGGATCAAATCTCGGTGATCCCCCTAGACTCCCAAAAGCGATTTTTTTTTTTCAGCCATCCCCACCACCAACGAACGATCTGCTTTTTGTTGGCCATTGGTGAGCCATTGGTAAAGCGCGCAGGACCATGTCCCACTGCCGTAACGCGGTTACGGCAGTGAGTATGGTCCTACCTAGAAACGCAACTGTTCCTTTGTGAATCGAGGGAAATCCGTCTTTTTTCAACTATCGTCATGGTGTTAATAAAAGTTAAATGGTATGATTTTGGAGGGGAGGGTGTGTGATTGGGGGACGTTTTTTTTTAATGCCCTTGGTAGTAGAAACGCATGGCTCCCAGGATCAAATCTCAGTGAGTCCTCTAGGCACCAAAGGCGGGTCTTTTTTTCTAGTCATTCATGAGCCATTCGTAACGCGCGTAGGACCATGTCCACTGCCGTAACGCGGCGTGTAGGACCACGTCCCAACACCCAAGAATGATCTTTTTTTTAGTCGTTCGTAAGCCATTGGTAACGCGCGGTGGACCATGTCCACTGCCGTAACAAGCGCACCCGTTCCGAGTTCAAATCTCGGTCCTCTGAGAGTAATGCCAGAGTTTGGGACACCCAAGAACGATCTGTTTTTCTTAGTCATTTGTAAACCATTGGTAATGCGCGTAGAAACATGTCCCACTGCCGTAACCGCCGACTTCAAATCTCGGTTCTCTGAGACTAATGCAAAAAGTTTTTTTGTTTTCGGTTGGTTGAATTTTGGTGGCATGGGCAGATGGGGAGTCCTCTCCAGTTCCACTGCAAATACTTTATTTTAAAAGTATCGGTAACATGCACTTAATGGTAGAAACGCACAGGTCTTGAGATCAAATCTCGGCCTCTGGGAATTGTTTTTTAACCCAAACGTATAGATCATGAATAATAAAGATAGGATGAAAAGAAATTCTATTATATCAAATCTGGTGTACAGTAAAGATGGGAAATATACCGTACTAAAAAGAAAGATAACGTATATTCATATATAGTTAGGATAGGAAATATACCGTACTAAAGAGATAACGTACATTCATATATAGTTGGGATAGGAAAAGTAAAAGTCGGTCGTACCCAGGAAAAATAATTGTACACTATATCTCTCGTAACTCGTCCAGAGCCGACCCTCAGGAACAACTCATGTCCAATCATTTCATTTCCAACTTGGATGTACCACTCCTACACTGTTTATCATCGGCCACCTCAAAATCTAGGTAATGATTGTAATGGATTTACTCTATCAAAATGCTCGCAGTCACTGCTCACATCTTCTCAGTCACGGTAAGTGCATGGTTTCAATCTCAGTTGCAGTGTGCCATAAAAGGTGCCCGGCGATTAACAGTGTAGGAGTGATACGATTTGTCACTTGATATCTCGTTAAAATCAAAGCCCATAATTAACGGACGAGAACAGGGGCCACAGGTATTCCACGCCATCTCTGCACCGTGTTCACAGTAATTCAATGGTGAGACTGTCATAGAAACTTTGCGGTCTTCAAAGGTATCCACGTTAGTCCTCTGCTCAATGTGTTTTTGATATTATCTTGTCAATGTATTCATTGAATACAGCAGTTTATTCGGATTTAGTTTTTCTCAGTTTTGTCCGTCTCGCAACGTCAATGGTAAGATGGTCCTAGAAACTTTGCTGTTTCTGAACGGTCTTGAAGCGCATCCATGTTAGTCCTCTGCTAAACTTGTGGTACTATCTTGTCAATCTATTTATTAAATAAAAGCAGTTTACTCGGATTTAGTTTTTCTCAGGGTCACTGTCTCGAATCGTGTTCACCTCAGCCCAACGGTGAACATTTGTCCTAGCTCTTGTCTCAAAACGCGTTCATGATAGTCCTTCCGCTCAACTTGTGATATAATCTTGTCAATGTATTCACTAAATAGTGAGTATCAGTGGTATCGCACTATGTAGGTCCCGAGGTCAATTCTCGGTGGCTCCTCTTAGAGAACAATGGTGTTGAAAAGGTTTCTTTTTCAGCCGTCAAAGGCATCACGGTCCTGGAAGCTCTGGCGCATCCGTATCTGGGGGCTGACCATTGGAAAGAGGACGAGCCAGTGCATCTTAAACAGTTTGATTTCGCATTTGAATGGGCAGATGATGTTTCAAGTATCAAGGGTAATGTCTGATTTATTTGAAACGGTTCCACTATCATTGTGAGCTACCCATCTAGGCCACATTACACCCCAAATAAACCATGAGCATATGGTAAGTCTTCTAAAGACCGCCCAACCTTGGCTTTTTCCAGGCGCTCGATGGTGAGCTTGTGCTAGGAACTTTCGTACATTTTCACCGATCTCAAAGCGCATTCATGGTAGTCTGCTCAACTGGTCGTATAATCTCTCAATGTATTCAACAAATAAAGCTGATTTACGAATTTGAATTATCACTGGTAGGGCCATCGAGAGATTGATATGCCTCAAAGATAAATCTCGGCGAGTCCTCGATGGAGCACTTTCCTTGTTCAGACGTCGCAAAGCGCGGTTCACAGCGGTGGTCCCAGAAGTCAGAT